TGTAGTTATATTTCTAGTGCAAGTGCGAAGATGATAAAGACTCTTCATTGAAGCGGATTTTCGATGGATATTCTTCCACTTGCATTTTTCGCCCTTTCACTACAAAATTGTCTAGCCGCCAAATTGTCGCGTAGACAGAGTCAAAGAATATATTTTCAAGAGCGAAGGAAGCATGTGGACATCAGTCTCAGCGGCAATTTGGAGCAAAGACATCATGCGAGAAATCATGCGGTAGAACTGGATGAGGAACAAAATCCTTCGAACAAAAAATTCCGAGAATTCTCAAGTTACGGGATCACCGTAAATTATGATAGATGAAAGAGTGCATGACTAGATAAATTCCAGCGCGAGAGGCGACTCACACGCTGGGCATGTTTGAAAAGCGCGATCTCGGGGACACGTGATCACGTCGCTAAATAAGGAGAGAGCTCCCATTCTTTTCGCCAAACAAAGGAGAAAACGGTCGTCCCGCGCGTTCAAACTTTCGAACTTTGGCCACATGGAAAGCTACCTGACATGAGCGACGATCAAATAGGAGTGTAGGAAAACTCTTGAAAGAAAAGAATGGAGCGCCCGCGCCAAATTTAAAAATTTGAAAGCATATTCCAACTTGACTTTATGAATTTAAAAATATCAAATCTACCCGAAAAGTATTCGAATTTATTAATTGGGGTTAGGGTTACCCTTATGATATTGGTCCCTTATCTTTACTAGAATATTTTTTTTGGTCAAATATCGATTAAAAAACTGGGTTTACGATGATCAAGAAACACATCGTTATTCAAAGAATGGGAGCAGCTGACCTGAAAACATCACGTTCTCAGGTAACGAACCTAATGGCCCGAATGGACCGAGATCACCCGGTTCTGAATTGCGAATTCCTTGTTCATCCCGCGTCGCGCCGTGATCACGCGACAACTCTCGGAACATCACTTTGACTTATCTACAAATCTTGAGATCTTTCTTCAATAAAAAAGGCTCTTTCCCGCAGATCATGAGGAAATAGAAAAGAGTATTTCAAAATTGAGAGAGCAGGCGCACCCTTTTTCAATAAAAAGGCGCTTTTCTATCAGTCAAGTCTGGTTCCGATACGCTTCTCATGATCGTCATCCACTTGTTCTCAGTTGACTTCACTGATTTGGAAATTGAATCAAAAAAAGAATATTTTCCAATCGAAAAAGAGAAGCTTCTATCCACCGAAATTTCCAACAAAGAGCGCAAATTTGAGCTTCGAAAATATTTTTGAGCCAAAATTATTAAAATGCCCGTTTCCATGATCGTTTTTAATAAAGCAATGATTCTGAATTGAAAAGCAGCGGCTTCGATTTGAATTATTATCATTCGAATTCAAAGTCAAATCGAAAATATTGATTCGTAATTTACGAACTTCGAACTTCGGAAAGAAAAAATCGCTTATTTAAATGTTTTAAAAGTTTGTTGGCAGGATCGCCCGCGCTATTTTTTGCGCACTTTTCGGTTGAGTCGCCCAGCGACCACGTGACTCCGCCGACTGAGTGGAGCGGGCTGACTGCGCGCCAGCTGCCAAGCCAGTGGATGCCCAACTCATGACTAAAAAATGAGGCACAATTAACCGATACTACGAGCCTTTTTTTACAAAAAAAAAATTTTAAAAGCTCGAAATTCTTACTAAATTTAAATAAAAGATTTTTTGGAATCTTGTTGAAAGAACCTTTTTGATAGAATTTATTCATTTTTACCGAAGAAAGATCGTCCATTCAGGCAATTCTTGAATCAATGGGATCTTACCACACTGCTTGCTTGGTGCGTCGATGCAGCTTCTCGCTGGTGGTGAATGGAATGCTGCTTGCAAGGATGGAGGAGAGGCTACTAGCCAAAGGCAGCGCGTAGGAGTGAAAGGAATCGAAGGGAAGATACTACACCGACGTGCTCAGCACAATCACGTGACTGATTCTCACAATTTTCGAAGAGTAATGCTTAGGAAACTTCAAGGAAGCGTGGCCTTACTCATGTAGATTCTAGGCCACGAGGCAACGAAATTTAAATGATGACGAAGCTGAGAATTAAGGAGACCACTGATAATCATTTCTCCTTTTTCGATGTTGAATTAAGGGTATCATCGTCTTAATTCTTGGTTTAATATAGCAGAAAAGTACAGTCTTTGGCATTAATCAATTCTTATTTTTATCTAAATCGACTTCCGAAATCAACAATGATATTAGCCCCTAATAATTAGGGCCTAATTAAGATAAACAGCTTTGCATTTCATTTTAAACCAGAGTTGCTCATCGATAAAATCTTGGCTGAAATGTTGAAGTTCAACAATTTTTCGTTCTTTGCCAAATATAGAAAGAACTTTTTCGCGCTCTCACGTGTTTATGGGTTGATAAATGTGCCAATAGTTGATGAGCAATCTTTAACTTTTGAAGCAGAAGATAAAACACCTTTTATGGCTGCGAAAGGTTACCGAGAACTCGACACACTTGCTAATTCATCTATCACATGAACATACCACTTTTTTCATCTCGTCAACTACTTTTTTTTTATTAGTCACGTACAATTGTGAATTGTATCCAACAATTTTGAGCGAACTTTGAGAAAAGAAAAAGGTGGATTAGGTCGGTGCAAAGTTTCCTCGCTAGACTTTTGCTTGAAACACCGGCCGTTAAGGTTTCAGGGGATTATGGAAAGACAACTTAAATCTTCCTTTTTGGAAATTTTTCAAGAAAGTTTTGGGTCACTAACGACTGGTATCAACATCAATGCTCAAGTTTCTTTCAAGCTAAAAAACTGTGAAGCCGTGGAGAATTCAGATCGAACTATTGAAGAACTATCAGAATCTCACCAAAACCTGAAAGAGCGTTGAACGTCGATAGACACCTTCTTATCGTCAGTCTGAGCTTAGCTGGATCACCAACGAGCCTGTGAACGAAATTGTTGGCCCTGAGAGAATCTAAAAGCAAAATGACGTGGCCAAATCAAACTCTGACTTTGAAAAAAAAGCAGCCAAAAAATACCAAAAAAAATTGAAAATTCTGAAAACTAGTAAATGGGGGGGGGGTATCCTTCGAGCTCCCCCCTCAGGCCTAAAAGGGGGGGGCCCTTTTCTTTTATCACAAAGATACCATTACACTTGTAAATATGATAAATTTACATCCTGAATATATTTGCTTATTTGAGCGGAAACTTCTTCAAAACAAAAAGAGGTTGAAGAAATAGACTCAACCCTCCTCACCCTGTATCGTAATTTATGATCACATTATTGCATAACAAATCGAATTCTCGACGCGTTTTTTTATCCAAAGAAAGACGGATTAATTCCGAACTGGAGCTGTTTTTGCAAACTTTGGGCCTTCTTGATTTTGTTTATGTTTATTTTGTTAATTTGTTGATGACAAATTCAGCGAGCGGTTGAATGCGGTAACCTTTTCTGGCCGCGTTAGTTTGTCCGACGGGCTGGAATCTCTAAATCAGAAATTGAACGAGAAAAACGAACTGGGCGACGCAGGTTCGTCAAAAGTTCAGCTCGCGCCACAACCGCCGTTAAATTGCATTTATGCGCCTAGGATTATTCCACCACCATAGCGCAAGAATCGGCAGGGAACGGGGCAAGGAACCAGGCGCAGAAGTTCAGATGATTTCAAAAAACTTTTTGTCGGGCCGGAAATCGTAAAAAATCTGTAAGTGCAGTTTTCTTCAGCTCGTCGAGACGAGTCGAATGATGGGTCTAACTCCTGATAACTATCAGGATTTACCGGTTTACCGGAAAATACGTTGTCACCGGCCGTTTTTGTTCTAGAAGTGGTAAACAGATGATCGACCCAGGTAATTGCTCCTTATAGTCGGTTCTACTCTAGGCTCAAAGATGAGGCTCGTATCAATACTCTGAAGAGAGTTATCACTAAAACAGTACATTTTACATGCATTTTGTTGTTGCTGCACGTTCCTGATTTTTGTCCCATTTCTGCCATAAATAGTATTTTAGTGATAACTCTCTTCAGAGTATTGATACGAGCCTCATCTTTGAGCCTAGAGTAGAACCGATTATAAGGAGCAATTACCTGGGTCGATCATCTGTTTACCACTTCTAGAACAAAAACGGCCGGTGACAACGTATTTTCCGGTAACCAGCCGGTAAACCGGTAAATCCTGATAGTTATCAGGAGTTAGACCCATCATTCGACTCGTCTCGACGAGCTGAAGAAAACTGCACTTACAGATTTTTACGATTTCCGGCCCCACAAAAAGTTTTTTGAAATCATCTTCATCGTTACGAGTTTTTCTAGAGCTACTTAAAGAACAAATACTTAGTTGACTTTCGAGTCGTCCTAACAAATGATTTTCTTGAAACAGCAAGACCAGGGGACTCTGGCCAAAAAAATTCTGAATGTCATCATTTAAAATTTTCAAGAGTCTTGATTCTAGAATCTTGACTCAAGAAAAAGCAATGAGAAACCATAATCTGACATTTTCGGTATTCAATATGAGTTTTTTATGTTTGCGATAATTGAAATCCTTTACACTAGCACCCCTTTAGTTGCAGTTCGCAGGTCAGCGACTACGCGGCTTGAAATAAAGACTTTAAAATCATCAATCTTCTACTTCTACTCATCTTGGTGCCGACTGCATTTATTGACTGACGAATTAAGAAGTGCTAGATGACAACCTAACATTTCACCTCTAGCGACTAGCAGACAAACGAAGAGTCTGTGCCCCATCTCTCATACAAATTGATATCGCTGATATTGATCATGGATTCATGGCAGGTACAGCAAGACATAATGTTTTAAATCAAAGGTTTAAATTAGCTTGTCAAACCAAGCTGTCGAGCTCCGATCATTCTCATTTACTCGCGGATTCGATACAACAAAATATCTTACCTTTTTGCTTTTTCGCCAAATCTGCTAATTCTTTAATAATTTACGAAAAAATGAGCAAAGATTGTACTTCGATGAAGAGAAAATCAACAGGGACGGGTTTTGCGAGAACCATTTTGCAAGAAGAGAGCATTTTGGTAGCAAATGAGAAGGGTGAGAAAGAAGATTGCCAAGAAGTATGAAATACTACCGGTTTTGCCGGCGGATAATGAGTCGCAAAACTCGGGCAAAGTTGAGACTTTAATGGAGGTTCTAGCGGAAGTCAATATTTCAGAAGGTATAAAATGTCGACAAATTTTGAGTGGGCGGCTACTCGGCTGCTGATTGGCTGGTCGGCCGAATCAAGGCTTCTGATTGGTCGAAAATTTCCACGCAAAATTTGTCCCGACCCTAACCCTAACCCAAATTGAAACGCTATAAAAGGGATAATATAGGTAGGGGAAACCTAACCCTAGCCATCTGCCCTTGGATAATCCTCAATCCCTAACCCTAAACTCATGCCCAAATTCAACGGTTGCTGGAAGGCTCGAAAGGAAAAATATTGCTTAGAGTAACTTCCCTTTTCCTCTCTTGACGTCAAAAATCTTGCTGTCTAAATTTCCCCACTCTCACATGATTTATTAGCTATTATTTAAAATAGACTAGTCCTACTTTAATAACCTGGCTTCAAGTCACGTCTATTTTTTAATTCCCCATAAATACGCGTTTTTACAACTCATTTGTATCAAAAACATCTGCTTCGATTTAATGACAAAAATCATTAAGCGAAATATTTGCGGTTTGGAACAATCTGGAGGGAAATTGCAGCGCGTGATAAATTGGCTTCGTGTAGGAAAGTTGATCAGGATAGGTTTCTTGGACTTTCGAAAACACAATCATTAAATTGGATCACAATTAAAATTAAACGACTCAGTGGTTTCAACATGAGAGCATCCCGTAAAAGATAAGTTGATTCTTTAAGAATTACATGTTGAATCTGAAGATATTTCAAAAGTTGGCTGAAAATCGTTGTTGACACCCTTAAAGAAGCTTTTTATTGAAAACCTGAATCAGTTCATTTTCTACTCGGATTTATATGATTTCGTCATCAGACTTGATCGCTCGTGGAAGGTATATAAAATTTATATTGACTGGAAATTCGTTCAATTCAATGATGATTCAGATGGGCGAGACGAAAATTGAAGACGTCTATAACTGGGATTTTCCAGTGATGGGACTGACCACGGGACTCAAAGTTCACAGAATGGACTTTACGCTCGCCTGTATTAGGGAAACTGGTTCGATCGAATTTACGACACAGGAGGATATAGCGATTCGGGAGGGGTAGGAAGAATGGGATGCAGATGATTTTATGGAAAAGAATTGACGAAAAAATAACCTTTTCCGTGAGCCTTTTTCATCATCATTTTTCGCGTAAAAGCATGAACGTGATGCAGATCTCATGGGAAGACCTGTATTTGCCCTGAGTAAGCAGTGAGAATGCACCACCTTGATCAAAGTGCGACTTGTCTATTCGAAAATGCTACTATAGTATGGGCAGGTCACCATCTCGCAAGAAAATAAACAAAGACATCATCAGATTCTTTCTCAAAGTTCGACCTTGTATCACGAGTGCACTTCGAAACCGCCTCAAAAAAGGACGTTCACCTTTAGTCCAAGTGCATGTTTTCGTGTTTTACAAGTACAAAATGAGTGTCAATTCGTATCAGGGCAGAAGAGTTCATTTTTTGAGTTCATATTTATTGAATTTGAGTTCATGAATCTCGAATCGTTATCAGTCATTTACTCCAGAAATCGACAGATCTTGGCGATCAAAGCAGAAGAAACTACATCAAACGAGTTCAGGATAGTAATTTAAACATTTTCAAATACTTATTTTATTGAAAATAATCTACATTGCCGGCTAAATACTAAATTTGATTGATTTGAAAATTGCTGAAAGAAACATCTTTTCGACCGTTTTCCGACTCGAGCTTGTATGGAATGCTACATTGTTGGGTAAGTTGACCATCACATGCTTATTTGAACGCGCGGATAAATTTTACAGTGCGAAGTTTATATGCATGTGACAAGTTTGAAGAGTTCAGAGATGAGTTGAAATGTGACAACTTCTATTTTTAGCTCATCTCGTGAGTTTAACAATCAATCCGAGCGTGGAAACTATGCCAAGCTCCTGGAGCTTCCAGAAGTTTGACTACTGAAATCAACGAAGAGAACATTTCATAATTTCTTATTCTATCATAAATGTTATGAAAAACATATGAATAAATGCACATATACGACACAGGTTTATTATTGAATATATCACAGATCTTGAATTTCAGAAAGAAAAAATAATGTTAATTAATTAGTGCAACTAGCAATAGAATTTAGCAGGGGTAGATTTCTGCAAATCGGCAAGCAACTCGCAATTTATGTTTGCATCTGCGTTCTATCCAGCCAGTCTTATTCAAAGAAATGCAACTGTAGGGGTGTTTTCGCGAGAAATTTTTCGAATTTATGCGTGGAAATCTTCGATTCGGAAATCGTCCTTTTACGCGGACTCCAAGCCAGACATCGTGTTGTAACGATGGCATAAACTGATCGTAATCTTCCTAGGATAAGAGGTTTTTAAAATAACTGTTCAAATGCTTTATACACTTACCGTGTTTGTAAAAAACGGAAGAGTTCCGCCCATTAGTTCGCAGATTTTGCGAGCAGATCGCCAATCCGTTCGAACATAATCATCCAATTTCATGTACCAGTACTCCGAACAAGACCCTGAAGCTACGATGACAGGTACAAAAACGAAAATCATCAAAGAAAGCTTCATTTTCTGCCGTGGAATAGTTCTCTTTGCCGGGTTCGAGTGGAAAAATGGGGGAAGATCGGGGGGAATGAAATTTTTTATCAGATCTCCAACGGAATCGCATTTTTATCCCGGATTGTATCGCAAAGTTTGTGCTATAAAACGACATTCTATGTAATAAATTTATTAGTTGATATTCAGTAGAACGCAGTCATAAAATGCTGAGACAAATAAAACACCACAACTAGGATTCAAAATAAGTCAATCACGGAAAGTCCAATTTCTTCATCAAACGGAAGAAGAATCGGTTTTTTATGCAGTCAAGTCCTTGGCAGCAGCAAATTTGAGCAAGTCAACGACTCGTTGAGAGTAGCCCCACTCGTTATCGTACCAGATAACCACTAAAATGAGAGCTTGAAGTCATTTTCAAGAGCTTTTTCTTACATTTGTAAAAGGTAGAATTGAGCTCAATTCCAGCTGCAGCATCTACGGATGAGCTGAAAGGAGTTGTGTTGAAGTCAGAGCTGACCAAAGGCTCCTCGGTCACCTTAAACCTTGATGAGTCATTGTCGAAGAGGTTTGGCCTACCTGAATGACTTTGGCGAGGTCGCCTTGAGCAGCAGCCTTGATGCTGTCCATAATCTCCTGGTAGCTAGTTTCTTTTTGAACTTTGACAGTCAAATCAACAACGGAGACATTTGGAGTTGGAACTCGGAATGCCATGCCGGTTATTTTACCCTTCAGCTCGGGAATGACCTTTGTGCAAGCTTTTGCAGCGCCGGTAGAGGCAGGAATGATGTTGACAGCGCCACCTCTTGCATCTCGCCAGCTCTAGAAAAGAAGAGGAGAAAGGGAGAAACAGAGAAGGGTCCTACCTTTTTGCCCTTGGAAGAGCCATCGACAAGCATTTGACTGGCGGTATAAGAGTGGATAGTTGTCATGAGAGCTTCTTGAATTCCAAATTTGTCGTGGAGGATTTTGACGACGGGCGCAAGGCAGTTTGTGGTGCAGGAAGCGTTAGAGATGATCTTCATGTCTAGAAGGAGATGAAATAAAATTGTGAGATAATGAGAGTTTCTACCTGGTGAATATTGCTCATGATTGACGCCATAGACAAACATAGGAGCATCTGGAGAGGGAGCCGTGATGATGACTTTTTTCGCGCCGTTGTCGATGTGAGGTTGACACTTGTCGAGATTATTGAAGATTCCGGTAGAATCGATGACGTAGTCGACTCCAACAGACTTCCAGTCGAGTTCATTTACGTCTCTAGAAATATCATTAAATTTATTGAAAAAATAATCGATTGAATGGTTACCTGGTTGAGAAAATATGGACCTTGTTCCCATTTAGCATCAAATTCCCATCTTCAGCCGGAGTGGCGGTCCCTTTGAACGTTCCATGGGTCGAATCATATTTCAACTTGTAGCACATGTATTCAATCGCGCCACAGTGATTGATCGCAACGAGCTCGACATTCTCCTCTTCAGCCAGAATTCTCGTCACGCAGCGGCCGATTCTTCCGAATCCGTTCAGTCCGACCTTGATTTTTGTCATTTTTGGTGGTGAGGTTTACTTTCTCTGAGAAACAAAGAATAGGCGGTGTCTTCTGAGCGTAATGATAAGAACGCGGCCCTCGGGCGGTATCAATATCTCAGACGTTTCCTAGAGGCATACAATTGTCGACAGAGGGAAAGCTTTAGCAAGTTGGTAATATAAGAAAGGCATGTTTTCATACAGTATGAACTTAGTCTTAGTTCAGGTCTATTCGACCTTGAATACAGTTAATTTTGGCAATTCCAAATTGGCATAGTTGACCACTTTCACCTAAAATTTAGCCAATTTTTTGTTGAACAATTTAAAAACTGTTCTAGCAGATTAAAGATCTAAGATAAATCTACTAAGAAAGCCCATGGGCCATATGATTTCCCCTATCATTAACAATTTCCGAGTTATTCAATGGTCAAGTTGCAGAAGTCGATGTTAGTACCCCTAAAAATAAGAACAATTTGCCGGCACTAAATATTAAAATAATATATATATAACTGATTTTTTTGCAAGTAAAATGGTTTTTGCTTATTATAAAATACTAGAAATACTAGATAATAGATAAGATGATTAAGGGCCTAAATTTATGGATAAAAATCTTTACTAAATACCCTTAAAATGATTGACAAGCTCAGTTCTACGAAGAAAATAGCAGAACAAGAGAACTTGTTAATCTTTATCCACGATGTCTTTCCCAAAAAAGGTCTAAAAATCAATTTAATCCAGCAATAAGATTGTTATAGCTGCACGCAAGCGTCTGTCCTTCAAAAAAGGATGAGATGTGCACGTATATAAGGATCAATGTTGACATCATTGATACGCAGAATTAAAAATTAAACGGTTTTTGCTCAAATGTAGCCAAATTATCACCAAAGAATGCTTTTGCACATTGGCCGTCGATTTACTGAGCAGAAATGATGAAAAGAAAAGATTTCCGAAAGAGACTTTTGAGAAAAGACACGCCAAGGCGACTTTTTCAGGACGAAACAGGTGAGCCTTTTTTTCCTTTTTGAAATTCTAGAGAAAAAAAACGATTTAGGGACAAGAACATTCCAACGATCATCAATATTTGTTATGAGTTATTAATAGATAAGGAAGGCTAGAAGACTAGGCGCTGTCCATTCAATATGAATTTGATTTGACAAAAATACAGTAGCCCGTTAATTTATAATAAAGATCTCTAACAATCAAAGACCCGACAAAAAAGGAGGAAAAACAGATGATGAAGGAAGTCCACCGAGCTTCGATCAAAAAGAAACGGTTGGAAAAAGACTGTAATCATCTGTCTTATTTTTTCATTTTCTAGAGGCCGTGCTAGAGATTCGAATGTCACGGAAGAAAGCAACACATCAACTGCTAGTTTTTGTTACCTCGGCCATATTCAAGGAAAATGACAGAGACGATGCTACTTGGTATTTTAGATCAAAAGAGTAGAAAAAATCATCATCGAAAAAGAAACGAATGAATATTTTATCGGCGTACCAATCTACTGGCTGCTTGCGATCTATAGCTTCTTGGTGTTTCTGGTATTGCCGCTACTTGTGCAGACGTTTCTTGTCCCATTTTTTGTTCAAAGCAAATAAATTATTTTAACGCTGATATTGTCATTTCAATGAGTCATAAAACCAACGGAGACCGCACCATTTTTGAAATAGTTTTCTTCTTGATCAAACCGTTCCACGCCCAGATTTTGAGTTCACTGAAAAGATGGTGAAGCTGAAAATAATTTGCCACGGCGGAGCTTGGAGTATCCCAGACGATGCAAAAGAGAAATCACTCGAAGGAATTCAACGAGCCGCTAGAGCTGGAATCGAAGCTCTCAAAAAAGGAGACAAGTCGGAAGACGCTGTTGTTTCAGCCGTTACAGGTATGATAAAATGATTAAGACGGAGAGTGAATTTTAAGTGATGGAGAACGATCCGATTTTCAACGCTGGACATGGCGGTTCTTTGACCAGGGATGGGACTGTCGAGCTTGATGCTATGGTCATGCGCGGGAGGGACTCTTCTATTGGTGCTGTTGCGGCTCTCAGGTAAGAGAGATCAAGAAATCAAAAAAAAAGATAGATCTTCAGAAATGTTAAAAATGCTTGCCAAGTCGCTCGAAAAGTAATGGATTCTGAGCACACCCTGATTGTTGGCCCTGGAGCCACTGAATTCGCCAAAGAAAAGGGATTCGAAATCATTGATGATTCAACTCTGGTCACTCCCTATGAAAAAGCTGCGTTGGAGAAGATTCGTCATTACGGAACTGGAGTAGAGTCGATTTTCAAAGCTGGTGAAGCTCATGATACAGGTAAAGAAAACAATCTTGGTTGTATCTTACTATATTTTTTTCTGTAGTTGGCGCTGTCGGTTTTGACGGAGAAGGGTTCTCCTGTTGCACAAGTACTGGTGGCGTCACATTTAAACGACCCGGACGAGTCGGCGACTCTCCACTCGCCGGAAGCGGTGGCTGGGCTGACGGAGGAGCTGCTTGTTCAACCACTGGCCACGGGGAAGGAATAACCAAGGCACTTCTTGCTCATCGCGTCGTCTGGGGCTGCGGTGCTGATCAAAGTAGAGCTTCGGCTGCAGTCGACGATGCACTTGATTTTATGAAGACGCAGATTGGATCACAAGGTAAAGAGAAGCATACCAGCTCATAGGAAGAGTATTTTTAGGCGGTGCAATTTGCCTGACTCGAGCTAGTTTTGGCGTCGGATTTAATACGAAAAGAATGCCCTGGTGCTACATCAGCTTTGATACAGAAACTCGAGAAGAAGAATGCATCTTTGGAATCGAACCTGCGAGTCTTGATCAACGAGAAATGCCTGAAATTATAGTTTGCCAATAATAATACCAAACATGACCGTTTTTTGTCCTATGGGTGGGGTTGCGCCAGTGGGAAAATGGACTTTTTTTGCACTTAACCTGGAGGGATGAAATTTTGTGGATATATTTCTGAGGTCCTAATCAAGAAAAAAATCAAAAAAAATTTTCGAAAAATTAAGGGTATAGGGGTTGAAAAATCGATTTTTTCATTTTTGCAAAATTAAGCCTGAGAAAACCTAGACTATCATTTAAAAAGCTCAAAAATGATTTTTTCGAGTCGAAAAAAAGTCGAAGCGAGATAATAAATCCGCAAATAAAGAAATTTAAATTATAAAAAATTTGGATAGAAACCATAAAAAAAGGAAAAACTTGAATAATTTGTATTTTCACCTCGAATGGGTGTGGGTGGGGTTGGGGACATAACTGAGATTGATCACCTCAGAGTCCAACGCCGATCTAAAGCCCCTAAAATTTAAAAATCAAGGAACGGGGCTGAGACGGCCCGAAGGGCCGTCAAGCCCTTAAATTTAAAAATCAAGGAACGGAGCTGAGACGGCCCGAAGGGCCGTCAAGCCCTTAAATTTAAAAATCAAGGAACGGAGCTGAGACGGCCCGAAGGGCCGTCAAGCCCCTTAAATTTAAAAATCAAGGAACGGGGCTGAGACGGCCCGAAGGGCCGTCAAGCCCCTTAAATTTAAAAATCAAGGAACGGGGCTGAGACGGCCCGAAGGGCCGTCAAGCCCTTAAATTTAAAAATCAAGGAACGGGGCTGAGACGGACCGAAGGGCCGTCAAGCCCTTAAATTTAAAAATCAAGGAACGGGGCTGAGACGGCCCGAAGGGCCGTCAAGCCCCTTAAATTTAAAAATCAAGGAACGGGGCTGAGACGGCCCGAAGGGCCGTCAAGCCCTTTAAATTTAAAAATCAAGGAACGGGGCTGAGACGGCCCGAAGGGCCGTCAAGCCCCTTAAATTTAAAAATCAAGGAACGGGGCTGAGACGGCCCCTTCTATTCATTTTTAACATTATTTATTATATTTTTCAAAATTTTCGGCCAAAACGGAAATTTTCAAATCGCCCGCATTTTCGTTGCCGGGCGTTGCCGGACGAGATTTGACTTGATATGTAGACAGCATCGTCTGAGCTTTCTTTTGGTGGTGTCAGTTTGGTTGGCCAAGCTTGGCCACGTGAGAAAATCGGCAAAACGTGCGAAAAACCCGGTATTTTTTGAAAAAAATCCCAATTGACCGTCAAAAATTCAAAAATTTATAATTTTTACCATTTTTTATGAAATTTTCGCCAATTTTCACACATAGTCCCGTAGTTTCAGCCATTTTGAAAAACAAACCGTTTTCGGCCGAAATCCCACCAGCGCAACCCCACCTATGGGCCATAGGCTATGGCTTTCCTAAGTTCAAAAAATATATGCTCAAATCGGGGAAAGCCGAAGGCTCATCAAAAGAAAGACAAAAAGATGGGGGAATTGGATTTGTCAGCTGATCGGACACGTCCGTCACTACGTGCAAATGTAGTTTGTCTTTTGCCATGAATAATTTATCGGAGAAACGATTCCGTGCCGTTTGCGAAAGTCAAATTAGCCTGATGTTGACCTGTTTGACCATGAAATGAGAAAAGAGACGAGAATAGAAGAAAAAAAAATGCTTCAAGACAAAAATATCAAGTCTTAGTTGATTTTCATAAAAAATTGTTTTGGTTTTTTTTTTGCTGTTTTAGGCGAATCACAAATTTCCTCCAAATTTGATATTAAAGCTTCCTGTATTAAGGATATACCCCATAAAATTGAACTTTTATAGCGCCGAAATGCGACGTAATCTCGAGTAAATAAAAATTTAAGTTATTTCTTCGCTGATAAGAACTAGTTTTAGGGTGCTAGAATCATTTGTTTGTGACTAGCAATATCTTTCCATATCACTGTAGCGGATAGCAAATGAGGTCTATTGAGCAAGATCAAAAACTAATTTTCGAAAATTTTCGTTTTTTTTCTTGCTTTTTAGAAAATTTTTCGCTTCGCTTTCGCTTCGCTTTCGCTTCGCTTTTGCTCTAAATTTTTGAAAAATTTTCGCTTTCGCTTTTCATTTTTGGCCAATATCGAGACCCCTGGAGCCGTTGAAAGTCGACACTTTGGATTTCACTTGTTAAAAGTACTTCTGATCGTACATTGTTGACCGAAGAACTAATTCGATAAATTTAAATTGATAATAAACGTCTTTGTGAAGCTGAATAATTAGCGTTAGTCGGGAGAAAATGTTTTTCCTTCTGGTCTCTCGAAGGTGACGTCCATCCTGCATCGAATGAATTTTTCAGCGCTTTGGATCGAAGTGGATAAATCTTTTAATGGATTTTAGATTGCGCACTATGGAAAGATATGATCGACTTTTCCCGAAGCTGAAACTTTGAGATTTCTTTTTTACGAAGAATTTTTCTGCCGAGAAAGAATGATTTTTAAGAAGTTCGCTTTGAAAGAATATTTCGAGCTTTTTTGCCAATTTTTTGTATTTTATCGATAACTCAATAATTTTCGATGTAAAATTTTCTGAACGAAAATTCATTTGACACCCTTATCGCTTGAAAAAAGTAGCTTTTAATATGATTTTTCTATTAAAAAGAAGTTTTAATCAAAATCAATTTAGCATTGTCAGTCCCCTTAAATTTGACCCTGCCTCGGCATCATTTTTGAGCATATCTGTCAGGACTATCTAATTCAGCGAATATCTGTAGTGCGAACTAATTTATTCATTCCCAACCAAGGGCGAGAACAAATCCAGACTTCCAAAAGTAGGAGAATTATCGGAGAAAAGAAGGGAATAGACAAACTAATTGGTTTCAGGTAATTCTCTGAATTTATGGCCTCTAAATTGGCCCGCACGCCTCCAAAATGCTTTTCAGAGGTCAAAACTGGTCCGTTTTCATCTCAGAAGGTTCACCATTTTTCAACGAAGAGAGAGATAGAATTTAAGATTGAGAGAGAAGAGTATGAACAAGTCAATGAATCTTCCGGGCAATAATGTTAGTACGTCCGAAAGTCTTCAATTCAAAGGTAAAACCATAAGAGGCCTGTTTTTCCGTTCAATAAGCCATATTTTATTGATGAAAAGATGAAATTTAAAGAATAAGTACAACATCATCGTGCTTGAAATTAATCAAAAACCGAGGTTATGATAATTTGGAATCTGATAATTTTTAGTTCTTGTGAAAAAACGAAGCCAAAAACCAAGGCGAAAAATTTATGTTATAATGACGATTGGCTCAATTTTAATGACCATTGGGTTGGTGCTTACTGTAATGCATTTCACTAAGGAGGTAGGCCCAGGGCTCGTCTTTACTGATTAGCATAATTTGGTCGGCAGGATATTTTGGGACTAGAAGAAGCGAAAAGACTGTTCAATTCTATGCCTACTGAGCCGCCGATTACATACAAGTCGGAATCGATTAATATTTCTGAAATTATGGACAATCCAGAAGAATTGACAAAATACACAGCAGTAAGTGCTCTCCCCTTAATTGAAGGGGGAAAATAATGAAATCTTTTATATGAAATTTTTAGCTGAAAGTTGAAGAAAGCAAAATCGCAGCCTACCCAGCTGAACTGCCGACAAAAACGATCAATCCATTGTCGCTGCCGTTCTTTATGGCTTCGACTATTAGTAAGATTTCATTTCTTCAACCCTTTCTTGACAACTTTAGTTGTTTCATTTGGAATCGTCTTCATTCTCGTCGGAACAACTTGGTGGAAAATCGTCGTCGACAAAGAAAATGCAAAGAACAAAGGCTAGTTTTCTTCTGTTATGTAAATTTGCTCGAATAAAAATTTTGAATAAACTGTACGATTCATCAACAAAACGGGCAAAATCAAATTCGCGCCCGTCTGATCCGTAGAAGATTAAAAGCGGACGCGCTAATAAAGTTTTGTCCAAAAAAGATTGAATTTTAATTTGCATCTGGTCGACCCTCGATCAATACGCACCCTTCTTTCCAACCTTTTTTTCCATAAATCAAGCAAAAAATGCGCTTTTGGTACGTTTTTCCCTTTTTAACATTTGGGTTTTATGAAGAAAATGTGCTGATTGAGAGGCTTTTTAATGGATACAGGCTGGATATAAAGAACAACAGTTACTGTCAGAGAAAATATCAAGGAGTCGAGGTTGAAGATGTTCCTGATTCTTGCGTTGAATACGTCAAGAAATGAGTTTCGCAGAAATTTTCTTTTTTGTCAGTTAAATCAAAAGAATCTCTCGTCTTTTCCAAGGAAAAACTCGTCAAAAGGACAAAATCGCGGCATACAACAAGTTTTCCCGGCCAGTTTTCAACATCAAGGACTCCGTCAATGTCACCATGTCCGTAACCCTCCTTCAACTTGTCGAATTGAACGAAAGAAAGCAATTTTTAACAACGTCCGTCATGTTTAACATTCGTTGGAAAGACCAGTATCTTTCCTGGCGTCCAAGTTTGAACTCGAATATTACCTCGATAGTCGTCCCGGCGGGGAAGATGTGGAAGCCGGACATTTTGCTCTATCAGAGCATCAAGGAGCAATTTGACCAAAAACAGGACCAAGAGGGGAGCGACTACGACAACATCGTCGTCCACCATTCCGGAAACTGCACATGGCTCCCTCCTGATAAATTGAAGAGTTCCTGCTCTCTCGACATGAAATACTTTCCATACGACACGCAGGTCTGCGAGATGAAATTCGGATCGTGGAGCTACAGGAAGCACCTGCTCAGGTTGAACATGGAAACGACTACAAGCAAACACACAGGGGAAGTCATGGCGATTCATATTGATGAGAATCAATTCATCAACTCGACCGCCTGGGAGATTTTAAAGACAGAAGGTGACGAAGATGACACTTGAGCTGATTTTAAAGAAATATTTTAGGGACTCTGAATGATACCTCCTATGACTGCTGCGAAGGAATCTATCAAGACATCACGTACAAAATCTATCTCAAGAGATTCACTTACTTTCCATCAATGACCCTAGGTACTTATGATCCCATCCTTCTTCGAGCAATTTTAGTCCTCCCCTGTATTCTCTGCGCCCTGCTCATCCTCTGCACTTTCTTTCTCCCAGCTCAAAGCGGTGAAAAAATCGTCCTCTCGATAACGATTCTCCTCGCGATGGTATTTTTCATGGCTCAATTGAGTTCTAAGACTCCTCGAATGCCAAATACGCTTCCAGTGATTGGCCAATTCTTCGTCTCTTCCTGCTGTCTGATCAGTATATCGATGGCGTTTACTGTTATTAGTCTGAAATTCTACCACAATAAGGGACGAAGAGGAATGGGGAGGATTTTCCGGTTCATTTTTCTTCAGGAAATTGGTCAAAAACACCAATTTTTTGCCCAAAAAGCTCAAATTACAACCAAATAATGAGTTTCTGCCGGCATGTTACAACATGGAACCCTTGCCAAAGGCTGACGAAGTTGTTTTCCCATCCGTTCGTGATTCTGACCCCCTTCCTATTGGAATGAAAAACGGGCCGGCAGCCCATCTTTACCGAGAAATCCGTTTCATCGCCAATAAAATCAGAAAACGAGACATGGCGCTCAAGTACGAGAGCGAATGGAAATATGCATCCGCCGTTATGGACCGGTAACAGCCAAGAAAAGAATCTCAAGAATTTCTATTTAGCCTTTCCGCGACTGTTATTGCTTCTGGACTTGTCCTTGCCTTCTTCTTAACTATCTTTTCTGCTTCTCAAAGATCAGATTATTGATGAAAAAAATATACGGTATATCGGGCTTTATTTGATCGAATACTTTTATAAAAACTTATGTACAGAAAAATTCGTCAACAGGAAAAACTATCGGCCGCTCAAATTTTCCAAATATATGAGTAATGTTGATAACTTTTGCTGATGATATTTTTTCTCCATCCCATTCAAGTTTCTCCACATTATAACTAAGTTCAATAATTAAGGCATATTTTTGAGAAAACATACCCGCTGACAAGAAAGATCGTATTTCCGATTCGCTTTGGGGAAGAGTATTTATGCTTACATTTAATTGAATGATGGCTGTATAAGGAAAATTCTTACATATTCATTAAGCTGCCCAACGACGGTCCATTCTGAGTCGCGAAACAGATATATATCCTTTGAAGCGGCATTTTCGTTGCCACCTCCCATCACCATTAACCCATCATAAATTCCGATGCAGGAATGGACGTAAATTTTTCTACAAATCATCAAATTAAAAAATATGAAAATCGATAAACTTCGGAAAATCAGACAGTTCTGTCCAAAAAGCGCCGTCAAATTTCTCCACTTTTTTGTAGCCATCAGAAAGTGCGGAGCCGACAGCAATTTTTTCGTCCTTGTAGAGCGCCAAACATGAGGCTTGGTGTGAGTATTTTGTCGCCGGTTTTATTGAAACAGAATAGCCATCAAATTCTTCGCATTATTTGTATTCTTCGGCGGGAAAGCAAATCAATGCTGAAAAGAAGAAACATGCAAGATAAAAGCGACTTTATTATTTCTTCTTATTCTACTTATTCTATTATTATTCTACTTGTCCTTTACCTGATTGTTGATCCGCAGCCGTTACTGCAGCAGAGTTGAAGAAATAATCATTCCTGAGTTTCACATTTAATTCCTGGATTTCACAGTCGTTTATCATCGCAATCTATTTTCACAAGAAATAAAATTATTTGTAAGCTCTGTTTTACACGAAATTCATATTCTTCGTATCCACCAAAAATGTATACTTTTCCGCGAATCAAAGCAGAAATCGAAGCGTAAAGGTAGTGACCTTCATGATTTGAAGGAGGCATTTCGATTTTGCGAGAATTCTCGCTTCCGTCTGGTTTGAGAACGTAGCTCAGGAACTCAGTTTGAGAGTTGTAACCAGAAATAACCATCAAGGAATTTTTTTCGCGTCCGAAACAGTTTTCGTTTTCGACTTGCAGCTCTTCGATCTCTGTTTTATAAACTGACAATTTTCCTTCGAGTATTACTTTTTCACTTTCTTCTTGCTGGAGATCATTTTTCAAGTCCTAGCGATTTTTATTTATAATATGCTTTAATTTTCAATGAAACCGTTGTAGCTCTTTGGCATCGCGCCGTCTCTTCCTTGATTTCATTCCTTAAATTTTCCATGTCACTTTTGCATTGGTCGATTTCGCTTTGAAGATCAGAATTTCTTAATAAACAAATCAAATCAAGCCAAATCAAAAAACGACTATTTACCTGATTCTTTCGATATCCAAATTTTCCTGAATCGAGCTTTTCTCCCTTTTTGCTATTTCTAAATCTCCTTTCATTTCCGTCAAAGCAGCCTGTTCTTCATCTGTTTTCGATCTTATGAGCTCCTCGTTCTCAGCGATCAAGTCGGCATTCTCAGTTTTCAGCCTAACAATTTCCGCCTCTAATTTTTTATGACTTTTTTATGATTTTTCTCCAAAGAACCTTTTTCAGTTTGACCTTGAAGCCTTTTCCATATACTGTAATTTCTCGATTTGAGTCTGAATCAACAATTTGTCGTTGAAATTTGAATGAACTCTGTCTTACCGCATTTTCTCGTTGGAAAGCTTTTCATTCTCATTTTTCAAACTCGCCAAATTTTCAGAGAGACTCTTCGATTTTCGATGAAGATCTTCAATTTCAGCTTTCAAATGCTGGTTTTCGCGTTTATAACCATTTGCGTGCTCCTTAAGATCCTCAACCATTATTCTTTTATCGAGTTCCGAAAGCAAATAATATAAACAAAACATCTGTTTTGGAACCTTCCCGATATTGCTCAAGATCGAGGACCGTTGTTTTTGTGCAACCGCTTTTGGATTCTTCGTTCTGCCAGCAAGGACATGTTTCTAGCTCACGCCGAAGCTCATACTGGCACTCCTCCATGCATTCATAAAAATGGCAATCTCGTGAGCAGCGCTCGAATTCCTCCTCAGCCGCTTTCTTGCATTTTGCGGCCCTGTTTCTGGCAATTTTGCTGTGCCTTTGCTGCTTTTGCAAAAGGCTGGGCAAGAAAAATCAAGGCTGCAGATCTTTTTCAAGGTTTATGACTCAACGCATAAAATATTATGTCATATGATGTTTAAAACAGAAAATTTTAACCTGTTCATTTGTTGCTGAAATCAGCTCCACAAAAAGAAGAAGAAATACAATCATTTCTCTCTTGAAAAAAATCTGAGGCTGGTTGCTAAGGCTATTAACGCAGTGAGTCATCTTCTGAGTACAGGTTCGCTTTAACCCACTGAGAATTTGTTGCTGCTTGATTTCAGACAGCATCGTGGACGAATTTGGAAGAAGAGGTTTTGAGGACTTCTTTGAGCTCTTTTTGCATTTGCTCTTTTTTATGAAGTCTTTCAAGTCTTCTGACTTCTTAGTATCATGTTCGTATAATTGGTAGTGCCGTGAAGGTCAGTTTTAATGGTGCATTTCTTTTATTGTCGCAATTTTTGGATGGTGTCACAAGCGAGAACGAGAGAATGATATTACGGAGCCTCCTGCTTATAAAATGTATTCAAGTTGAAGCGCAGGTACCAGAGAACCAACCGAATATTATCTTTGTGATCACGGATGATTTGGGATGGTCCGACGTGAGTTGGAACAATAAGCAGCTGAAATCGACACCTTTTATGGCGGATTTGATTGAAACGGGCCGAGCATCGTCGTTAAGGAACTCTTATGTAACGCACAGGATCGGCTCAAATATTTCTATCACCAGAAATGGGCCATTACTAATGGCCGGTTCTTCCAGTATGAGTTCCAGTACAAGCCTCAGAAAGATGCAGTCCGTCGCGGGCTCAATTTTTAACAGGCCGGTATGCCTTTCGATACGGACTTGGATCTGACCCGATTTCTCCTGTTAATCCGATCGGTCTAAGTACAAACGAAAAGATTCTGCCTGAGTTTTTAAAGGAAATTGGATACAGTACTCATGCTGTTGGAAAGTGGCATCTTGGATATTGCAATGATTCCTATGTGCCCCATAATCGAGGATTCGACTCTTTTCTTGGGTTCGTAGTTCAATTACTTCACTCAAAAAATTTCGTATTTTAGCCATTACCGAGGAGGTGTCGATTATTTCACCCACTCTAATGAAGGTGAAATTTCCATATTTTTTTTGCTTCCTTCGAATAAAAATTTAAGCACCAGGAACATACCTCAATCACTTTCTCAACGGAGAGCCACACATCCCTGAAGGAGGTTTCGACTATGCCACCTATGCCTGGAGCAATAGAACAAACAAGATCTTGAGAGAAAGCTTGGGTCAGCCGAATTTTGTCTATTTGGCGTTCAATGCTCCTCATGAACAAGTTGCTGCTCCCCAAAATTTAGTGGTAAGAAGCAGAAAGAAAGCTTATTGGATGAATTAAAATAGGATGAGATGAATGCTCTGTATCCCGACATGCCAGCTACTCGGCAAGTCCACCTTGCTGCCGTTAAATCCATTGATATCGCGATGCAAAGCGTCATTGAAGAAGCATCCAAACTCGATCGCGAAACCATCATTATCTTCCATTCTGACAACGGCGGCTCTATCCAAGCGTATGGGGGCGACGCTGAAGGTCCTCGAGCTTGTAACTTTCCGTACAAGGGTTACAAGAGCGTCTTGACTGAGGGAGGAACTTTGAGTCCGACTTGGGTCTACTCGACAAAAAGGGAGTTTCACTCGCGATACATTGATGGAATGATCCATATCATGGATTTTTTCCCGACAATTCTCCATTGGGCAGGAAAAGGGCTTCAATCACTATCTGATTTTTTTCTCAAATTTTCGATAAAAGTGTAAAAAAGCCAAGAAAAGGCTTCGACAAGCAGATGCCAAGAAATCTCGATGGAATTGATCAATATGATCTATTCGAAAATGCTTCAGTCACCAAAATTCGAGATCGATTCATTTACGGACTCCTCCACAATTGGGATAATAATAATCTTCAATGGAAAACGAGCTATGCCGTCCGATACGGAGATTACAAGTTTATGAATTATCAAACTGAGCTGATCGGAAACACTCAGTGTCCAGAAGGCTGGTCTAATAATCGACATGAGAAGTATCTTTTTCCGTATAAGAAAAAAAGAACCACAATGATGAACAAAGGTCAGTTTTCTCATCAAAATCATGTTGGTCATTTAATTTTAGTTTGGGAAATTTCTGATGCTGAGCCAAACAAGGAAACTGGCGAGATCAAACCCGATCCTGGCTTCTCCTTATACAACCTCAAAAACGACCCTTTTGAGACGAGAAATTTGGGCACAGGAGAAGATAGCAAAAAATACAAAAAGATCTACATGGATCTCATGAACGATATCCAATCATATGTCGTCGAAGAAATTCAAAAAGGGGTTGAATATCCAGTCACTGGAAAGATGAACGGAAACCTCCTCTCAAAAATTTTCAAGAAAATACCTGTTGACGAGAGATCGGAGCATTATTTCGAGACCGGTCGAATTATTCCTTTTGACAGGTAAAGATGAAGAAGCCAATTTTTCTTCATATTTAATGCTAGCGCAACCCAAGAGTCGACTGGCCTTGATGGTTATCTTGGAACCAACTGGTGCCTGAACAACCTTGATGATGCTCTATTAACTCAAATGTACCATGATGCTGTTTTGAACGATCAAGAGGTAGTCGGCGACTACTAGTCGCTAAGAATTTTATGTCTATATTTTTTATTTTCTAGAGACTCGCTGACATGATCAACTTATATTTATGGGATGGTTACGGTCCAGAATGAGCTACTCGATTTTCTATGCAAGAAACAACCTTATGAAATAAATTAATAAAATTTTTTTCTCTTGATATTCGCTCATTCTCAAATTTAATTTTTGAATGACAAGGGTAAGTCTCTGCCCTTTTCGTCTATTCATTTGAAATGCTGCTGATGCTCGTAAAAAGCTCGAGCGGTCCCAATTAGTCGATTGGTAGCTGGGATCAATCTTCCATGAAATGGGCCTGTTCATGGCCGCCAGCTCATTACCTTATTCATAAACAAGCTACCAACTAGTTTCTCCAAAACTTGAGAGAAAACCTAAATCCTTGAAAGCAGGAAAACCGCCGGAGTCATCGGATTTGCCCCTGGGCTGAGAGACCTGCTTATTTGAAGATGATTGATTGAACAGAGCCGAGGATAAGATAACACAAATATCTTCTCAGCCAGTGCAATTTGAATAAGATTAAGAGAAAAAATGGATCCAGCAGGGTTTATTTCAGCATTGGGAGATGAAAGCTCGAAGAATCAACATACAGTTGTTGTTGAATTTACAGAGGTAAGATGATTGACTGTTGAAGTTTACAATTGTATATAATTTTAAGGATACAGTGATACATTTTGTCGGCTGTTACGGCTTCCTTCTTATTGGCTTGATTCTTCAATTATCAGGAAGCATTACAGAACAGATCAACTGTATAAACTCCCAGAGTCCAGTCGACAATGGCCTTTCTCGCGAAACAGTTGCTTACGTAAATAATTTTTGCTGGATGGCGGAAAACGAAAATGGACAGAACTTTGTCGAGTTTGAAAACCCAGGTCAGTGATTGAAAAATGAGGCTCAAGTCAAGTTTTTCTAGAGCTCGATGCGCGATGGTATGTCGACCACCTATCAAAAATCTTCTTCTTGATTTCCATTTGCTTCCACATTCCGAAAATTGCCTGGAGCTTGAGCGTCGGGGGCATCCTTAATTCGTACATGGGATACACCAGGTTGTTACTGGATATCGTCAAGCAGAAGCTGGAGTCAATTCCAAAAGATGGTATTTGGGGCGGAACTCAAAAATATCACCCCGGACGGGCTTTTGATCCTGATTCCAAGCTTTTTAGCCAGGTAAAATTTTATTTTCAATTCTTGTTTACAATTTTTTCTAGCGCCAAAAATATGAGCCTTTGAGAATGTCAAGTTTTCTTCAAAATGTTGGGGAAGGAGCAGCATCCTTAGAAGATATGCTCGAAGGATCAGACACAAGCTCCGTCAAAGAAACTCAAACGAGCTGTTTATGCAGCAGTTCGAAAAAGAAGACTGCAAAGAGTGACGTAGAAGACCCTCTCATGGATCAATCCGAGTCATTTTGCTGCCTGGGAAATAGATGCAAAAACGTCTGCAAGATGAACGATCGCGCGCTTGTTGGGAAACTCATGTATCGAAACTTCAGTCACATGAATGTCGTCCCGCTTATTGTCTCCATTCACAAAGTTACATACATACAAGGTACTCAATTCTTCTTCCGGCAAAAAAGTCTCAATTCTTCTTTCAGACGCAGCAACATCCCATCATCAAGTCCTCTACGACGGTAAAAACGACCCTCATCCGAACATCAATCCCTATCGCCACGGAGTTCTCTGGTGCATTTTAAAAATGTGGGCTTGCCAAGGAAATTTCAACGGGAGCGTCTTGTACAAAAAATATCTCATTCGAACACTTTCAAATTTCGTCCTGAGTGTTGGTCTATTAGTGCCAGCAATTATTTGCGGAAAACCATTTATACTGGGATGGAATGATATTCCGGAAGAAATGGATTGCATTATCCCGACAAAGGGGCAGCAGATTCAAGCGACTTGTATTTTACCCGTTTGTTTCACCATCCATTTTACCGCTAAATAAACATTTTCAGACGGTTGGCGATGTCTACATCCCTCTCATCATCGCAATTCTCTTCCTTGCTATCAATACCGCTATCTCCTTTTGGGTCATTGTCACTGTTTTTATTCGCCCAAACACTTCATCAATTGGTTACAACTTTTTATCGTACATTTTCGACGATGCTCTTGGCTACTCGCTTCTTTGGCAACGGCCAAATAAAAACCCGCTGCAGAAAGAAATGATGAAGGCGTCAGTTGATCAGAGCCTTCCTGTTACTATTGAGTGTCTGTTGAAAGACAAAAAAGATAAATAAAGCCTAAATATGATTGCTTACAGTTTTATTTCTTTTTGTTTGACGAGCAAGTAAATGAGTTTTTCACATTTTTTTTCGGCAGTTATATATCCGTTCCATGGAGTTACCTTAGTGCTCTTTGAGTAAAGATCTGAACATCGTTTAAATGATTAGAGGACAAAGTAAGCTAACAATCAACACACTCTTCAAAGATCATGTTCAGGTCAAACATAGACAAGGCCTGGGTCGAAGCGAAGATAATGAAGAAAAAATTCATCGCTTTTCTTTTTTTAATCTCTTCTGTATGCTTTCTTATCGCGGGTCTTTTATAAGCTACACTTTATCTAAATTTTTAACAAGTAATTATCAACGATGCTGCAACTGAGAATAATTAAATCTAGCCCACTGACAATATGGCATCATGGAAATGTTCTCATATTAGCGGACTAATGTGGCACTGAATTGAGAAAAATCGATATCGGACTCTTTTTTATGTCATTTGTAGAACAAGAATGTTCAACTGATCACTTTCATTCGAAAGGTTTTTTATATAGGCGAATTTGTTTTTAATTATAAACAAGCAATAATTGTCAAGGGTGCGGAAACAAAAACGAGAATTATTTAATTTGAGCATTGGCAATCAGACATCATCCTTTAGGATCATCTACTTGGTCGAGACTGTCAGCCAAGCCTTATTCAATGCATATTGTATGATTTTCGTATGAATGATCATTTTTATTACCAAATAAGAATAGTCGACTAACAAGGAAGCAGGTTTGCAGTGAAAACATGATGGCATAATGAGCTCTAAAAGTGTGTTACACACTGATTTTCTTGAAGCTAACAAGTAGGTTGATCATCTCATCACATTTTTCTTCAGCAGATTCGTACCCATTCCAAGGGGTTTCCTCGGAACCTTTTGTATACATGCCTGAAATCATCAATTTAATTGAAATCAAACACTTATAACTGGCTCTTTACGTTCAAATAGGGAGTAGAAATTTACCTTCAAGGCATTCCCTGTAGATTTTATTCAAATCATACATCGACAAAGCTTGGCTAAAAGCAAAAAGGAAACAGAAAAAATTCATTATTTTGTTTTAGCTCTTATTCGAATCTAGATGATGATGTCGAGTAAGATCTGTGCGATGACTTTTATAGAAAGATTGGCTTTAAATTATCCACGAACAATTATCGAGGAAGGAGCAACTATTGACCAGCAGGTACCGATAGATATCCACCGTGAAATAATTAATCTGATACTGTACTTGATACGTGTCAATGAGACTCAATCATTCATCAGCAATCGTCCGAATCTGCACTCTTTGGAACGACGGTTTTTATTCAACACACAGTGGTATAAAAGCTTTTTGAAAATATCATCAGGCGGATATTTTTGATTTATCGATGTACATTTGCAGGAGGTTTTCGCATTCGCGGTCGACGTCTTGTAGGAATCGGAAGTAATTGTCTCCATTTTCGCTCAAGTATTTTGCATACATTCCTAAAATAAATTTAAAAAAAAAATCCGAAAAAATCAAGTGTTATTCTCTTACCATCGATACAATCTTCATAAATCGAATTCAATTCATAAAACGACATTGCCTTGGAACCAAGAACAAATAAAATTGCACAGCTTGTGACTTTCATTTCTACCTTGAAACGTTTCTTGTCAAGAGACACTTATAAGACGCACTCTTGAATAAGAGACGAATGATTGTCCGCAAATCGGTGCAAATTTAATTGATCTGAATCAGGTTCCTGGTACTCTGACAATTCAAAATTTATCTGGTTTTCTTATTGTCACCGCTTGGACCGGGAAATTGTTGTAATTTAATTTGACATTGTTATCAAGATCATAAAATTTAAGTTCAAGAGCTGAAGGTCGTTCTGGAATAAAGAAAAAGTAGACAACGAAAGACGAAATCTAAAAATGTTTACAATCCAGGGCAACAGAATTGGGTCAAGATTGTCAGAAAAAATAGACAGGGACAAAGAGCGACAAGAATGATAGTCAGTATACTCAGACCAATTTTACTTCAGAGAGTCGTCTTTTTTCTTGTTTAGCAAATCAAAAAAGGTGAGTATCACCTTCGTTTTAATTTTTGTTTGAAATGGGATTAATTACATAATAACTTCCGTTTTTGTCTAACTTTTTCTGGTCTCGTTTGACGTAACAGCTTTTTAATAATTTTCATTTTTTCCTTCTTTTTTACTTAATTTTTGAAAGAATAGAAGCAAATGAACCTACAGGAACCCTTGCGAAAAGAAAACATATTTCGGACACCTCAAGTGCCAAGAAGAATCATCCCGAGTCAATTAAAGTTTCGGCCATATTTTATGGATCAAGGTGAATTCCGCTGAAATCAAGGAAGAAAGCCATTGTGAAATATTCAGATTGGACCAGATCCAGTTCAAAAGGAAAAACAACAGAAAGAGTGCCCGAGAAAAATACGCAGCTTCCATCAACCATTACAATTCATGAGATCCAGACTCAGTCCATCAGGTAAGATTTCCACAAAAAGTCAATAATGACGACCTCAAATCAGCTCTTTTTTTAGACAGTTGCTCTAGTTTTTTTTTGGCTAAATAGAAAGAAATTCTGGGGTAAACCAAAATAAGTAAGTCTTAAGCTAGGACGTGACAGCGAAGGAGCGAACAAGAAAGTATCATACACAAAAGGATCAAATAAGAAAGTATCATACACGAAAGGATCAAATAAGAAAGTATCATACACCAAAGGATCAAATTATAATGTAAGATCCAAGCCAGTAACGTGCAAGATTGGATCGGGCATACATTTGAAAATGATTGAGGATGGGTTTCTTATAGGCCGGTAGGCCTTATACGGCAATCTTATTGGTTCCAAAAAAATTTGATCCTTTAATGCTTGATCCTATTTAATTTGGTACTTTCATGTATGATACTTTCTTATTTGATCGTTTCGTGTATGATACTTTCTTATTTGATACTTTAATGTATGATACTTTTTTATTTGATCCTTTCGTGTATGATACTTTCTTGTTCGCTCCTTCGCTGTCACGTCCTATCTTATTACTTCCTTATTTTAGTTTGTGCCGAAATTCTTCATTAACCCAAATACTACCAGTCTTGAAGAAATTCACAATAGAATATTTTTTTCAAACACTTTATTTCGTGCAACTCAAGAATCAATTCAAAAACAGTTGAGGCGGGAGTGAGACAGAATGCAGTTAATGATTCGTTAACTGTTTCAAATTTCATCGTTGAGCATTATGCTTTCCATGTGTGTTGGCTTTAACTACCTTGTCTGACAAATAAGAAGTATACAGAGGGAGAGCCTTCTCTTTTGAAAATAATCTGGGCGAGAAAAAGGTGGATTAGGCTTAATCCGCTCCAGCTGATTTCGAGGAAGGCATCAAGTTTGTTCCAAAGATGGTTTAGGAACTCGAATTCAGCGGCGAGATGGTGAAGGGGTTTCTTGTTGTGTTGATAAAAGTAGCACAAGTAGTGGGAGAGTAGAAGTGTATGATTTGGTGGTGGTGAAAAGTGAATGACTTCTGGTGTGTTTGTTGTTGTAGCTTGTGTTTGAATGGAAAGAGATCTAAAATTAAGATAAGATAATTTATGTTTGGGAGACTGTTACTTACGGTAATGTTCCATTTATTTGCCGCCGGCTCGGACATCGAAGTGATCAAGAGTCTCTTTGGAGAGGAGATCGGCTTGCTCCAAGAGAGCTGTGCTGTCATCGTCCTTGAGTCGGAGTCGTTTCTGTTCGGTGACAGAGTTTCGACCTTCGACGGGCATTGGGTATTTGGCGACGGCAGCGCCAGAAGAATCGAGACCATTGAGCGCCGTCTTCATGAAAGCGGCGAGCGTCTGGTACTGGTACTTTGCTTTGGCGAGTGTCTGAAGGGAACCGGCTGGTTCCAGACCAGCGCAAGCGTCAGCAGCAGCTGATGGATTTGCTCCACCGTTTGAGCATCCGAAAGACAATGGAGTCCCTGCTGCTCGGTTACAGAGATCAGTACCAGTAGTACTGATGCCAGCAACGCAACATGTTCGGCAGACGGATTCCCACTGAGAACGGTGGGTCTCGAATTTTTGCTGATCGAGCGCTGAGTTAATTCGGCACTCATCATCGATGTATTGTGGCGTTGTGCTGCTGTCGGTGTGCTTGCCAAAGAGCATGAATGGAAGAGTGTATCGCTCGTTGCGTCTCCAGTTTGCGACGCAGGCATCGGGAGATTTGCAACCGGTGTGGACAGCGTAAATTCGGTCGTATCGGGCACGAGTCTCGGTGAAGCAAACTCGCTCTTCACCTTTGCAATCCTGGACGACTCCATTGGCCAAGCAATCAAAGAAGACGTTCTTGCCAGCTGTTTTGCCAATGTCTACGTCAGCGGAGATACGAGCGTCACATTTCCAGCAGTGGAGACCATTTTTGTAGTCATTAAGGTCTGAGTCCAGATAGGTCTTTCCGTCGTAGCCGTACCCGCTTGGAGCAGCGTACTGGTACTGGTTCTTGTTCTTGTTCTTCTTGTTGCCGTACTGATCGTATTCGTACGCGCTGTACTGGGCGTACCCGTATGCTCCGTAGTCAGCGTATTGCCCGAAGGCTGTGCCGAGCAAAACACTGCAGAGAAGCTTCATCCTTCTACCTAAAGCAATGAATTGATTACATGTATCTTAACATCTACATGTAGTGAGCGAAAACTAATGCCAAAAAATTGGACCATGATTGTCGATTCTTGGACTAATAAGTAAAATTGAGGTCACAATTCAACCCATAAAATCGACAATCTTGGACCCACAAATCAAAATTATATCGAAAATCTTGTAAAATAAAGTCTCTTGTACTTACTCTGCACTACTCGCCTAACGATCCCGATTCCACTTTCGCTTTTATCAAAACTCCAGTGCTTCAAATCAGTTATGATTTGTTTCCAAACAACTCGCCAAGCACGTTGAAACGAGCACGCGTATGAGTTTATAAAAGATTTATTTGCGATTTAGAAATATTTACGGCTTTGAAAAAAAATGAGCCATCAGCGATTCATCAATAAACGTTCTGCTTTTAGCGGGCGAGTGACGAAAAGAAGGGTCGCGTTTTCAAGACGATTTAAGAGAAAGGACTTGGATCCAAATTTTGTGAATTCGAAGTTCTTCGAAGCAATTCGAGCGTCAAGACAAATGACAGATGGAGAAAACGTACTTACTCCGATTCCCAACAAGCCATTAGTAAGTCAATCGTAAGAGAACAGTTACTGTCAACATCTAGGATCCCTGCGTGTACGACAACTCAATACAGTACCCCGAAAGCTCAAGTCAAAATCCTGAAACTTCCTGTACAAAGCCCAGCGTTCAAACTGACCTCCTAACGTGCCATAAAACAAATCCAACCCAGGACGACAGAAAAAATATACAGTAGAAACAGATCTTTCTTTTATATTTCATTTTATTTGTGATTTGCTAAGTGGCAGTAGTGGAGAAAAAATAGTTAAAATGATTATTTTCATATCCGTGTCTGTACATGGGTAGCCTGGCATTTTCTGGAGTCGTGGTAGTTTTTTTTATTGCTTTTTTACATTTTCTGTTGCTCGTGGAATCGGACTGCTCGACCGTCAAGCTCAGCGATGTAGTTTGTTGTACCAAGTCGATACTGAAAAAAAATGATTGCAGAGGATGACCTTTGAAAAAGGGATTACCTGGACACAGTCGAGAATGGTATTCTGAGCGCGCTCAAATCGCTGAAGAAGGTCACCGGAATGCGCATCATGGCTTAAAAAGGGTTATTTTGGGGTCGGAAAAGCTAACTCACAGTTGCAAACTTCCGGTCTGTTGATTGGTACAAGCAGCCACAAGATGGTCGTCCAAGTTTAAAAGCTTATCCTGAAAGAAATCATCAACAAAATGCCTGAAATTCAAAATAACGTAGACGGGAAAAGGCAATTGAGCTAATCTCCATGAGCTTGAACTTACCCTGAGCATTTTATCATGCTGATGCGAGACACTAAACGTATTCACAACATCATTGGTAAGTCTTCTAGCGCCCTCCTGAGAATTCTGCGAAGTAAAACTGAGCTTTGATAATTTAGTTTGAGGTGGCTTGTTGCGGAATGTAGCGAGTAAGTTGTCCCCTAGCACGTGGAAAGGCATCCCATTTCCTGAATAAATGATTAATAATCTCCCAAAACTTGACTCTGGAACGAAAATCGTGTGGAAAAAGCATGCGAAAAAGAACATAAAAGCGAGGCAAAGCTAATATTGTGCGAAATGGATTTCAAATAGCCACCTAGAAGCAGTTTCTTACCAGGCATAAAGCTTGATGGACTTTCTTAAAAGTGGATAAAATGGGAGAAAAGCATTTACATACCTTCTTCTTGAGAAAGAACAGACACGGAATTCGTATTTTCGAGTCCAATCCATTGATACATCTTGTACTGGCCGCAAAGAAGCCCGTTGTTCTTGAAGTAAAGCGAATGGACTTGTTGGTAGTCGCCCCCGGGGACTTTGATGGTTCTGGTGGGCTTGCTGGTCTTGACCCGGACGTCGAACTCGAGGACGGATGCTTTGATGCCGCCGTAGACCAGTTGCTTTCCCCGGTTCCATGTTACAGACCAGACTGGAACCTGAGTTTCGAAACTGCGGGTGATTCTTGAAGCTTCGAGGTCGATGACTTTCATCGACTTATCCTGAAAGAAATCGTTTTTGGGGTTCGAAAATCTATTTTGCTTACCAAGCTTCCAGTGAGCAAGTAGCCACTGTTGAACTCAATGTCCTTTATCGATTGCTTATGCGTGGCCACATATTTCTTCCTGGCCATCGTTTGAATATCCAACACGCAGATTCCATGCGAAAAGTTTGAAAACGTCGTCGTATTCTGATTCGAAATTGAAGTCGCGCAGAGCACAGTGGACCGAAAAGGATCGTCAACAGCAAGTAATCTACATGCTTCTTTCTGCCCAGGCTGGTTGGTTTCTTTGATAAGTTTTTCTTCCTTTCGAAGAATGAATTTCGGGAAATGCCTTGGCCGTCTTTCGTCCTTGCTCTGATCATTACTCGTGCGGCGGTTCATTCGCAAATGGTGGATGATGGCTTCGTTTGCTTTCAAACTTTCTTTGGTGATTTTCAGCTCCGTCTCTGAGACGTTAAGTTTGTCCCGCAGAGTTTTGTTTGCTGCTGACATTTCTTCAACTTGTTTTCTGAACGAAGACAAGGTGAAAATCAAGCAAGAGAATAAACATACCTGAGTCCTTCGATTTCGCTGGTATCTTCTGCCACAAGCGGCATCGAGCTCGGATAGATCTTCTTTATCTGCCCCTTGGTCGTCTTTTTCTTACAGTTCGGGCATTCCTTCTTCATTTTCACCCATTTCGTTATACATTCTCGGCCGAAAAGATGGCCGCAAGAACTCAACGCGCATATTTCATGCGCTCCGTCCGTTTTCATATTCTCGAAGCAAATGTGGCACTGGGCAATTTCGTTGTCGACACTTTCTGAAAACAAGTTCAGAAAAGAAAAACAGGTTTTTATACTGACGCAAATTGGTGGAGCGTTTTTGAATACCTTCCTCTTAGCTACATTGTGCAAGTTACAAGAGATAGAGGAAGAGGCTTACCGTTGAGGGAAGGAGGTGCTTTGACGGGTGACTTTTTCTTGGGAGAAGGTTTTGGTTGAAGCGGCAGATTTTGAACTGGCTCTGGTGCCGCTGGTTCATCTTCGATAAGAATAACGCTATCATCTGCGATGATTGTTGGATTCTCAACGACGGGCTGAGTCGGATCTGGCACGTCCGAATCCTCGCGATCGTCTTGGGTTCCATTTTCATCGTCTACGTCATCTTCGTCCCCAAGTCCCAGATCGTATGGTGTATCTGGACGGATTCCCGGCGGTAGGCCTTCATCCATGCCTGGTTGTAACATAAAGTCGTCAAGGTTCAGTTCCGCGTCTGTCGCATCACTATCCGCCTCTGCATCTGTTTCGTCACTATCGGGGACGATTACTCCTCCATTTTCCGTGACTTGTGACGGTAGATATTCAGCATCGCCCTCGACGTCAGTTTCATCCGAGTCGGGGCCGAAAAGAGCGGAGTCTCCTGGATCTTCTTCGGAATCGCTGGCAAGAGCTTCATTGTCTTGCTCTCTATTTTCAGCAGCATCGCTCCTACTACTGGTGCTGCTGCTGGCGACGCTTCGGCTTCGTGCGGCCCAGTGGATAGTTGGTTGGATGTCTTGCAAACCTGAAAATAGGTTAATTAAAGGTCTTTGGGACAAAAAATGACGACAACGAGGAACCACTCTGAGTTGAAATTAACCTGTTTCACGATTTGAGTTGTGCCGCCTAGCAGGAGAATATGGCTGGGATCGATCCCTGTGGGTTAAAACCCGACTTCGAGTGGCTCTTGGCATAAATGATGCTTCTGTTATTTACATTCTGAAGAAGATGCGCTCGCTGATTGTCAAATAAGCAATGAAAAGCTCTAGCTGGAATATTTTATTTCATTTCCTAGCACAAGAAAAGGGGCAATTGCAAGATTGCAAATTTTTGATTTTTACCAATGTTGGATGTGGACGCAAATTTTTCCTAGGGGCGGCTCTAAGCCAGTAAACGATGATGACGATGAGAAAACAAGTTGGATTGTTGCGAACAAGTGGCAACCTGAGAAATAAGTGTGGCAGAGATTGAAAGTGGAGGGAAAACAACGGTGGAAGATAGATTACTTTTCATATTTTTGGAGCAATTTGTATTTGACTAAAATTTGCATGATTTTTTCCAAGAGAGGTTTGCAAAAATTCCAGAGTTTTCTTTCTTATCGAGATCTGGAGCGGGATCGCGATCGAGAGCCACCTCGTCGGCCAGTGTCTCTACCTCTATCGCGAGAGTCTGAGCGGGATCGTCGTCGCGCCGCGGGTGATCGCGATCGGGAGCGCTTGGCGCTGCGGGAACGCGATCTTCGTCCACGAGATCGGGAGCGCGATCGTTTGGGAGCACTTCGTGATCGCGATCTACGTCCTCGAGAGCGAGAGCGCGATCGAGAGCGGGATCGGCTCTGGGAGCCATCTTCCTAAAGCGAGGAGGTCAGAGCGGAATTGGCGAGGATAAAAATACTTACAGTGATCTTCAAGCGAAGTCGTCGACCGTTGACATCTTCGCCGTCGAATTTTTTGAAAGCTTTTTAGAAGTTTTAAACTGTGAGCAAAATTAAACATGAAAAAGACCAAAAAGATACGACGAAAAGAAACTCGAAGGCTTTTAATCTACTTTTATCTAGTATCAGTTGGGATGATGTAAAACCGTTCCTGCGTGAAGATCATCAGATGTAGCGAAGCAGACTTCTCCTCTGTTCTTACCCATTCTCTGATGGGCGTCGGTGTAGGTGACCTCGCCGGCCTTGCGCATCATGTCCTTGAGATCGGCCCAACTAAATTCCAAAAGGTGTGACCAGAGAGTTCAGAATCAGTAGTGAGAAGAAGAGTCCGAAATCACGGATAGGTTTTTAATCACGGATTGGGGGCAACCAAGAATCGGCACAAGCGACTTTGAACCAACGGACAAAACTGGATAGTTCCATAGTTTTGGGATTTGGATTTTCAAAAAGGGAACGAAACGGGCCACTGGCACCACGGGTGAATGTGTCCAACGGGGAAAACAAACACAACGGACCCAGAGGAGCAGACTCAGTCGCGACCAAAGCGCAAAAGAACGGAACACGGATTATCCACCCTGATTGAGAAATTAACATTTGAAGCGAAATTTAGGTAGTCAAACCCGTCACAAGGCGTTAGAATTTTATAGCTGAATGGATGAAATTTTGGTGAAGAAGCTAGCTAGTTTCCTAAGCTAATATGGTGGGTACCTGATTCGGCTGGACAAGTTCTCGACTTCGAGAGTGTATCGAGTTCGGTGGGGGCGATTGGAGCCCCGTCGATCGTCACGGCCACCTCGGTAGCCGCCTCGGTCACGTGAGCCAGATCGTCGAGATCGAGAGCGCTAGAAGTTTTGATAGAACAGGGAGAGGAATAAGCGGACTTACGTTGGCAAGCTCAAGTCGAACTCGCTCGCCACAGAGGGAGCTTCCATCAAGATCCTTGATTGCGTCCTTTTTTATGGTTCTTTCTATGTTTTAGAAACGAAATTGTGCAAGCGATTTTCGATATATTTAGAACCGTTCCTCGGCGTCTCGTCGATCATCAAAATCAACGAATCCGTATCGATCCCGGAGACGGATCTGCGTGACCTTTCCGTACTTGTAGAAGAAGTCTTCAATGTCTCGATCACGTGCTCGGTCGCTCAGACCTCCGATGAACACTGTTGTTCCGTCACTCATTCTCTAAACACTTGTTTTTCGCCTTTTAAAAACGGTTTTCCATATGTTGAATGTCGAGTGTGAAGGTATTTGAAGAGAGACAGTGATCAAGTGTGCGTTTTTTTGAGTTGCTTGAACTTGAGGATAATTAAATAGATAAAATAATGATTAAATTCTAGTAGCTTCGGCCAGGCGCCATTCCGATGAACGCGCCGTAGTTATCTTCGGCAGTGCGCATTCCCGTGACCTGATGCTGTGGGACGGACATGGGGTTGTTCAACGCTCGGTCTAGCGTTTCCAGGTTGTCTGGGTGGGTCATTTCTGCTCGTCCTCGGAGGATTGAAGGACCAAGAAGCTTTGATAAAGAGGCTAGGCACTCTTCCGCAGCGGCTAAAAATTTTTTTAAGAAGAAGAAAGTGTGAAATTCAAACCTTTCGTTAATAAAACCGGCGAGTTCGCAGCGTAGAAGAGAATGTCGAAAGATCCAACGAGGCAGTTTTTAAACGTCTTTTTGCCAACAGCTTCTGCAAACAAACTGATTTGCTTGGAAAACGTCTCGTGGAGCTGCTGATGCGCGTCAAAGTGCCTGTTCGAGCGGATCTGATCGCAGCCGAGGGCAAATAATCGACAAATTTCGTCGGCTTGGTTTGGTTTCGAGACCTTTGCGCATTCGACGAGGAGGATGAGGGAGCCATCAGCGCGTTCCCACGGCTCTTCTTTGCGAGTAAAGCTTGTGCAGGAAGAGCAGCCGCCACCAGTGGGCTGTTTTGCTTTCATCTAAAGAATGGTAGCTTTTTTCATCGTCGTTTTCAATACCTTTGGAGCCAAAGACCCGCAAGAATACATCGTGCCGTTCTCCTGCTTATCCTCATCTTGCTGAATTCTTCGAACAACTCCGAACTGGCCGGGTCCCGGCTCAAGTCGACCAAACTTCGAGTTATTTTCCGACTGATCTTTCAAGCCCTTGAAGCTTTCTTCTAGAAACGCGACGACTTTTGGAAAGACTTCGCCGTTGACTGACAGTAGTTTCGCGACAGCTACCGCACCTCCTTGACGGACTGATGCGATCGGGTCGATGACGTTCTCCATGAATTTCTCGTAAAGAACTAAAAGAAGTTTTAATGCATTTGAAATCAATAACGACTAACCTTGATGCTTGGAAAAGGTCTGTTCGGGCAGAGCAGAGACAAAGTTCCCCGCAGCAATGCAACATGCATCTCTAACAGGCCAGGAGTCGTCGCCAAATGTCTTGATCAAACTGTCAAGCAAGACTTCCCATTGACCCTCCAAGGATGCTGGCGAGCATTTTGAAGCAAGTTCAGCAATACAAGCACAAGCTGCTTCCCTCACAGCGTGGTTGTCAGCTGCGATTTGAGCGCTGTAGAAAGATGTGAAGGAAGCGATGTTGGATTCAACAACCTGAATAAATGAATGATGGATATTTGACCCAGAGTCTACCTGAACACCCTTTTCCGGAAAGAGAAGGCGCCATGTTTCTTGATTATGAATTCTAACTCCAGCGGCAATGTAATATCGATTGATACAAATTGGCGGGAGAAGCAAAGAGTAATATTTTGCTCGTTCTTCTTCGTTGAGCGCTTTAAGAAAAGCTCTTGCGGCTGTAGAAGAGGCCATTCGAACTTGTGACCAGTTGTCCGAGATTCCTTTGTGGATCAACGAAGCGAAAGAGGGAACGAGATCGGAGTTTTCAAGCGTCACGGAGAGGATCGCAGAGGCGATGTAGAACGCGCTCTCGCGGATGAAACGGTTCGAGTGGCAGGTGCATTCGTTGAGCAAGTCGAAGAGCTCCTGCGAAACGACTTTTGAAGGATCGTTCTTTTCGAAGAGCAACTTCATTCCGTTCATCGACGTTTCCAAATGTCTCCATCCCGCGGACTCGTGAAAGATCTCCTGCGACGAGAGACCACGTGACTTTTGACCTTCCAAAATCTTTTGCCGGACGACTTCATTTTGCGGCAAATCGGCGGCTCCGGGATCTCGCGCTAAATCACGACGGATCAGTTCCAAAATTCGACCAAAAGCGACGAAGAACTGGGCTTCGCCGAGTTTTTTGACCAAATCCGCGAGAAGAGCCGCGGATGATGATCGGACGCGGCTTTCTTTGTGATCAATGTGGTCGAGAGTCAAGACGAAGACTTTTTTCAACTCGGCATCGGAGAAAACTGACAGGAGGTTGGAACACGCGGAGAGAAGCCCTTAAGATTCATAAATACAAAAACAGTTAATATTCCTGCAAATTCAATTGAATTAAAGTTTATTACCTGCAACTGCTTCCCAAGAAATTTCCTCTTGGGCAAATTTTTCAAAAATCAATTTTTTGAATTCATCTTTGTTCTCCAACTTCTTCACTTGCAAAATGGCCCTTTCTCGTTGTAATCTCTGGCTGCTACATAGACGAGTCACGCTAACTTCCCCAAGACGCTAACTTCCCCAGACGCTGACTTCCCCAGACGCTAACTTGCACAACCTTGGGGAAGTTAGCGTTTTGGGGAAGTTAGCGTCTTGGGCAAGTTAGCGTCTTAAATGCGTGGGCGATCCGTTGAGCGTTGAATGGCTCTTTCAGCATGTCTTAGTCTGGTAGACAGTCAGTCGTCTCTTAGAATCTAACCTCAACCTCTCCTCGTGAATAGCGGTCATATTTTCAATTTCTTTTGAGCAAATTTAATTTAACGTTTTGAAATAAAATTTTGTACTCCGGGAGTACACTTATTTTGACAGTCAATGTCAAAATTTCTGAGCTCTTATTATATAAAATAAGATAACTTTGATTATTTCGAAGCGTTATTATTAGAACATTAATCCCAAAAAATGCCTGAATTCTCAAAGCTCTGTCTAAATGACTTAGAAATAATCGCTCCTACTATTACTTTCTGAATACTGTATTCAGTGTTCCGAAAATTGAGGCTTCAAAAAATTTCGAGAAAAAAATATTAATAATATAAATTAGAAGAAAATAATTTTCTCTAACAGGAAACTTTGACGCTAACTTGCCCAAGACACTAACTTCCCCAGACGCTAATTTGCACAACCTTGGGGAAGTTAGCGTTTTGGGGAAGTTAGCGTCTGGGGAAGTTAGCGTCTTGGGCAAGTTAGCGTGACTCTACATAGACCGGTGATTATCTCAGCCGCCATTTCTCCCCTCGATTTGGAAAAAAAGTGAAATTGCGAATTTGAAGAAAAGAAATCGAAGTGGCGCGGCCAATCGGAACAAGCGAGAGCTCTTTAGTGAGTCATTCTCGAAACTCGGAATTTCAATTTCTCGATGAAATCGATTTTACGCTCGAATGAATTAGCAAACAACTTTATATTTTGCAAAGCGTAGAAATGATTTTTGCATTAAAATTATCATAAAATGATTAAGACGAAATCTCAATCGAAAAAACATCGGTCGCGCTTCGTTCTTCAGATCTTGTTACTGTAAGAATTACTGTAAGCTACAGAATAAGAATGATCAGATCCGAAACTTGATGAATATCTGTCATCCTTTATCTTTTATTTTTGGTGTTTTATCTAATTAATTATCTTTAATCTCGTGCGAAAAGATTCAGTGACAGGCTGTCACTGACAGCTTGAAAATGCTTCAGCCTCAAGCCTTTAGGGTCCTTGATGCTTACAGTATTTCATACAACGACAATGTCCAAGATCGACGTTTTTGTTAACATCATTTGAGTAGATTTTCAAAGGAAATATCACTTTGAAAATACAAAAATTAGTGTCACTTTCATTTCCACTTTGAAAATTTCAAAGGGGTCATTTCAAATTTCAAGCATTGGCGAGCCCTGTCGCCTGCTGACAGTTTTGTGGATTCGGAACCTATTTAGACTTTGGGAGTCAAATCCGGTTCTCTTTTCATCTTGCCGCACTCTTCGTCGATTTTTCCCACGTAGTAAAGGATCATAAAAGGGTTTTTTATGTATTGGAAATCAACAAAGAAAAGAACTCATTTTTCTTCTGTTTATTGGTGTTCTCATAAGTTGCAGTATCTGCATATTTTCCTTTCCATTAACCTTTCCCAACAGCATCCTGAATCTGCCGAGTCTGACAATATGTCTCCTGTCTGTTAGACAACTGGGAGCCCCCTGTCCCTGCTCCGGAACAGTGCTACTTCCAGCTGCAGATTCTCCTCGCTCCTCAAGCTGCACAAGTTTTGTATTTTTGTTTTCCATAGCAACTTCGTGAGATTCAGACTGAGATATTGTTTGACTTGGAAATGGAAAAAATTTCGATATCGTCAGTTGAGAGGGCACTATCGTTGCGTGAAGAGGACGCAAGCTTGAAAGCAAGGAGGAAATACAAAAGTGGAAAGAGAAACGCTTTCTAGGGACTTTCTCAGGAACCAAAAGAGGAAATATTTCGGACAAAAAGCTCGTTTGTTATTTTATAAAAAAAGATTTTCCAAAAGATTCGTCGCTTTTTTAGGCTTCAGAATCGAATATACCAAAGTTTTCTTCGAATTTTTTGTTCTGTAAACATTTATTCTTGTATAAAGAAAAAACTTATCAATCAGTATATCTGACAGTATGAAATCGAAATTACCCAAAAGGTTCAATTTTTATGACATCGCCCTAATTTCCTTCCCCCAAAGCGTAACAGGTCCCCAATTTGTCGCAAGCAATAATTTGCATCTCGAAAACCTGCAGCAAATGATTGGATCGGTACGCGGTTCAACCGGTTTTCTGCTCGACCTGAGTTGGATAAACACAGGCCCGTGACCTGAAATGGCTTAGAGGTCCTAAAATACAAATTGTAGAGCTTGAGAAGTGGGATGGAGCGGGAGGATCAGAGGGATCCGTGGGAGAGCGCGTGGAAACTGATCTGAAGGAGTTTCATTTCCACAAATTTCATGCTCTTTAGTTGAAGAAAAATACACTCAGTTCGGGATCAAAAAGGAAGAATTTCAATCAACGGGAATTGATTATTGATGAGAGTCTCATCTTGTATCTTTACAATTTTAGGATGTTCGCCGACAATCCTCATCCTTCCTCTCATATTTCTCAGGGTCTTCTGCTTACCACGAAATCTTCTTGAAATATACACAGTCAGCACTATCGTCCTTTTAGAATCCTTCAATAAATATTTCATTATGAAGAATCTCCTATTTTTGTAAGGCAATGAATATTTAAAATGTACAAACAAAATTAAAACCTCAAAGGCCGGAAATATTAAGCTCAATTTTCGCTCCCCTCAATTTGGAGAGAATTTTATTAGAGCAAGGAAGTGAAAATGACAAATTGAGGCGCAATTGGCGTCAAGGGTTTCCTAGTCGACGGAAGTTGACGATTTTCATTTTTGAAACAGATTGATTTGGCCCTATTTGGCGTTTATTTTCGCGCTATGAAGTGGCCTTGTACAGTAGCGATGGCTGTAAAAAGGGATGAAAAGGAGTATTTACGCTTCTTAGTTCCGAAATTTGCATTGTTTTCTGGCTTTTGCACTTCCGAGTGAGTATCTCCTTAGATCGCCCGCACTTCCTTTTGGCGGGCTATTTAAATTTCTCAATAATGCGCAAATTTCAAAAACATTCGAAAGCGCAAACAATAAGGCTCTAAGGTTGTACCTGCATGAATTTTTCTATTTGATGATTTAAATGCTACTTCCTCTGGCTCAAAAGAGGTCACGTGCATTTCCTTGAATGAGAAATTTTCAAAAAAGAACAAAGTTATTTGAACAAAAGAGCGAAAATGTTAACCGGAAAGGAAAATTTCCGAAATTTGGCGGTGAATTCGCAAGCTTTACAAATTTCAACAAATGCTAATGGTCAGGAAATGGGGCATCTTATGGGGGTCACGTGATCGATAAATAAATTTTCCTTGATAAAAAAGTCTTTCTCTTTTGCTTCATTTCGTTGCCATAATCCCGAAATGACCCGGATGCACTTACTCTAAAGAGCGAAAACTCGGAAAAACTCCTTCGAGAAAAACTGATTACCAGTGGTGCCGATGTCCATCATGCTCTATAATTTGGTCTCGGTTACCGACCGCTTTTGGTTTCTCACGGTCACGTGCTCCTTCCGGAACCGCCAGAGCCGGAAATTCGCTTCCGCCTTTCGATTTTCAGCCCGTCGTCTTTTTGGCTCTAGAAAATTGTGTTTTTGACCGCTTAGATAGGCAGATAAGATGATCGGATAAATTTCACAGAAAAAAAAAGAAGATTTCAAAAACCATATTTATATTTTTTGAGTTAGCCATTCGGTTTTTCAAAGATTTCAGTAAGATGATAAAAATATTTTAGAAATATAAATATTTCCATTGATGAATTTATGGGCATAAAATAACTAAGAATCAATTATATCTAAAAAAGCCAAGTTAGCTGATTCAGGTTCAGTGGGTTAAGTTAGGTGCTTGTCAACATTAGTTGAAGTGTACTTTTGAAAGAGGCTTTCTTTCCCAGGGCTGCTCAGGTGATCGGACCGTGTATCGAGCGAGAAGGGTACTCAGTCTTACGCCTCGAGTTCAAGTATCAGCCGATTGTTTCGAGCACCTCTTGTCCGTTTCCGCTTTCCAACACTCTTTTGCTTTCCCGCGTTTTTTTTTCCGAACAATTAACATGTGTCTTTCACCATCAGCTTGATCATTTTGTGTCTCAATGTTTTTTAATTCTGTTTTTTATTTTATCATTTTTTTAATCGTCTTAAAAAAATTTTTTTTAAGAAGAAAAAAGACGTTTCGGAAAAGGTTTGTTGTTTGATTTTGATAATTTGGGGCAATTTCCGCTTCAGAAATATTTCCAAATTATCCAAAAGTGTGCTTCGCTGTGTGGTGCCGCGTCATTTTCAAATACCCCACGTGATCATCAATCAAACTTCCTAGATTTTTGTCGACGAGAAAAAGAAGGTCGGTATCGATCTACTTTCATACCAACTTTGTTCAAATTTTTGACTGGCAATCAACAATCTTCGGTTCATTTTCCGATGTTTTCTGGACAATCTTGGTCACGTGAGAAGATTTCTAGCCGACAATCTGAGCAAAACCGTCGTCTGAGAAGCAGGAAGAGTTCGGAAATGCTTACAAATCCATTAACAGTTATAAAAAGTGCTATCACTGGCGAGAAAGTCAAACCCAGGCGTCTTCTTGACGCCGCCAAGACTGGTTGATAAAGAAAAAACTAGCTGAAAACAATGCTCTACAAAAGCTATTTATAATTTAACACCGGCTGAGTTTTCCCCCTCGGATTTGTATTTTTTTACCTTTAGCAATTTGCGTCACGCGTTCCGGCTCTGCCCTGTCGAGTATGAAAAATTGTAGCGGAAATTGATAACTTTATATTTTTTCTTACTTTTGGGAGAATCACTTTAATAACTAATAGTTATATCCGGCTGCGGAGCGGAAAATTAACGCCAAGAAGAATTTCAGTTTCAAAATACAGAAAATTGAATTTGAGATTGTCTATCTCAGATCGTGCATCTGACCACTGACTAAGGGTATCCAAGGGTTACCCTTAGGCGGCCTAAGATTGGCCTTTTTGTAAAGGGTTACCCTTAAGTTCGAGTTAAGAATCGGATTTGCAGCTTGTTTTTTATTGATTTTGACCCTGACTCAGGCTTTCTACACAGGTTTCTACACAGGTAGTTTGTATATGGAAAAGTATTAAGCCAAGAACAACAAATCAACTTAATGGGCGTACGCTTAATCGTCCATAAAATAAAGCAAATAATTAATAAGGGCGGTGAGTGTCGGAAATTACGAGCTGCTCAATATTTTGAGCAAACTGGTGCAAGTGCCATAAGAGGCGCGGAAATCAAGCGCGCATTATTTTTTTAAAAACGCCCTTTATAGGACCGCTAAATGAGTATGTATCTTACTTATCGTCTTTTTCTTGGCAAGAATGAGGATAGAATTATGGAGCAAAATATATTTACACTGCGTTTTCGGAACTTCCGAGTGGCCGCGCTTTGAAGCAGGAGAAAATAAGGGTACTCTCTCACGTTCCTTTACTTTCTTTAGCAGGATTTGCATTTTCCAAAATTCCTGAAAATTTACCGTTTTGTTAGTTTATTTTTCCTGCGATCATTTTGTTGAGAATTACCGGACTCGGACGCCCTTCAATTAGAATGAGTTTGGACGCATCCGCTTGCGCTTCCGATGAATTGATCAATCAACTTGACGAGTGAAAATTTATACAAATTTCGAGCAACCAATCTCCGCTTTAAATTTGCTTGATTTAGGGGGCGTCGCTTATTCAGTAGCCTTTATATTGCTATTCTCTCGTTGATTGTCATTGAGAATATTCGAGATTATATCATGGTCTATTTTCGGATAATTACCAATGTCTCCATTTCTTGAAAATAACATTCTTTTTAAGATAAATTATTTAGATAAATGTGGCGTGATAAATTTAGTAAAACAAATTCTCATCTTCTTTTCAATGAAGTAGACAATTTGATAGAAATCGGTAAGGCGGGTTCTTTTTCCGTCAAAACTACAAAATTGCCGCTTTTTGTCGCTCGAATAATCACCAGAATGGTCTTCTCGGTCCTTAACTCGAAAGAAATCAGTGTACTAAACCTGTGTCAGGGTTCTGAAAATGATTTGATAAAAGCCGCTCTTTCCTTCGTTCAAATCCATTCCAGTATCCTGAATCAGGTTTTCTACAAAGGCACCTGCCGAGCTCAGGTCCTGAGTAAGGATTCCTGAGTCAGGATTCCCGACTGTATTTGTTACCTCTCAATAATTCGGGGTTTTTGATTAAAAAAAACCAAAATAAAATTAAAAAATAAATCATGAATCGAAATTCCCTTTGAGAAATATAATTGGCAATTATTAATTGCTCTTCATCCTCCTAATCCTTCCTCACGCTCAGAACAAGCCGTTAATTCTGTTTCTATCCCAAAGTCAAAAACGACGCAGAAGAGACGCGCGCGAGGAAGTAATGCCGTTCAGGTGCGTTTCTTTCCGCTTTGTATTCAAAAACTTCCGGCGTCGCATCCGGCTTCGAGCGAGCGCGCGCGCTCATTGGCTCCTGCGCTCGGGGTGCGGCGCGCCATCGTGCGGCGGCGCTGAAGGGAGACTCGACGGCCGCCGCGGCCAACGGGAAGAATGAATTGAAAAAATAAAGGCTACAAAACCAAAATCTACAGAGTTTTTTTAATAACATTAAAAACGAACAAAAAGAAAAGTTTTCCATAGAAAAGCGAGTTTTTCAGAGAGTACCCCCTTCAGCAAATTGACCAGAACAAGCGTCAAGATAAAGGTAAGCCAATAAAGTAATCAAATAATTTACGATCAGGGCCATATAATCGTAATATAGGATATCCGGTTTGAAAAATTTGCTATCATTTTATTACTCGAGGAATCGTTCTTGATAATTATGAGTCAGATTTTTGGGAAATATTTGGCAAGCTGCGGGAAAGATTGTGTTAAAAAGAGCGTTATCGGGAGATTATAAATTTGTGAATGGGGTGATTTGTGATTGGGAAAAGATGAATAAGGAAAAAGATGAGTGAAGACAACATTCCTTAGATTCGAATCTGTGTAGTAATGAGAATTTTTGCTGACGGCGTTGAAAAATGAGTGTTCTTTTATCACTGCTGATGAAAATAAGTTTTTTCTTTTGAGGAATGAATTTTTCATCTGATTTGATAAGGGTGTCTCAATAATAAATTCTTAGAGAAAAAAGCCTGAAAAACGGCTCTTCTCCTTAAAAAATCTCAAAATAAAAAGTAAATTGAAGAAAAAAACTTTAAATGGAGCCCCTCAGGGCCTCAAAATCGAATAGGAGGATCAGCTTATCATTATAAACTTGTTTGATTATTTCCCTCGACCCCGGGCGCTGATCTATTCCGGAACTTTCACTTGTCCCCTGGGAGGCTTAGCTTGTCTTTTTTTAAAGATCCAAAGTTAATGTAAAAGTTTATTCAATGAGCTTATTCTGTATTCAGCATTAAAAAGAGCCCGCCAATCTGTCGAGGTCAATTTTCCGCAAAATCATTCGGCTGAGGCGAAATTTCTCGGTCTTTTGCTCCAAAATGGGGGCACCAAATTTGTCAATCTGAAATTAGAACATACGAGTTTTGTAAACAGTTGACATGAAGGAAGGGCGGTAGATATTTTCTAGAGCGCAAAATCGGGTTTTGCCTGTTGTCCAGGGCTCGGCACACTGAGTCAGGGTCCTGAGACAGGGTCTCGAAATAATTTGATGAAAAGCCGCGTGGCGGCTTTTTTATGAATAAAGCCGCAAAGCGGCTTGGCAGGTTTTGAAAAAAATATATGAATAAAATTTCTTTTTGAATATTCAAATATAATCTCGCTTATAAGCCCAAATTCTAGCGTGAAAGCATTCGGAAATACCAGTTTAGAAAACAAAAAGCACAAATTCCCAAATGTGTATGTCTAGACAAACTTATCCGCATTCCATTCTACCCCAAGAACGAAAATACACACACTCATGCGTGTGTATAAAAAACAAGCACGTGATAACCATCGGCGCGCGTACAGTGACCCCCAAACCGGAAGCGAATCCCTTAATCGCTCCTGAAATCGCAAATCCCCTTTCGAAAGAACTCCACTAGATTTTTGGGCGGTGAGAGAATTGGATAATTGCCCACAATAAATGTTAAACTACGTGTACCCTTAATCCGAGCTTGGTTAAAAATTGTGTACTCGCAGCTTTCCGCTGGGCCCACGAGAGCCGGAAGTAGAAGAGCCCCAAGGCGCGTGCCAGCCGAAGGCTAGACATGCCAAATGTGTCTGCGGGATTAAAAGATCATTCTATACGTACGTAAATGAATCTTCGAAAAGATCACCTCGGTAAAAAGTGCAAATAATGTTGCACCCTTAGAGTAACATGAAAATTTCATAAAATTTCCAAAGATCAACTGAAATTCTTGAATTTTTTTACGATGAAACTTGAGAAACTGCTTGCGGCTTCGAGCTGAATTGAAAAAAAAGCCGCGGGAGGCGCGGCTATTTTTATAATCTTAATCGAAATCATTTGTTTTTAAAAAATGATACCCTTATTTTTTTAAGGAGTTTTCTTAGATAAAATACTTTTCTCTGAATAATAATTCTCTAAAAATGATTTTGTGATGTTTCTTTTACTAACAAAAAAGCGTGAAAACAGCAAAGACGTGATTTGCCTTTGCTTTTTCAAAATCAAACAGGCCACTTCCGGCACGTCCATGCTATTAAGTGGCCAGAAAGGCCAGCGATAGCGCCAAGGCCACCGGAAGTCGTCATTATTCGTAAAATTTTTGATTTGACTCATTCACTCGCCAAAAATTTCATTTTACTTGCATACAAAATTTTGATTTTTATAATTTCAAAAAGAGAAAATAAGAAAAGAGAGTCAGAAAATCGAGAAATCTTTGAAGAAATATATTTAAGATGAATGAATAAAGTAAGTTTATATTTAAAGGGGTACACCTCTCTATTATCAAAAACTTATTTACTGTTTATCTGCCCTAAATGTTAATCTTATATCAATACAGTTGTAAAACTTTTAATCCCCCGTGTGTTTCGTGCCCAATCTCACCGGCAAAATCGTCAGGTCCCTTCACCCCCCGCGGGGCAAGCCGACCTCGATTTGATCACCCCCTGCGGCTATTATGGCGACTTGTATACCCTTACCCGGAAACACTGCCCCAGGGTGCCCGCGTAAACAATCCCTCAACCCCTCTTCTGTCCCACATACTGAGACACACAGCTTCAATGTACTGTATGAGTACGACCGTCAATCGCCCCAGGGTGAGTTTTTAATTAATGAAAACAGGTCGAGTTGATGAATGGTGATTTTTCTTGACGTTCTGACAAATTTGACTCGGCAGGGGGCGGAAGCGATTTACATTATATTATTGTTAACCCGTCGACGCACTGAATGTCAAATCTGACACATTCATCAAGGGTACACTTCCCCCTGAAGAAAATAAGCGGCGATTTCTGAGCTAGGCGTAGTCAAAGATGCGTAAAAATAGAAAGGATAGAAAAGGATGCATTCTATTTTGAAGTTGTTTCGAGTATTCTTCTCTGAGAAAGTGCACCTGAAAATGAGGAGTACCGTTGCTGCGCAAAGTCAATCGAGCATGTCGGATCGATGAGACAGTTCCATCGTTCTGCTCCGCGAACGAAACTGACATCGACATTTGTCAAAATTTATTTATCTCCGCAAATAGTAGTTCACTTATTTTGGCGGTAAAATAACTTTCGCACCTTGTAACGAAATTTCAGAAAAAAAGGACAGTAAACTTGCCAATAAACAAAACTTCCTTTTTTTATTGCCTCTGGTCCTCGATTGAAGTTCGAAGGGACACTCCTTCTCGCGCGCATCTTTTTTTTTGATCATCAAAGGTACCTTCCGATCAATATTGAACATTCTCCCAGACACGGAAAAGTGAAAGAGCCCTCAGCGCAATTTCTTCCGTAAATAGCCGGGAAGATGTCTACAATGACTAGTAGTCGGGTCCATCGATCACAAGTAGTAATGCCCTTGTCCGACGCATTTATGAGCACATATGGCAGTCGGGGGTTAATTTCCGTGCTCGTTTCCTGATATAAAATTCAAAATCCGCAGTAAATTCTACTCAACTAGGTTTTAAAATAAATTCGTCACTCAAATTTCGTGATTCAATCTTATCAGAAAGATTGATCAGTTTTCTTATCACCGTCTTTTCATTGAGTTATAGCGTCTTTTTTTCTTGAAAAAGCAAATAAAGATTTTCGCCTTCTTCAAGGAGCGAAAATTTGATCCCTTCGATCATGTACCGGTTGATTATTTCTTCTATTTTTTCACGCATGATTTCGCGAACAAAAGAGCCCGACTTTAGGTGGCTCTGGGGTTGCATAAATTTGCGAACCTGTTTGGGAATTTTTGGAAAAATAATCCGACCTGCGTGGCCGCTGAACCGGTCCCAGAATTTCGTCACGTGAGCTCGACTTTCACTCGGCACTTGAGCAAGAAACCATACAGGCCATAAAAGAGGGTGTCCGCATTCTTGGCTTGGGGATAAATTTCGGAAATATGCCGAGAAAGCCGCCATCTTGTGGGGGATTATGATTGTGTAATTTAAATATTTGCGCCTTTTATAATAATAGCTGGGTTGGTCCGACCCACCGGGTGGACGCCCTTAAACTTTGGACAAAGAAAAAATAGATAGATATTATTTGATTATTTGTGGATTATTTAGCCAGGTGGGGGCGTGAAGGTTACATTCGATAGGAGAATTCGCGATCTGGTTGGGCAAAGATGACAGGAAAACGAATCATTTTCTTGTTTATAAAACATAATTAATACTCGTGTGTACATGAATTAAGGGCTGGTCTTAGCTAAAATAAAACTGGCATGAAGAAATTGCACTTGTCAATGTTCCGGACATGGCCCTCGCCATCGGACATGAAGTGGACAAATGAGTGCCCGTGAGGTACTCAATGTCAGTTTCAATAAATAAACTCGAATTAACTCCACTCGAGCCAATAACAAAATCCTGAAGGCACTTGAATGGGCTTCCAGGGGATTAAGCCACGCGAGTCACGTGTTCTAAAAAGTGAAGGATTGTTTCTTCGATTCCTAATCTCTTCCGACGAGAAAAGATGGAATCATGACCGTGATTTTGTTTTTATTCAAGGGATAAGCGCCCTTTTGGAAAATCAATGGATCTTGTCTACCAGACATTTTGTCTGCAAGACAGTTTTGCCAGAATTGTCAAAAAGAAATCGTCTCTATTTGCCAATAATTGTCGATCAAACTCCGAAAATGGAGCCCAACATAGTCGACTCGATGATTTTCGAGTCGAAAATACCGATACTCTATTATCAAAGTTTAATCGACAAGCTTTGGGCCACCAAAGACGATTTCTAGTCAGCAATCTTGGAAAAACCACTAATACTAGAAATGAGTAGACGAACTTCCTCTCAATAATGCTCTTCTCGCCCCGAAAACGAGCCCATAAAGTCTGCCGCTCGCGTTGACGATTTTCTTGAAAGCCGTTTTTTGACATTTGAAATGGTTTCAATCAGATAGTATTTCCTTTCAAATGTCAGAGATAGGAAGTCCTTCGCGGTGTGGTTCCGCCGCCCGTTTTACGGCCTTTTCCTTCCTCTTTAAAAATTAGCCATATCTTCGTTCTTACGATTTTCGGCCCACGTCAGAGCCAGTGATCATAACTTTCTCGAGACAAAAATATTATTTTATGAATGTAAATGCTTCCTGCAGGAAACGTAAAAGGGACAAAAATAAACTTGGACAGAAGAAAAATTGGCAAAATGCTAACTTTTTGGTACGATAAAAAACTTTTGGCCAGGTTGAATTAAGGGTATCTCCATGATAAAAATAAGGGATCCCCTTCTTTTTCGAGTGATGATAAATTGGAAGGGTAAAAAGTAGATTTACATATTTTTTGGTTGAATTTCGAACCGGAAGAACGCGCAAAAATTCATCGAGCGTTGCTGGGGCAGAAATGTTTTGCCGAGCGCGGCTTCCGGAAAAATAATTTCCTTTTTGCGGTTTCCCTGCGTGTTCCTCCTTTTGATTTTCTCAAACAATATTTCGGAAAACAGTACTAGTAAAACAAGAAAGGGACCACCAGTGAACCTGTGCTTCGAAATTCCTTACTTTTTTTTTGAAAGAGGAAAATATGGGAAGTGCAAATTTGGCTTCAAATTTTCGAGGCGGGAAAGTGATCTTGTAAAACTTTTTGATCAAAAATGTCTAGCAGACATTGTCTGACAGACAATATTCATTTCCCGGGTGTCGAAAAATCTTACTTCTGTTTTTTTCAAAAATTAACCTCTTTGGTCAAGAAAGGTCATTTTATGACCCGCTCTAGAATAAAATTGATGGAACTAGAATTTCCATCAATTTTCTGGGAATCCATTTCTCCTATCTCGATTTCCCCCTTCCAAAACATCACCGACCTGCATCCGAAATTTATCACTTCCGCTCATCATCACTTGACCCTGAAATTTCCAATGATTATCGTTTTCTTGATCGGAAATTCTTGAGATTTTCCTTTCCAAAATCTTTTCGGCTATCATAGGTTAAACTTCTTTCTGATTATTTGGGGGTAGGAGAATGGCGTTCCTAAAATTAGGAACGGTTCCTAAATTAAGGAACGGTTCCTAAAATTAGGAACGCCATTCTCCGAAAATTTCTTTATCTCATAAATGAAAAAAAGCTGAAAATTAGGAACCGTTCCTAAAAAAATTTTCTAGAGCCACAATTTTCTTGTCCATTTTTCATATTTTTTTGCCTCAGAAATCAGCAAAAAACGATTTGGGTTGTCGAAAAGTCAAAAATCTGTGTTTCTCTAACCCTTTTTTCACAAAAATCATATTAACACTGCTTTGAGAATCATAAAACTATTAAACTCTAACATTTCTTAAAGAGAATTCAAGTTTCTTTAAGGTTTTTTTGCATAGAGTCAATTTGCTTGCCGCCAAAGACAAAATAAGCTCTTCGCGCCCGTCTTTTAGCAAATTCAAGAAATAATTTGCTTGTTTTATGAGAAAAAAAGAGACAATTGCTTCCCCCAACCCTAACCTAAATCCTAACCCCAGCCCAAATTTTAGGAACGGTTCCTAATTTTAGGAACGCCATTCTCCACTTTTTTGTTTAAGATTTTCAGCAACGGTTCTTAAAAAATTAGGAACGGTTCCTAAAATTTAGGAACGGTTCCTAAAAAAAAATTTTAGGAATGCCATTCTCTCATCCCCGATTATTTCCACCTGTGTAAATACATTTCCCTGCGGCTTGAAATCGGAAATGACTCAAGTTAAGGGCTTGCAAGTTGAGTATTTGAGTTGTGCACGGATCTCATAATTCACGATCTCGCGCGCTCAAAGGAAACAGGAAACCATGTTTTATGCAGCGTTCGATATAACCGGAAACAGTCATATTTGCCCTGTGCTATTTGCTCCCGCGTTTAAATAAATTCCAACTCGGGAATTTATTTTTTTTTTTTCACCAAAAATACGAAATTTAAAGATATTTTCAAATTTAGTCAAAAATTTTGGTCAAAACTACACACTGGTCAAAACGCACAATTCCGGAACTTTTTTTTCAGCGAAAATGGCAAAATCTCCGGAATTGTGCGGATTTTCGATAAAAAAATTTTTTCCTCTCAAACAAAAAAAATCTGTTTTTATGGGGTCAAGCTCAAAATGGCCTTTTTCGACGAGCTCTAAAAATTTTAGACTAATATCGACGAATTATAACAATTACGAATGTTAATAATTAATGAAGACTCCTTTATTTTTTTTTTGTCGAAATTCTCCGGAATCCGATTCAAAATTTTTTCGGCTCACCCCGAAATCTCCGGAATTGTGCGTTCCGGAATTGTGCGTTTTGACTGTATATTCATTTTTGGCTAAAAAATGAGCTTTCCAACCTCGATCAAGCCATCTCCTGTGCCAAAAAAGCGCGAACAAAAAAAAACTCGCAATCTAAACCAAAAATTCGCAGGTCTACTATTCTTCCCGGGCGTCAATTCCTCCCGAGGTCATAAAGTCCTCCAGTTAGGGTCTCAACATTTTAGGGGAGGAAGTCGCAGAGCGGGGCGATCAAAGACAGACCAATAAAGCTTTACTTTCAATTCCAGTTTGAATATTTCTCGCGAGATGGCGCATCGTGTCGCGGCGCTGTCTACCCGACGCGGGAGCAAGAAGAAGCAGCTCCCGCTGAGGGTCGCCACTAGGGGCTAACCCTCTTTGAACCCAATTTCCGAATTACTCGATCGAGAAATACACTTACTTTTAAAAAGAAAAATTCGTACAGACATCTGACTGTAAGGATTAGCACCAAGAGCCAAAACGGAAGCAGTCAGCAGGCCACTTCCGATAACATACTTTTTCATCCTCCCGAGAGGATTAGTCGACTCAAAAAGAGATTAAAGCTTTTAAAAATAAAGAAGAATTTGTGACTCAGAGAAATATCACCAAGGTAAAATAAGGAGTTCGCCATTTTATCCATGAAATCAGCCTAAGTCCCTTTCACAATTAAAAAATCAATTTTTACCCAAATTTTTGAGTTTGACCAAAAATAGTAATATGACATTTCAATTCCTAAAGTTTACCCTAACAGTACGTACCTTTCTTTTTTTAACCTAACCCTACCCCTAACCGAGGGCTTTGGGAGTTTACTGAGCCATTTTTGAACTCTGATTTGTTTTCAAATTTTTGGTCAAATTTTACTTTTCTGGCCAAAAACGGGTGGACTAAAATTTATCATTTTTTCACAAGAAAATAAGAGGATTTATTGAGCGACAGGTGCAAGCGTGGTTGATTCAATCGCCACGTGTATTCATTGTATTTTACAACTTTCGGAAATGGTCATAAATCCACCTACTTTAACCCGTCCATGTAAAACTACCTGAGGAGAGGGAATAAACAAAACAGGCTATAAGTTACTTCCTCTTCTTTGTGGAGGAGATATTTTTACCCTTTTTATTGGGCTTTGTTTGAACGAGGGCTATTTCCGACTCTGAAAAGCTCAAGAATAAATTTATTTATTCCTTTTTTATCCAAAATTAGCATTTAACATCAATGAAACGAGCTTTTCTTAGCTTTAAATTGAAAAAAAAAATTTTTTCAAACCGGATATTTAAAAAGTTTCTTTCTTTTCACTTATTCACTTGAAATTGCATATTCTAACATTCAGTTCTAGCGCGAATCGGAATCCGACGAGCTCGAGCGGATCCAGCTTCACGGGAGCGAGACGGACGCGCCAATGTTGGCTGACCACCAAGTCGTCCCTGGATCCGAATCGCGACTCTCTGACCTGCTCGTTGGCCTGCCCGGGCAAGCAGTTCCCCTTGATCTTGGCAAAAGGCGTTCAAGGTACCTCCTTGTCTTTAATTCTCCTATCTCATTGCGATATTTAGAGCGACAAACTGGATAAATTACCGCGCGGCGTGGCTGGCGAAGGTGCCGCAACGGCCAAAGCCAAAGAACATGTCGAATTCAGCACGCTAGCCGAATCCTTTCCATGGAACGATTTTGGGATGGGCGCCTATGCTACTGGAAACAAATCGAATGATGATAATGAACAGTCTGTTCCAGAAGTCGACCCAGGTAAAAATTTGACTTTCAGGGCCGTTTTCGTGTGTTTTTGTCAGTTTTTTCTTTTACATTTTTGAAGAATTAATCTTTGGAACTTTCATTTTCGAGTCAGATTGCTCATTTTCCGAGCGAAAATGTCAACCGCCCGTAGAATCATTTTAACAGTCTGATAACTGGTTACCAAGTTATTGCCATTGCGGTTTTTCCACACCCCGACTCGGTGCCATATGAAACTTTTGCTAACACGCTTTATCGGCAGCCGCGGCAGCCGCCGGGGTGGCACTCGTTGAATGAGCTTCGAATCCATAAATTGGGCTTGTAAAAATTCCGAGACATTGAGGGGATATTGATATGCTTATCAGAGAAGAGGGCGACATCCTCTTTTCTTCTCTTCAAATTCGTCTGACAGGATATTGCCTGGACATATCAGAAGGTGATACAAGCAGACGAGGGAAGCAGGTGTATTTGATTTTTTCACAAGACGAAATAGAGATAGAGACGCGAGTAAACAACGAAACATGTATAAGCTGGAAAAGATTGTCTCGAATAGGGATGGGTTTTCAAGCGACGTTCCCTTAATTTTCGAGGTTTTTTTTTCGAAGGTAGTCTTCGTTGATTTCTGTGTTGAAAATCGCTGAATTTTCGGGTAATAAATTCCTCGAAAGTTCAGAAAATCCCGTTCTCTAGTCATATCCGCTTTCGAAAGTGGAAACCCATCACAAAGTCTTTCTTTGCTTGAAGCTCGCCGTAAGTCGCTTCCCATGGGCCGCGCTATGTTGCCCGGAAAAAAAGGTCACATGTCGCCTGTGACATGAAGAGGAAGGAAATCATAAAAAGCGCCATTTCCGGCCGCCGCGCAGTATTTTTCGTACCTTGTTAAAGAGTAAAAAGATCGAAAGAGGGGCATCGCGGTGAAATCTCTGATCTTTAGGGTTATAAAAGCCGCGCTATGGGGCAAGATAATTGAATTATTATCTGAGAAAAATTTTTATTCTCAGATCTTTTCTACAAAACTAATGATTTTTAAATTTTAATCCATTGGTTTTCGCAATGTACTGTTTTGCCAATACAATGATCTTGAAGACATCTATTTCTTGAACCACAATATTCTGAAATCTCTGATATTTCGGTAGCTATTCTGACTCGGCTTTTCAAGATAACTTAGACCTAACCCTAACCTAAAGCTGAACCCTTCTTGATGAAAATAAGAAGATATTTTTAATAATGGAAAGAATACCATTCATATTTCTTGAAGTCATAAAAAACTCCTTGAAAGTAGCTTTCGGGAAGTCATAAAATAGTTCCCCACTTCCGCCGCGGCACACGCACTTTGATCCATCTTCTTCCGCAATTATCGCGTCTTCTTTCTCAAATTACCGTTTTTGATTCTTATGATTTTATTGGACCCTGATTTCTTGTAATAAATCCGGTTATTCTTCCCCTAATACGAGGAGTGAGAATTTCCTCCCTACTGCGCCATAAAGATTTTTCTGTAAAAACAATGATTTAAAAAACGACTAGGAAAGCTTCATTCTTTTAAAATACGGCGCTCTTGAAGCTCTTTTCTATCTCAAATTGTCCATGGAAGTAGTAACCCGGATCGGAAGTCTCGGAGAATTGTGCTCCGCAGTGTTTCCTTTCGCCAATAGTGCTCAATTTTTTTATCTCTTCTCATAGCATTCTTCTGAGGGCCTCGTGGCAGGCGCGGGTTAAAATTTTATAAATCACGTAGCACCACTAGTCTGCTAACAAACTGACATTGACACACGGGGAACAACGGCACTTGAACATTTTTGCGGCGAGAGACAACAGCGACAAAACGATTTTTCAGGAATTCTCGAAGGACAGAGCGCCTCAGTAACCGACCTGTACAAGAGCGGAAGCACACCTGCCCTTAATTTAGCGAAAGCAGATGCCGATCAAGGGTCAGTCGCAAAGACGGAATCAAGCAAAGCACGGCCACCAAGTATCCCGCCATACATGAGCAACCCACTGGGAAATATGCCCTACGGGGCGTTGTCTGGAAACTTATGGAATGCTTATGGTAAGTCCGGAACCAAGCGAATATTCAATTTTTTAAAATCCTTTTTACAGGTCAAAAACAGCGGAAAACCTCTGAACGCTTCGAGCCGTACTCGCCCAAGCCCCGCGACATTCAGAACCTGGACACGCCACTCCACGCCCTTAGCCAACTCACCAACAACCTCAACCGCACTGCCGGCTCCCTGCGCAAATCCGAGCCCAATTCCGAAGTCAAGACCGTAAGTCCCCTTCTTTCTCTTCCTATCTTCACTTTGGACATCATCACTTTTTTCCTCGTTGTCTTATTATTTGCCAACAGCGCCACCACTTCAACGCGCGCTCGACCAATCACAGCGCTCAATTTCGGTCTCATAATTGTTCCAGATGTTGAAGATACCGTAGCTCAAGCTCAAGTTTAAGTTTCAAAGTCATAATAGATAAATTAAGGAGCCAATGCCCTTGGACTTGACAGACGCTTCAAAAGACCGGTCCAAAACGCCAGGCACAAGCGGCCAATCCGGACCTTCCGCAAGCGCGGCACCGAGAAATGCATCGACGGGTTCAGCCCCGCGATCTGGCGAGGGCAATGAAGAGAAAAAAGACGATCCAGTTCCGGCGCACAAAAGAGGAGGAGTCCAACTCTGGCAGTTTTTGAGACAACTTCTCGACAATCCGGAAAAGCGGAATATCATCACTTGGACGAGACAGGGACACGATGGGGAATTTAAACTTCTTGACCCAGAAGAAGTTGCAAGACTGTAAGTACCAGAGAACTCCATTTTCAAATGCTTGAAATACAGGAAGGCAGAGATTTCAACTTTAAATTTTAGCTGGGGTTGTGAGAAAAAACGTCCAGCGATGAACTACGACAAATTGAGCCGGTCTATTCGGTAAGCAAAGTTCGCCATATCCAATTTTTTAACATAACTCTTCAGTTATTATTACGAAAAAGGGATCATGTCAAAAGTCCCCGGCGAGCGCTACGTCTACAAATTCCTCCCCGAAGCCATGAGCAGTCCAAATCCCCTCGTCGGATTCAACCACCCTGGTTTCCCCGATCCCAGCGGTCTTAACCCAAGTACGTCTCACTTCCCTCCTCTGACCTTGGGAGAATTAACGATCAAAAAACCTGCCCGGCCCGGCGGCCCCTAATCCGGCTGATAAAAAAATAGAGTCAGGCAGTTTTTAAGCCGGAGGAGGCCACTTCCTATTTCAATATTTGCGCGGAAAGAGAAAGTCCGCATCCCATCACTTATAGTTTCCACATGCCGACTCATTATTCACAATTCTAATCCGCCACTTCCTATTTTTTTACGATTACGTCACCACTAATTTACAACAAGACGATTTAGTGTATCTCTTTCTAGTGTGGCCCCTACCTCATCCAGCAGCAGCTGCTTCAGGCTTCAATCCAGGCTACGGCTTCCTCAACCCAACAGACTCTTTTTACGGTAAGGAGAAGCCCTCTATGCCTTTGTTCATCAAAGTTCTAGCCCAACAAATGAACCAGTACACGCACCTAGCGATGCAAAATCCTGACCACTTCAACCAAGCACTTCAACAAGTCCAGCAAATGGCCGGTTTTCCTCCCTCAAGCGCCCTCCAACAGGTAAAAACTCGGAAAATCAGACCTTCTCCGCCGAAATTTCTTTTACTAAATTTCATTTCTAGCTGCCGACATCGACCTACATGCCAAACTACAACCCCTCAGGGCACCCACCCTTCGACGGATAATTCAATATCGTAAAACCCTTATTGCGACGTAGTACGAGAAGAATTCTAGTACGAAATCAACGAAAAACAAACATCCAAAGAAAAAATCTGCACAAAACAAAAACTATTTTTCCGAAATTTCGTTTTCTTGTCAATATTATTAATAACTTATTCTTGTGAATTATAAAATATGAAATTGTCAAAAACTTGTATAAAACGTAGAAAACCCGTTTTTCGCGCTGCAAAAAGTTCAAATATTTTTAATTTCTAATATCAGCAGAAGGTCTCGTTCCGTTAAAAACAAATTATCTTTATCGAATTCTTTCTACTGCTTATTTCTCTCTCTTTTCTCGCCGATTAAAAACAACGAGGAGAAGTCTTCAAATTTGGCGAGATCCAAAAAAGTGCAAAATTTACTTTTGTGTGAGAAACTACCTCCTAATAAATTATGACAATAAATTTAATATTAAATTCTTGCTATATTCTTGATCAATTTTGAGCAGAAATCACTGCATCCATTCACTAATTCATTGAGCATAAATTATGTTGCATAATTACGAAATATCGTAACAAATTCTAGAATATGTTTTTGTATAAATTATACAGTATAATACAAAATCGTAAAAATAAATATAAGTTTCAATTTCGATAATCGAAGGTTAGTCGACAAAAATTAAAAGTTCTTCTGGATTTGGTGGTTTGGAGTTTCGCCAGGCTTTTCCCAACGATCTAGAGAATCTTTTCGAATGGCAAACTAAACCTAACTCTCTAGATTCCTCATAACGCCGGCCTTTTTCTCACTTTCGAAACGTCGTTTTTTCCCGAGAGAAATCCTTGCCGTTTTAGATTTGATTTTTCGGCGATCCACTGTAAGTAACTGAATAAATTTTTTAATCATCGGGATTGAACTCAAAAATATTTCCCGAAACTGCCTTGATATGCAAAGATCGAAAGTAATCGACTTATAGGTAGGCTCCACGCTTAAAAAACGCTCCATTTTTTAACACATGATATTCAGGGTTTTAACCTTGTAGACTGGTTAAATATGCTCCAAGGAACAAAAATTGTATTATGACAAAATTGTCAGGTCAGGTGATGACCAAGAAAAATCGCCCCAAAGTGTCGAAAATCGGCCAGTTTAAGTTTTTGGTCACATGACCCCTCCACACCCCACTTTTTCCAGGTTATTATATTTTCTGAAAGAGCTTTAAATGCTCTTTCAATTGATATTGGTCTCGACCCTGCCAATTGATATCTTAACCCTTTTTCCAAGGGTTGAAAGTATTAAAACACTGTTTTTTGTGAATTTCTTTTGAAAAAAAGTAAAATTTATCATAATAACATAAAACCCGGTTAAACATTCAATAATGCCCGGTTATGGTCGGATTCGGCCGGAGGACCCTTGGAGGACCCATGTGGTTGAAAACAAATTGGTGGAAGACTAATTTTTATAACCGAAGGGCCGTCTCAGCCCCGTCCCTTGATTTTTGAATTTAAGGGGCTTGACGGCCCTTCGGGCCGTCTCAGCCCCGTCCCTTGATTTTTGAATTTAAGGGGCTTGACGGCCCTTCGGGCCGTCTCAGCCCCGTCCCTTGATTTTTGAATTTAAGGGGCTTGACGGCCCTTCGGGCCGTCTCAGCCCCGTCCCTTGATTTTTGAATTTAAGGGGCTTGACGGCCCTTCGGGCCGTCTCAGCCCCGTCCCTTGATTTTTGAATTTAAGGAGCTTGACGGCCCTTCGGGCCGTCTCAGCCCCGTCCCTTGATTTTGAATTTAAGGGGCTTGACGGCCCTTCGGGCCGTCTCAGCCCCGTCCCTTGATTTTTGAATTTAAGGGGCTTGACGGCCCTTCGGGCCGTCTCAGCCCCGTCCCTTGATTTTTGAATTTAAGGGGCTTGACGGCCCTTCGGGCCGTCTCAGCCCCGTCCCTTGATTTTTGAATTTAAGGGGCTTGACGGCCCTTCGGGCCGTCTCAGCCCCGTCCCTTGATTTTTGAATTTAAGGGGCTTGACGGCCCTTCGGGCCGTCTCAGCCCCGTCCCTTGATTTTTGAATTTAAGGGCTTGACGGCCCTTCGGGCCGTCTCAGCCCCGTCCCTTGATTTTTGAATTTAAGGGGCTTGACGGCCCTTCGGGCCGTCTCAGCCCCGTCCCTTGATTTTTGAATTTAAGGGGCTTGACGGCCCTTCGGGCCGTCTCAGCCCCGTCCCTTGATTTTTGAATTTAAGGGGCTTGACGGCCCTTCGGGCCGTCTCAGCCCCGTCCCTTGATTTTTGAATTTAAGGGGCTTGACGGCCCTTCGGGCCGTCTCAGCCCCGTCCCTTGATTTTTGAATTTAAGGGGCTTGACGGCCCTTCGGGCCGTCTCAGCCCCGTCCCTTGATTTTTGAATTTAAGGGGCTTGACGGCCCTTCGGGCCGTCTCAGCCCCGTCCCTTGATTTTTGAATTTAAGGGGCTTGACGGCCCTTCGGGCCGTCTCAGCCCCGTCCCTTGATTTTTGAATTTAAGGGGCTTGACGGCCCTTCGGGCCGTCTCAGCCCCGTCCCTTGATTTTGAATTTAAGGGGCTTGACGGCCCTTCGGGCCGTCTCAGCCCCGTCCCTTGATTTTTGAATTTAAGGGCTTGACGGCCCTTCGGGCCGTCTCAGCCCCGTCCCTTGATTTTTGAATTTAAGGGGCTTGACGGCCCTTCGGGCCGTCTCAGCCCCGTCCCTTGATTTTTGAATTTAAGGGGCTTGACGGCCCTTCGGGCCGTCTCAGCCCCGTCCCTTGATTTTTGAATTTAAGGGGCTTGACGGCCCTTCGGGCCGTCTCAGCCCCGTCCCTTGATTTTTGAATTTAAGGGGCTTGACGGCCCTTCGGGCCGTCTCAGCCCCGTCCCTTGATTTTTGAATTTAAGGGGCTTGACGGCCCTTCGGGCCGTCTCAGCCCCGTCCCTTGATTTTTGAATTTAAGGGGCTTGACGGCCCTTCGGGCCGTCTCAGCCCCGTCCCTTGATTTTTGAATTTAAGGGGCTTGACGGCCCTTCGGGCCGTCTCAGCCCCGTCCCTTGATTTTTGAATTTAAGGGGCTTGACGGCCCTTCGGGCCGTCTCAGCCCCGTCCCTTGATTTTTGAATTTAAGGGGCTTGACGGCCCTTCGGGCCGTCTCAGCCCCGTCCCTTGATTTTGAATTTAAGGGGCTTGACGGCCCTTCGGGCCGTCTCAGCCCCGTCCCTTGATTTTTGAATTTAAGGGGCTTGACGGCCCTTCGGGCCGTCTCAGCCCCGTCCCTTGATTTTTGAATTTAAGGGGCTTGACGGCCCTTCGGGCCGTCTCAGCCCCGTCCCTTGATTTTTGAATTTAAGGGGCTTGACGGCCCTTCGGGCCGTCTCAGCCCCGTCCCTTGATTTTTGAATTTAAGGGGCTTGACGGCCCTTCGGGCCGTCTCAGCCCCGTCCCTTGATTTTTGAATTTAAGGGGCTTGACGAAGGCTAGGAAAAGCCTGAGTTGATCATTCTCAGTTGCGTCCCCAACCCCACCCACCTCCATCTGATGTTAAAATTTATATTGTCCCTATTCTGAGTTTTTTTATGGTTTTTATTTTATTTTTTTAAGTTTAGTTTACAGTCGTCAAATTATCTCAGGGCCCTGACGAAAGCTTCTTCTTAGGTCAAGACCCATAAAAATTAATTTTTTTCTGTTTTTTAATATCATTTTTATAACTTCAGAAAGCTTTTTAAAGAAAATGAAAATTTTCGATTTTCTTCTTCCAGCAGATTGTCTTCCATCAATGAGGTCCTCCAAGGGGTCCTCCAAGAGGTCCTCCGGCCATAACCGACCAAAAGTGGTTTATTTACAAAAAATATTCATAATTTTATGAAAATAGCCCCAATATTGTCCTTCATTAAAATTGTCACCAAAAACGCTGTTTTAAAACTTTCAACCCTTCAAAAAGGGTTGAGATATCAATTGGCAGGGTCGCGACCAATATCAATCGAAAGAACATTAAAAGCGCTTTCAGAAAATATTATAACCTGGAAAAAGTGGGGTGTGGAGGGGGTCATGTGACCAAAAACTAAAAATAGCCGATTTTTGACACTTTAGGGCCAATTTTCACCCAATTCCCATCGAGATGAGATGTTCACGTAATGGAACTAAATGTTCCTTATAGTCATATAATTAATAATTTAGGGTCAAAACACGTGATATCACGTGTTTTTCGACCCGATTTTTTAGCGTGGAGCCTACTTATAGGACTCATAGCTTTTTGCGAATTAAAAGAGGACGTTCTTTTAATAAGGTTATTATTAGGCGACTCATCTCAGGTCCATCTGATCTTGGCCAAGTTCTAGAGAAGAACGGCCAAATCATGGGGAGGATAAGGAGAAAAACCAAGCAGATTTCGGCACTTGGCGATTCTGTTGAAGAAATCATTGCTGGTTCAAGTTAGACATCCATGGGCTTTATTCTTCGAGATATTCTTACCAGGTTAGATATTTAAATACCCGCTGAGTCTAAAATCCGTGATTAAGGACCCCCCCGTCAGCTTTTTCTTCGAAAAATGGAAATTTTTAAAAACTCCATATTTTTGGTTCTTAATGCGTCCTTAGGTTAAACTTGCTTCAAAAAACATGATAAGAGAAATATTTGACCAAGAAAAATCAATTTTTATGCCAAAATTGAGGCAAATTCGTCAATTTTCGACGAAAAGTCCAATTTATAAATGCGATTTTGAAGGTGTTAGAGTCGAGATAGACCCCCAAAAAATGAAGCCTCAAAATCGTTTTTTGACCCGTAGAATCAATTTCCGGGGTCAAATTTTTAAAATTCCGAAATTTGATTTTTCGAAAAAGCTGACGGGGGTCCTTAAGTATTCTTCGGCTCTCTTTTTATTCTTGGTCGATATTTTGGCGAGGCCGAAGTTAAGGCGCCTACAACCTGGGAAACCTTTGCTCCTCGTCAGCTTAATCCTATGAATATGATGAATCTCTGTCGATACCATGACTATGGACTCCTCAACGAGGAACCAATGGAACTCGCCTACTCACCAGACTCACTGGCCGCAAAACAGGTCATGGATGAGGTCTTCAACGATCTTATATATACCAACTGGAATTTCAGTAATCCGGCAACGTTCCTTAACCCCATTGTTACTCCGTTAATTTTGTGCCCTCCAACCGACATCTTTTTCAATTTCACAAATAAGACAGAACAGCAGATTAGTGATTACACATCAACTTTCGTCGAAGTATCATGGTCTCTTCGGCCCTTCCTAAGTGAAGACGACCTAACGGAATTCATCAAAACCTCCGAATCGGCAGATCAAATCTTCATGGCAGTTTCTTTTAATGAATCAACTTGGAATACCGATACTATTCCTGATTCTCTTGACTACAAAATCCGGCCACAAGCAGTTCCACGCAGCGAGTTGGCGCAAGAAGGGATCAAAGCTGCTCTAGGCTGGAGAACACATACTCTTTATCCGATCATGAAAGAATTCGCTGGACCAAGAGATGGATCTGATCCTTCCGGTGGATCGCCTTATTACCACGCTGAAGGGTTTATCTACTTACAGTACTTGGTCAACAACGCATTCAGCCGAGAGAAGACCTCTTCAGATTTCGGCCCAGTTGAAATGAAGCGATTCCCTTATCACGAATACACTCAAGATCCGCTGGCAAATGGCCTCCAGAATGACATCTCATTCATTGTTCTCATCACAACATTGTACCTGGCTTCTGGGACGGCAAAAACACTCGTCGTTGAAAAAGAAACTCGACTCAAGGAATACATGCTGATGATGGGATTGAGCCGGAACACACTCTGGCTTTCGACATGGATCTTTTCATTGGCGAAATTCGTCATTACGGCCAGCACTTACACAGTTATTATGTTCTATCCTTTTACCGATAATGGCGCAGTCTATTTGATTTCGAATTGGTATGTCTTCTTCGTCTTTCTTCTTTCATATGGAACAGCTCTCATCTCCTTTGGATTCTTCATGGCTTCTTTGTTCAGCAGCTCAACTTCTGCATCCATGGCCGCTGGTGGAATAACTTACTTGATGATGATCCCGAAAGATTTTTTGAAAATTCAACAGGCGGGGTACACTGCAAAGGTTCTTTTCTCAATCTTTCCACCTATCGCCATGTCCCTTGGTCTGGAAGCCGTGGCAAATTGGGAGATCGCAGGCGAAGGAGCATCTTTCTCGAATTTCTTCACTCCACTTTCAACCACGAACGAAATCAATGTCGGTACTCAAATGCTTATTCTTCTTTTTGACAGCGTCCTCTACTTCTTGCTGGGTCTCTACTTCGATACTATTCGCCCTGGACAGTGGGGAATTCCAAAACCTTGGAACTTTTTCTGCCTCCCTTCATACTGGAGTCCACCGAAGAAAAATCAAATAAATGCTGACCAAGCCGAAACCACTAATCCCCTGGTCCAAAAACTACCTGCTGGAGAAATAAAAGAATCAGGATTCAGGCTACGAAATCTCGTCAAAGAATTTGAAGATAAAGGAAAGCCAGAACCGTTCAGAGCTGTTGACAATCTATCAATCGACGCGTACCAGAATGAAGTCACTGTCTTACTCGGACCAAATGGCGCAGGAAAATCAACGACAATTAATATGATGTCGGGAATGCTCGTTGCTGATTCTGGTTCATGCGAAGTTGGAGGATACAATATCAAAACGAATCCTTGGGCCGCCAGATCTAGTCTTGGTCTTTGTCCTCAGCATGACATCCTTATCGCTGAGCTTACTATTCGTGAGCATCTTATTTTCTTCGCTGAAATCAAAGGCTTCACGAATGCGCAAGCAAAGCTCGAAGCAAGTTCGCTAGTGCATGACATTCAGCTTGGCTTAAAGCAAGATGTTTATTCGACAAAGCTCTCCGGTGGTATGAAACGAAAGCTCTCAATCGGTATCGCCCTCTGTGGTGGGTCCAAACATTTGATTCTCGACGAACCAAGCTCTGGAATCGACGTACGAGCGAGAAGAGAGCTCTGGAAGATCCTTGACAAATATCGACGAACGCATACAATGCTCTTATCAACTCATTACATGGACGAAGCAGAACAATTGGCTGATCGAATTATCATTATGGCTAGAGGAAGCGTTCAATGCTCAGGAACCGTTCTTTTCCTAAAGCAGAAACTCGGCTCGGGGTATCATCTTACGATGAGTATGTCAGAATCTACCGATTTCCCTTCTTTGGAAAGCACAATCCGAAATGTTTGCTCCGGTGCGTATGTCGAGAAAGTCTACGGGCAAGAATGCGACTTTATTTTGCCCTTCGAAGATGCAGAAAAATTTCCAGAGTTGTTTGAAATCCTCGAAAAGTCACGCGAAAGTCTTGGAGTCTCCAGTTTTGGCGTCTCTGTAACAACAATGAACGAAATTTTCCTGAAAATGACGAAGACCAAGGCAGATCTTGAAGCAAAGAGATCTGTTACATCTGCCATTGAAAACGACGAAATTCTTCAACAAATGACTGAAAAGATTGAGCTTCTGACTGGTCCCGCTCTTCGTTTCCAACAATTCAGAGGTTCTTTCATCAAGTGCATGTATCATTCTCTTCGAAATATCAAGACTATGCTTACTTCTCTCTTCTTCCCTGCTTTGTTCGTTTCTTTGGCGGTCTTCACCATTGGCTTTATTCCTGTCATTGGCGAGCAGGACCCGATGGATCTTTCGCTGACTCCTTACGAGGGTTCCATCAAAACTGATAATGGCCTATCAAACATTCTGATTGACAATGCTGGCTTCCAAGATGGAATTGACCGTACTTTTGGCAACGTAGACAAGATCGCCAATGTAATTGATATCAATCTTCATGATGAATACGGAAACTTCTCCGAATGGGATGACCACATTTTGCAACTTCAAGACGAAGAGAAATCTAAATTCAACAACGAGTACATAATGTCCTTCCAGCTCAACAGTACTGGCGAAAAACTCGCCCTCTTCAACAATGAAGCTTTCCACACTCCAGCTACGGCGATGCATTACATGAGTCTCATTCTTCTCAAGCAGCAGGACGAGAACTTGAACATCAATGCTCAAAACCACCCGCTTCCGCCTGATTCTGGAACCTCTGTTTCCAGCAACGTCAGTACCGCTATTCAAGGAATCATTGTCACCTTCGATCTTATTATTGGAATGATGCTCATGTACGCGCAGTTCTCGCTGCTTCCTGTTAAAGAGCGAGAACAGGGTGTTAAAATAATGCAAAAATGCTCTGGTGCACCTCTTTGGATTACCTGGTTAGCAAATTATTGCTGGGATGTTCTGAATGCTCTTCTACCAAACATCTTAGGAATGGTTCAAAATAATATTTTTTCTTCTTGAACCTATATCGCTGAACCAAAAAAGTCATCGTCATTCTTCTCATTGGTGCCCAAAACTACGAAAGCCTCGAAATCTTTGGCGAAGAAGCTTTCGCAGTCTCCCTTGCCATGTTTGTCACGTCATTGGCCATCATCCCTTGCGTCTACTGCTTCAGCTTCTTATTCAAAAATCCCGCCAACGCGTCCAACTACATCGGATTCCTCAACTTCGCACTTGGTCTTATTTTATTCATTGTCAACATGATCATCTTTGCGTTGGACATTGAAGAGGATACAAAAGATTTGTATGACAAGATATTCTCTTTCGCTCCTCAATTTTGCTTCGCGCAAATGATCTTCATCACCTTCTACAATGGTAACATCCGAAAGTCTTGCGAAAAGAACGAGATCACGAAAGCAACTTGCGAGCAAATGGAGTTTAACTATGTTGATAATATTCTAACGACAGAGGATGGCGGAATCGGAAAATATCTCTTGTTTTCAGTTTACATGATTTTCTTTTATTTCGCGATTCTTTCATTGATTGAATGGGAAAGCGGCACTGGAGTTATCAGAGCGTTCTTCGGCTGTAAAGGAGGAAGTAACAAACCTAAAGATCCAGAGGCAGAAATTGAATTCGAAGACGATAGTGACGTCATCGCGATGGCTAAAAAAGTCAATGCAGGTGCCAAAGACTTGACAAAGAACCACTCTCTCGTCGTCGACAATTTGGAGAAGAACTACGATGGTTTCCGCGCAGTAAAGGGTGTCAGTTTCACTGTCAAGCCAAACAGCTGCTTCGGTCTCCTTGGTCCAAATGGCGCCGGAAAAACTTCGACTTTTAAGATGCTCACTGGTGAAGAGTCTGTCTCAAGAGGATTCGCGTATATCAATGGCCTGGAAATACAGAAAGATCGATTCGGAAGTCTGAGAGAATTCGGCTACTGCCCGCAATTTGACGCTCTTCTTCAGCAACTGACTGGTCGAGAGACTCTTTATTTGTATGCGAGATTACGAGGCGTTCCAGAGAAGATTCTTCCTAAGGTAAAAATTTTTCAAAAAACACCAAAAATCAAAATTTTCTACAGATGGTTCAAAATCTAATCGAACTCGTTGGAATCAAGCAATACGCCGAGCGTCCATCTTCAACGTACTCTGGTGGTAACAAGCGAAAACTCTCCGTCGCCATCGCCCTCACTGGTTATCCCCGGGTAACAATCATGGACGAGCCTTCTTGCGGCTTAGATCCTGGCGCTAGACGACAGCTGTGGAGTGTCATTTTGAGCGTCATGAAAACAGGTGCTTCTGTTCTCCTTACTTCGCATTCTATGGAAGAAACCGCCGCTTTATGCGATGAACTGGCAATAATGGTCAATGGGCGACTCAGGTAAGCTTGAATGAAACAGTATTATTCATCAAAAATGCCTTTTCGGGAGAATTAATTGATTTTCAGGTGCATCGGTGGGCAACAACATCTCAAATCAAAGTTCGGAAAAGGCGTAGAAATCGAGGTTCAACTTCCAGAAGGCGGAAGATCCTCTGACGTAACCAGCGAAATCATCAGAAGAATGCCCTTCCTTCAAGTAAAGGAAGTCAATCAGGTAAGATTCGAAAATCTCGCCTTTTTATGAGGAACATTTTAGTCGTTTGTTTCCTTCCACGCTGAAACTGGAGCACAGCTTTCAACTTTATTCAAAGAACTTCAAGCTACGAAGAATTCTGGTGTAATCGCTGGCTACACCGTCGATCAGCCGACATTGGAACAAATCTTCATCGATTTAACGGGAATCGAACAGAAGTAGATTTGCTGAATTCTCTCAAGTTCAAGATCTATTAATAAATAAACAATGCTTTATAAAAAATTTCAATCTTGTTGTCGATTCGTCTTCATCCCCTTTCCAACACCCAAAGGAAAAAAGGTGTGCCTTGACTGTGGATCGAACACAGGACCTTCAGATCTTCAGTCTGACGCTCTCCCAACTGAGCTATCAAGGCAGCTGGAGGGTGTTCCATATTTGAGTGTGTGTACTTTGAGCTCCTCAAAACGTAAAATATTGCTGTCAGAAAATGTAAATGACAGGAGCAATGCGAGATCAAATATTGTGACGGTGATTCTTCAAAGTTCTTTCTTCGGCATTTTTAGTTAGAATTTGTGTGTTTCTGAAATCAAGGAAGAGAATTTACAGATCCCAATTTGAAATAATACGACTATGGTTACATAAGATCCTCTATTCAGAATAGTGCCAGTCCCGTTCTTTGTACCTGATTGAAGAAAGAGAACGAATTTTAAAATGGCATAAAGCTTTGTGGCCAAATACGCACTGCTAACATCGAAACTTTGACTCGCTTTACTTGACAATACTTTCTCGATCTTTTTTTTTGAGATTTCGAAAGAAGCTCAAGAGATCGAAGTAATGGTAAGAGGATTTTAATGAATTGAATTTTTGATAGAAGATTAAGACAAAAGAAAATAAAACGATGGATAAGGGAGCAATTGGATTTGCTATTGCGGGACTTCTTTTAGTCATTGCGGGAATGGCATCACCAAATTGGCTGCGATACACCGGCCTTGTTGAGAATGGGTTTATCAAGGATCAAGCTTTTGTTGGCCTGTGGAAAGCAGAATTTATTCAGCCGGGCCCGCCTAATGAACTTTTTGATTACTTCACTGAACTTAAATTTTCCGATGGAAAGGCTGAGGACCCCAATTACGATTGGTATTTTGGTTCTTGGATGAACGCTTGCAGGTAAGAAAAGTAATAAAAGTCTGCTTGCTATACCGATTCGATAGAGCACTGGCGATTCTGACGATCTTATGGGGAGCTGGAACTATTGCCCTTCATTTTTGGAAAAGCTTCAAAACTCAGAATTACTTCTGGTCAAAAATTGTCTTTTTCAACTACATAATTACCTGTTAGTAAATCATTAGTATTCGGATGATACTTACCCGTATTTTTAAGCTCTTTTTGGAACATGCGCTGCCGGAACATGGGTAGGATCAATCGCTGCGCAGGAGCTTGTTCAAAATGCTGATGGAGTCGAGGAATACATCTGGAGGTAAAGAATGAAATAAAAGAATCGTCGAGGACGTTTTTTCAGGGGCGATTACGGAGCAGGGCTTTGGATTTTTTGGATTGGAACTGGTTTTTTTCTTCCCGCAGCAGCTCTTGCTTTTGAAGGGGGCTTTGTTAATCACAAGGTAACGGTTTTAGAAAATGACACCCTTATTTAACCCTTTTCAGAGCGAACAATACAAAAAACTCGAAGAAGAATTCAACAAGAAGATTCAGCAATAAACCATTTTTAATTATAAGCTCTCCGAATGAATAAAATTTTCTTTGAAAAAAAGCTACTGACTTTCGTGATCCAAAAGCATGACCTTTTGAATACAATGAAAAGTCTACGCAGCGCAAATGGAGTAAAAAAAGGTCCATTTGTGAATCGATTCTTCCAGCCAATTTGTCAACCCGTCGATAGAAATCGCGAAAAGTTCGATTTTCTGAAGCCCACGCGCCGCTCCTTCTTCTTTTTTTTTACTAAGATTTTCTTTGTACATTTTTCAATCGAGTCAGAAAAATATGAGAATTCAAGAGCTAAACAAGCGGTTAATGAACAGACCCCAAGAAGCGGATAATTTATGGTGGGAAAGTTTTGCCACGGAGTTTTTTGACGACGACGCGAGATTGACCATCACGGCTTATTTTGACGAAGGCTTGAAGAGCTTCTCTATCGGGAGACGGCTCATCCCGAGATACTTCAGAACCTGGTTCGAAGATGGAGTCACCGACTGTTACATGGTCCCGAGAATGGCGAAAGAGACGTTTATGGGAAATGTGATCATGATAGAATGCGATATGGCCAGCCAAATTGCGACGCATACGAAGGTTTTTAATCGAATATTGTATGTGGAAATATTGATATTGAAATTTATTAGCCGACATATTGTGTGATACAGTCAGATGGCAGATTGACGGTCGAGTTTAACTTGGAAGACAATATGAGGATCAAAAGCTGGAACTTTTACATTCGAGCGTAAGTGTCTTTCGAAAAAGAAATGAAAATAATAAACTTTCGGATTTCATCATTTTATTACATAGGATATGCCTTTGACGAGAAATAAAAAAGATAATGATTCATTTAAATAGATATTTTTCATTACATTAACATTTGTCGCGCTATACTTATTTGGCTGTCTTAGTGCTTCATTTTCAAGTGATAATGTAAAAGCGCAAATCAGCTGATTAAATTCACGAGCTCTTCCGAAAGAGGGCGTCAAGGAGTCGTTTTTCTCAGCAGGATACCACTCCAGTAAGATCAGATTTCGAGGACGGCGTTAGTTAGATTTCTTGGATCGACCCAGTTTTGCCAGTTTTTCTCTCTTCATTCGTATTATGCAATGAAAACTTTCCTGTAGTGCTCACGAACTGGTTCCAAAAGGATACAACCCGATGGATGGTCAGCAGCAAATGCAAGAATTTGGTCGACCCGTATCTCGTGGCGGAATTTCTTCGGCGACCTTAAATTTTCTCAAACTCTGTTCGATCATGGAGCCAATGCAGGAACTCTTCTCCTTCCACAAGGTACCCAAGAAATAAGACCTTTGCTAAACCAGAATCAAGACATTTCGAATGGAGCCAAGAGAGTGTCTGAAAAACTGCCTCTTTCAAAAGTGGTCGCGGATCATGCAGCCGACAGATGGAGGACCTCGAGAAGGAGCAAGACCAAGGGGTAAAAAACGATCGAGAAAACCGGGTGCAAACAGTCGCAGCAAGCCAAGAACTCCAGCAAGGTTTTCTTTATCATCATAAGATCTTTTCAAGCGCTTTCTAGTGAGATTCTGGTGGCTGGGGAACCAACGATAATGGGCGGAGAAACTCAGGAAGATGAAAGACCGATTACGAGGATAGAAAATGGAGAGTCTGACCAAATTGATTCAAAAGGAATGGCTCGAAAAATATCTACAGAGGGTACTCTAGATAACGAATCGGCTTGGCTCCACAACCTGTGCGAAAAACTCAGTAGAAAGTTTATTTTGAGCCAAAACTTAGTCGAAATACCGCCAGTTTCTGACGGAATGGACCTCAATCTTCAAATTGGAACAATAAAATCCGAAATAGAAAACTGAAAATTTCAACTTTTTCTTTCTCAAAAATGCCCGAGACCTGTCTATAATATCTGTTTTTTATTCTTTCTTCCAAAGAAGCTTGAGAACTTTTCTTTCAATAAACTTCAACTTCAAAAACCTTGATTTTGAATCATTCAAATTTCCGCCAATTGGCGCCGCGAGCAACTTTTGAAGGGAGAAAAATAAGAATTCGGAAAATAAGAAAATTCAGAGAAAAATGGTTTCTATGGCGACTCAGTGTCGAATTCGCCATTTTCGGAAGGAGAGAAATTCTCTAGAATACGCAAAAGAGAAACTTGTTTTTCAGAAGAAAGAAAATGGAGGAATCAGTTTGATACTTGAAAATGACTTTTGCGGAGCAAAATTCTAGCCCCTATATTTCTTATGCTCATTCGAAAGAACAACACCTGAGGATTCGAATGGTATAGTTTTGAGGGTCTGAGTCATCACATATGACGTCATAAAGGCCTCCCTTTTATAAATGGTCATGAAGCCCTGTATCTCCGAAAATTTTCAGAATTATATGGAGATTTTGATATCGTTGAAAAGCTTAGCTCAAACTGGTTATGGGCACCCACTGCGCAAGAGAAAATTCCAAGTGAAAAAATATTTTTTGAGACAAATAATTTTCACTCAAAATTTTTTTTCAGAATTATTTCCTGCGCACCAGGTGCCCATACACAGTTTCAGCTGGGCTTTCGAATGATACCCATATATCCATACTTTTTTCGAAAATTTGTGGAGATACAGGGCTTCATGACCTGTCATTTTCAGGTACTTTAGGCGCTAGAATTTGACATTCTTCGTGGCTTGGACACATAAAAATTGTACCATTCGACTCCTTAGATTCTGCGCTACAAACTAAGCACTAAAAATATTGAGGTCAGGATTTTGCTCCGCAGAAGTCATTTTCATCTATCGTTTTGAAGGAAAATTCGACGGTAAAAGACCAAAAATCTTTATTTTCTACTAAAGTATTTGGTCGCTTTTACTGATAATAGACTCTGTTTTATCATGGAAATTAAATAGTTTCAAATATAACATTAAATTACTTAAGATTGGGAAAGAAATTACTCAATTTTTCTTCCGTAGCGGCTTTTTTTCGCCGTAGCCGCAAAGCGGCTTTACAAAATACACATTCAAATCTATTTTTAAAGTTTGAAGAAGCCGCTCCGCGGCTTTGGTTTTCAAATAGCCGCTACGCGGCTTTTCATTTAATATTTTTGGACCCTAACTCAGGTCTTCTTCACAGGTTGAGGAGCTAATCAATCATAGTCTATGATTCATAGAACACTCAAAATTTCAATCATTTTTGTATTTCAGGAAATGGCAAAATTGCCGGAGAACTGGGCGGTTTGCGTCGGAACCGTCTTCGAAGACGCACTCAACCAGTTGCAGATTCTCGGCTGTATTCTTCCCGTGCAAAAGAACAAGACCTCTGTCGCCTACCAAAACATCGCCGATGAAATAATCGAGTCTCTTTCCGAAAAACGCGACCTAGAAGCAGAAATCGACGGCTTCGACGACACACAAAGAATGATCAAGCAGCTGACGCAAGAAATCGTCTCTCAGAAGTCGGGCGTTTCTGCGAGAGGCCTGGATGGACAAGACAACTTGATGAAAATTAACCGCGATCGGCAGTTTGCTTACGAAGCGCTCAAGCCGTGTCTTGATGAAATTGTTGCCAGTGGCAGTTTTAACTCTCTCTCCAAATCGGTAGAAGAGGAGAGTGTTCGCAAATGCAGATTCAGAGGTAAGAGAAAACAAGGAAGCAGAATTTTGATTACTTTATTGCAGTAGTAAGAGTAGCGAACACTTGCTAATCATAATTTCCCCGGACCCCTCATCTTTTCTCTTTTTATTTTGTCTTCATTTTAGTCGCTCAGCTTTAAAATTGACAAGGTTGGGTTAGGCAAGAAATCTGTCCGTTTCATTTTTCGCCCTCAAGTTGAGGGAGATGATAAAGCAAGCGTTAAATGATAACGACGATGTCTGTTTTTTGCTCTTCCTACATCATCTACTCTAGCTACTGTAGCTATCGACTCTTCGCCATATTCAATTTCCACATCATTTAATCAAGCCTATTTCGGTAGGGAAAACTATTAACATTCGATTTTAGTTGCGCAGGAAAAAGAAACAAACGCAAAACGCGAGCTAAAAGATCGAAACCGGCGACTCGCTGCGACGAAAAAAGAAACGGAAACTGAAGTCCACGAGTTGACCGAAATGATCGCCCATATCAAGGTACTCTTTCTCCCTCTCTCTCATTCTCACTCCCTTTTTTCAGGATCAAATTCAAGAGCTCAAGTCACAAACCGCGATCGAAGGTCGTTACGTCAAAAAATCCGCCGAAACTGGCATCGAAATGAATCAATCTTTCCGGGCGCAGGAAGAAGGCGAATTACAGGAGGTCCTGGACACGCTAAAACGAGATATCGAAAGCGAAAATAGAGCGCATACTGATGTCAAGAATTTCCTGCTCAAGAAACGACGCCAGCTCGAAGATAAAGTAAGCTAAAGCCTCATGGAGGAATTTTCCATTATAACAACTGATTATTAGATTGAATACTGGATGGAAAAGTACGAAAACGACACGGAATCACGCACAAACGAGCTTGCAAATCTCAAATCCGACAAAGACAAAGATCTTCGAACGCTCCAAGAGCTTGCTCGAACATACGACGATTATGAGGTACCCACCCTTAAGATTATCCCCCTTCTCTACTCTTTTTCTAGCGCGTTGTTACAGAAGACCGAGCAGAAAAGAAACGAATCAAGGAGAAAAAGGAGCGGGACGAGCTCGAACGCGTCACTTCCATCAAAATCCAGGTAAAAAACACAAAAAGAGAACTAGAATAAATCGTGTATTCTTCAGGCTTGGTGGAGAGGTACTATGGTCCGAAAAGGCCTCGGCGAGTTCAAAAAAGACAAAGGCAAGAAAGGCAAAAAGGGCAAAAAAGGCGGCAAGAAGGGCAAGGGCAAGAAGAAGTAAGCTTATTGAGCGCCAATTCTGTACATTTCCGATCTCGATTCTTCTATTATCTAATCTTGTTTTGTAAAAGAGAATAAATGCATCTATTTTTGTACACTTGTGTCCTTTCTCGCTAATTTTCTAGAGTTATTTTGCACAAAGAAAGCATGCAGCTTGCTCAAAAGCTCAATATTGCTTAAAAATGTTCAAAAAAGATAGAAAAATAGATCTTGAAAAGCAGCAAAAATCGCTGCCGGTAGAGATCTCAAAGGAGGATTTGGTTCAGTGGGAGAAAGAAGACCGGCAATGCCGGATTATCTGGCTCTCTGTCGCGTTGATTTATACGATTTGGATGTGCTACAGTTTAGGACCTCAATCCGTCCCCGAGAAGTGCATTTCTATCAGTAAGTTCTATTCTTGTTTTTCCTTTCTTTCCTCTCAATGATCCTTCAGATGGACAACAAAGCATCGAAATCGACTTCCCAAGAACCGATTATATCACTTCGAATATGTACTGCCGCCAGAGCTGCCGATACGACTGGAAAGCCAACTGTTTGAGCGGCAGGACCGTTACTGAAGATCAATTTGAACAGTACAGAAATCAGGAAAGCTTTTAACCTTTAAAAAAGCGCTCAAGAATCTACGAATTCCGTGTTAAAAGCTTTGAAAGACCATCGAAATCATGGTCAACTTCCCTAACTACCAAAACTATTGGCTCTTCGCGAACGGGACTCATATTCGCGTCCTTGAAGTGTAAGAAACCTTGCACATCGACACTAATTTGGCTGGAAATTTTAAGGACCTGGCCGAAGACTGTCAATAATACTGTACAAACGAAGATCAGAAGTGGCGATCCAAACGAGGAACGGTTTCGTTTTTAAAGACCTTCTTAGAGAATACTCTCTCATCTTTCCTTTTTTTCTGAAACTAATGATAGTCGCACTCGACAATCTGCATTTACAACACGACCTGTGGCGCAGACTACTTTTGGCGTATTCCATCCCCTTTCAATTCCAACGCGTAATCATCCATGCCAAACTAAACAGCCAAAAACTACATCATTTATTTGTCAATCTCACTCGTACACTTGCCAAATCCACACATGTATTTCCACACAATAAAAGAATAGGCTGGATAATTTCCAAGCAAACAAACTTCATCACATAAAAACTATTCAAGATCTTTCATTTCAGAAATACAACTCTTCAACTATTGAAATCGGTCTTCGGAGAGAGAAGATTCCGTCATGAGTGGACGAAGTCTCAAAGCCAAGAGGTAAGATTTTGACCCTTTGAATTGAATGATAATCATTCTTTTCAGGAGATCGTTGACGCAAGACCAAGATATTCAAGATCTCCAACGAGCAGTAGACGAGTATGTCGCGAAGAACCCAACGCATCGCTGCTCCGTTGAAATCAAGCTCGAAGGCCGCATCATAAAGCGAATAAATTCGGAAGGAAAGAGATTTAAGGGCACCCTGAAGGAACAGGCGGCGAAGAAAAATCAACCAGACATGCGGACAGTGCTCAAACAAGTGCAAGAAAATGGTCACATTGTGCGGCCAAAACCAAAGAAGAGAGCAAAACGAGAGTTTGTCGAGCCCATTGATTACATCACGATAAAGAGCTCGCAAAGCCCGTCTACTGATTCTATGGGAAGTCAATCGCCAGGTGATTAGCTAATACACAAGGCAAGACTTTATAAAGCGTTTTTTAGATATAAAACGAGAACGGGAACTCCGTGGACCGTCCCCAGGAATCATCGATCTTTCGAGCGACGAAGATCAACCGGGTTTCGATTTTTCAGAAGGTCTCACTCAGCCTGGCGATGATCTTCCTTTGACCACCATTATCTCCGGAAACTTACCAAAAAACTCTGACAAAGATCTTTCGGACGAAAACTCGAGCTCACAAGACATGTTCGATCCTGACAAACCAAGTACCTCAACTCAGATCACCAAGAAATTGAATCGGTCGAAATCGTCCAAGTCTCTTAGACGTCAAGAATCAGTGACACGGATCTTCGATTCTGATGATTCTTCTTCCGAAGATGAGGCGAATACAACGATCAAAAATGAGCCTGAAGAAGGATCGTATTCTCCCCTTTCTCAAGAACTCTGTAAAAACGAAAATGACTCATCGGAAGAACCAGACGAACCTGAAGAAGAAGACGATTTGGATCGAACTCGGGCACACTCGCAGAATCTCTTCGAAACTTCAGATATTTGGTCTCATTTCAACGACGAGAATTACCCAACGAGATACCACTGACGATGGTGCTGAAGCTTTTTTATTCAAAAAATTATAGAAACCATTCTCTATCTCCTTTTTATTCACTCATTTTCCTGTACATCTCTTTGTACTCAGTTAAACAGTTTCAAACTTAGAACGTTCCTGAAAATAAGGCTGAAGTCAGCTGATCACATTCTCTTTTTTTAACGGATAAAGCCAATAAACACACGAAAATCAACTTATGCTCTTTTTCTACTTGCTTGACGATCAGGGATGGTTTTAATAAAACTTAATTCAGAAAGAGAATGAATATTCGAGTCGGGCTCTTTATGATTTGAAAAATATTGTCGTAACCTTTGATTTACATGATAAAATGCCTGCATATGAATTATCTACATCGTAATAAGGAAAATGTGATAGTAAAATTTTGTAAATGACATTTTTCTTTATTGCATAAATTCTCGATAAAATTAAATAAATATATGTATAATCAAACAGTTGGGAACGAATAAATTCCATTAAATAGCACATAATCGAGTTCATAAATTTCCTTTAGCTTTTGAATTTGATCCTCACGAAGTTCGGCCAAAAACTCGCTGTCGCTTTTTGACTTGCTCGTGAAATGACTATTTGAAAGGCCGCTTTTTTCGAACTTTATTTCTTCCAAATCGAGGGATTCTAGCACTGGGTCCAGATCCTCGGGGAATTTTTCAACTAAAAATTGTGAATTTTTGTTTTGAAAAGGGTTGGTTTTCACCTTGAGCTATTGCTCCAAATTTATTTTGGCAAAAAGGAACAGTATCCGTTTGCGGACACCAGTGACCATCACAATCGCCAGGTCTGAGCTCGAAAAAGCTCGGTAGTTTTCCCAACTTCCAATCAATCACGAAATCCACGAATTCGCCAAAGGTCGGAATCAGTCCTTGTGTTTTTGCTGTTCGTTCATTTGGCGTCACGGGTCTGTGCGTCCGATAATGGCGCGTGATGTGCCTACTGTATATATTCCAGAAGTACTGGCGACTTTGGTCGCTTAGTTTTGTCCTTCCTTATTTAGAGCTCTGAGAATATTTTGATAACGGTCATGATTTCGGGCGGATTCCGTTGAAAAAGGGAACGCTTTTCTTATACATTTGATAGATTCTAGAGCTCTTTCCTATTTTATCTTTGTAAGCCGAGATAAGCCGATTAATCGGGTCTCTTATCCCGGTATACATGAGCAACTCACTCTTATCACCCTCGAATTCATCCACTTTTTTGAGTCCATGTTTCGCAAATTGCACCGGCCAGATTGTATCCGGGTCTGTTTTCGAGATTTCGGGAAACTTCGAGGGCACGATGAAGCCAGAATCGGCCATTTCGATCAGTCGGAGACTCGTGGAGCCACATTTTGGCGGTAGGGCGAAGGCGATGTTGTTTTTTGGATTGTACCAAGAAGTTTTGTAGAGCCGCTGTTCGGAGTATTGAGGGTTTTGTTGAAGCTCTGCAACATGATTTAGGTGATATACCGCGGCTTCAAAAGGAAGAAAAGCGTAAAGCCGCTCGCGGCTTCTAATAGAGAAAAATACCGCGTCGGGCGCGGCTATAATGCTGGCTACTCTAAGCCGCAAGGGTAAGGGTTAACGTGACTTACTTTTGCAATTTTCTGTTATGATGTCGATAATATTTTGAGAAATAATCTCGGGAGTTGAAGTCGTTGATGTTTGCTTTTCAGTACTAGTTTCCTTCAGGATTTCTTCAGGATTTGGGGAATTTTCTAGTGTATTTCCTCTCGATACGGAGCTCACATTTATTTCTGTTTTTGACAGGCCGCGTTCTATCAAATGAACGGAGGTTGAATGAGCAGCGCCAGTTAAAACTTGAACGTAGACTGTTATCGTTTTTTTATTAATTCAATACTGCTTGTAATTCAAAATTTATGAAATTAAAACGTCCCTAATGTTCCTCCAAAAACGACGCCAAAGCTAAAAGCCAATGCCACCTTCATATCTTCTTTTTTCATTTTCGTGGTTCCTCTAAAAATTTTATTGCACTGAAAGTTTCTCCTCCTAATTCATAGCCTAACAGTGGGTTTTTACGAGCTCTTGAATTCTCCCCACCTTGCCCAAGGCAGAGGCAGGAGGGGTTGTTGTGCTTTTTAATCTCTAGGGCTCAAGTTTAGCAAGGATAGTTAATATCTTTGTCTTATTGCCGAGAATTTTCCTTTGTTATCATATATTAGTAGATTTTGGTGGATGATTTTTAAAAAACTTCGAATTTTAGAATGGCATCATCGGGTCTGAATGATTATGTGAACGAAGTCTGCAAAGCTCTCGATTATCGGGAGGGTATAAAGGTTTGCAAAAATGATGCTTTGGAATTTTTATTTCATTTACTTAAAATTGGACAAGAGTTTCTTGCGAACGTTTTCGGCTTACCTCTTGGAGTTTTTTGGAGAACTGAAGCTTAAACTTTAACCAGAAAACGTCATCCCTGGATCTAGAAAATTACCCAACCCTTAAATAAAAACAATCATTTTTGAGGCCCCTTCGTAGGAAAATTACTTATTAACTATAATTATCAATTATCGATATCGACTTGAAGGTTGGACCATGAATTTTCGTATATCTTCAATAACTTTAGCTAAGACTTCCCTCCCAATAGAGTCTCTGGCCAAAAATGTTTATGAGTAGTATAGTTTTAGGTCTTTGTTTATCTTGACCATCAATCAAAGGATGACATTGTTGACAGTAGAACTCGATACTATACTTTAGTAGAAGGAACTTTTGGCACATGTCACGTCCCATAGATTCAGTTCGACTTCGATTATCGAAGTATCGAGTTTTTTTATTAAAAAAGTCACTATTAACCGTCTTTATTCAGGCGTCAGAGTTGCTTAGTTTCTCGCACTCGCATATCGCCAATGCTCGACTACGAGTCGAAGCTCCAGAAGCAATTTGCTCAAGAATTCTCGCTCAACCGTTCGACGAAATGGTCGCTGCTCATATCAAGACTATTTGGTCCTCTTCAAAGGTAAAAACAAGAGCGCTCCTTCTCTGATTATGAAGGAGGCTTGGGGCGATCAGAGTTTGTTTTTCAGGTGCTTATCTTGAATTTAAAATTTCCTTGAGAAAACTGCTCTAATTTTAAGCTGTTTTAAAGTCATTTCTGGTTGATTTTGGTCTTCAAATGTCTGAAAATGGCTTTACTCAATTCTTAATTGAATTTATTAAGAAGCGTTATATTTTATTGATAAATTTTTAAGGGAAATCACGATGAAGCCTGGCAATACCAAAACATCACCGTTCAAGCCTTCATAAAAGGCTTCCAAGCGATGAAAGAAGAAAATTGGGCTTTACCTCTTATGCAGACGCTTATTCTCGACCTCAGAAATTTCGCCCGACGTGGGGACAAACGAGCGATAGGGGGTAACTCTAGCTTCGCCCATTCAAGCGTTACTAACATCATTAATTAAGGAAAGCCGGGCGAGCGCCAGGAAAAGGCCGCGGAAACAATTATGAGTGCATTCAGGTAGAATTTTCTATCTTATTTCATACCCTTACCGTTTTTTTTCTTTTGGTCTTCTCTTCAATTTGAATCTTAAAAATATCAGCTCGTTAAGGACATTTGACTTAAATAAATTTAAATCCCAGCGGTTATAAAGTTTCAGACGTAAAGATAAGATTAACTTTTGTTAGAAAAGATTCGCGGTTTCATGAATGAACACTTTCTTTACTTTTCTCCCATTTTTATATTGATTAAATTTGCTCATGAAGATTGAATTCTTCGTCTATTTGCCCCGATTCTCAGTCAAAGTACCTTCAGTCCGTAGCTTCCGGACACGTTTGTTGAATTTGTTACCCTTCTTCCGAATCTCTTGCGATTTCTAAGGGAAATGGCTTGGGAAAGAGTGAACATGTCAATTATATGCTAAATAAATATTTTCAATAGACATTTCAAAATAATTTTTTGTAAGGGCTTGCACCAGCGACACGCGAACGCGATTAGACGATTCCAAGCGATGGGGAATGCTTTTCGTAGTGAACCAGCTATTCAAGACTTATTTCGCTGTCGGAAAACTCCATCTTTTGAAGCCGTTGATTCGAGCAATTGATGCATGCGATATTCGGGATGAATTCTCACTCTCTCAGGTAATATTGAGATAGAAGATTTTCGATAAAAAGCGAATTCTAGCGCGTCACCTATCAATACTACGTCGGTCGAAAAGCGCTACTGGACTCAAACTTCTCCCTCGCCGACGAATACCTTTCCTTCGCGTACCGAAACTGCCACCCGAGCTCCTTCAGAAATCGAAAGCTCATTCTCGTAAATCTGATCGCTGTGAAAATGTTGATGGGACAGGTGCCCAAGCAAGAGCTTTTGCTCCAAAACGGATTGAGAGAGTACCGAGCGGTAGTTCACGCGATGAAGACTGGAAACATTGGATTGATGGATGATGCTCTTGCTAAGGTATATTACGGCTTGTTGGCTCAGAAACCTGTTTAAAAACCTGAGACAGGGTCCCAAAAAGGCTATTTTAAGCTCTTTCAGAACCCTGAGTCAGGTTTATACATAGGTTATCGAGTCCAGAACGCCCCATTTAGAATTCGAGCTATGATTCCATTTCTAGCACGAGTATTTCTTCGTCAGATCAGGAATCTACTTGATTATTGAAAAACTCAAGCTGGTTGTGATCAGACAACTGTTCAAGAAGGTGATGAAAATGGCTGGACATCATCAAATTCAACTACAGGTAATCCTTCTTCCTGTTTCGAAAAGAAGCTGATATTTCTGTCAGATCTTTTTGGACGCAATCAACTTCGCAGGAATGCCAGAATGCGACATGGAAGAGCTAGAATGTCTTATGGCCGGTCTTATCAGGTAAAAAGTCGTTTTTCCACTCGCCAATCATCAAATCTCTCAGCCACAACTTGATCCGAGGATACATTTCGCACCAGTACAAAAAGGTCGTCTTCTCCCGAAAAGAACCCTTCCCTGTCATCAAGAAATCGCCGCTGACCTTCCTCTAGAATTTTTATAAGAAAATTCTACTTTTCAAATCGTTCCATTTTCATCTTCATTTGACTCGAAGTTCACGAACTTTAGGAACTTTACTTTTCATTCTTTCCAGAACAACATTAGGAAAATTGACTGTTTGAATACTGCCTTCAATAAAAATTGAAAATAATGAACTCGTGAATATTCACCATGTGTTTCTGTTTAAATTTATTTTCTGAAAAAGCCGCGCTTCTTTTTTATTAATTCCGAGCCGCAAGTGGCTTCTCGATTTGTGCAGAAGAATTATCTTCAATCTGCCACGAAAAAAACCGTTAGGTTATCTTTTTTTCAATCGTGCTTTGGACCGTCCATTTCGTCATTTTTTTAAGTGAGAGAAATTTTTTGCAGAATGAGTTTTCCTGTTGCCAAATTAGAGGATGCGCGCGTTGACCAGTTCAGCTGGTATTTCGAGGATGAAGAGCTAGAGTTCATTCGATCGCACAAAGCATCGTTTTTTGAGAAGAAGGAAGCTGAGAGATTTTCAAAGGTACTCTATTATAACTCTGCCTTTTGTGACTTTTTCCAAGTATCTCGATGGAATTACAGCTTCCACGTGGTGGCTGAGAAAGCGCGAGCTCGATCGAATCGAGGACAAAGAAAATACTCCTGTAAAGAATGGGTATTTCAACGCGATGGGCATGCCCGCCCCAGCCCCCTGGCAGAACGAAAAGCGAATAAAGATCGAAGTCCCTGAACATGAGCGAATCCCTCCAGCAGTCGGGAGGGGGCAATTCAAGAGAATTTCACAAGGAAACGGTCAAAAAATGCTCGAATTTGAGCGCCAAATATTAACATGTAATTATAGACATTGGTAAAACACGTATAGGTTTTTAAATGGTTACTCTTCATTCGCTCAAAAAATTTGCCACAATAGATCATATTTGTCCAGTTATGGTTTTTTGACCGACAATAAGAAATTATTGGGCTACCGAAGAAGTTGGACGAAAAAGTGTCAATCTGCGTTCTGACGAGAACAGAGACGAACGTCCCTTCAAATATCATTTGCTCCTACTTTGATCACAATTTGAAAAAGCGCGTTATCAGCTCAGTCCAGGTTTTCTTTCTTGGTTCCAACCTTTCCTAATCGTGGTCTTCAATCTTTAGGTCTTCAATTACGGACACAATCACACTCTTGGTTTGGAGCTCCATGTTCCGAGCAAATTTTCAATCGATAGCGTACTCGAAGAGGCGTCACTGATGATCCAGGACGAGAACCCATCGCTTGACAGGCAGTACACCGCGATTTACTCACCAGTCGTCAAGACCGCAAGTGCTAAACTGAATCTCGATTGGACGATTTCACAAAATCATCAGGGCCCAGAACGCGACCCGGATATTTTATCTGGTAAGCAGTTTCTATCAAAATGAAGCGCGAATGTTACATTCAGGGCCTGACTTCGGCGATGAAAAATCATTCCAAGCATCGATAAAGATTCGACCAGAGTTGGGGCTCGATTTCCCCGACGAGTTCAAAGATTTAAGGGCGGACATTGACCAGCTTAAAATTTTCCTCGAAGCTATGAGCACAGAAATTCTTCCCCAATCGTCGAAATTGTCCGATGATTTGAATTCGATCATCCGTGGATCTTGTAAGATCATGTTTTTCGCTTCAGGAATGATAGGATAACTTAAGCTAATGTGGAAATAAGCGACTTGGTTTGGAGTTCTTGCAAGTATTCAAGCCTTCAAGAGATCACGAAGAATCTCACTACTTTAATTACTTTCGCCACGCAAGGGGATGCAACGAACATATCCGTCTTCTCCGACAATGATGTAAGCTCATTCTTTTTGTCAAAATTGATCAAGGAATTCTAGTCCGACTTTGCGATGAAATTCATCAAGGCCCGAAAGCGAGGCATCCCCTCGAAAATCCATGAAAGTTCTGCATTGGAAATGATCTTCGAATGTGGCGAACAAGCGATCTCTAGAAAACTTGATGAATGCATATCTTCTCGCGCTGGATTGGCTCAGCTTCTTGGCTCACCTAACGGAAGCCAACGGGTTCAAGAGCAGTTGCAGGAGCTTGTTAGACGACTGGAATCGATTTGCTTGCATCATGGACTGCAGGTATGTTTGAGATAAAGAAAAAAAAATAGAAGAACGGGATATTTAAGACTCTTGCTCTCCCTGAAGCCACAATTCGCAGCTTCATCTCCGACTGGGTCGCTCAAGGAGGCGGAGAAGTTACCCAAACAGTTTCCGGCTTTTCTGCTTACAAAATCGTCAAAGAGCATCGCCCAACCAGCTGGTCGATGAAGATGGATCAATACATGATCGACATCATCTGCAAAGAAGATCACGTTGACCAGAAGTCAGAATTCTTCGTATACGAGAAGACTACAAACTTTGCAGACATTTAATTTTTTAAAAACTTCACTCATTCTTACGAAAGTTCACTTATCACAATTTCCTCACTTTTACTTTTCACATTCCCGGGAAATAAAAAATCAACTGCCAAATCATATCATCCTCATCATATTTTGTGATATTTCTATCATATTGAACGATTTTCAAGCTATAGGAATCGGTAATCGAAGAGAATGTCGCAAAATTACATGATGGAGCCGGCGACAAACGGCAAGGTCGTCCTAAGGACTTCTGCCGGCGACATCGACATCGAGCTGTGGTCGAAAGAAACTCCACTTGCGTGCAGGAATTTTGTGCAGTTGTGCATGGAGAACTACTACGACGCGACGATTTTTCACAGACTTGTTCCAGGCTTCATAATTCAAGGCGGGGATCCTTCTGGAACTGGAATGGGAGGAGAAAGTATCTACGGAAAGCCCTTCAAAGATGAAATTCATTCTCGAGTAACCCTAACCCTGCTGGTTCCTCAATTTGACGCTTATTTATTCTAGCTCCGTTTCGTCCGAAGAGGTCTTGTAGCCATGGCGAACGGTGGAAAAGATGACAACGGTTCTCAATTCTTCATCACTCTTGGGCCAACAAACGACTTGAACAAAAAACACACGATCTTTGGCAAAATCACCGGCGACACGGTCTATAATCTGGTGAAAATGGCCGAAGGCGAGTGCGATCATAACGAGAAACCAATAAACCCGCATTATATTAAAACAACGCATGTTCTGAACAATCCTTTTGATGATATTGTGCCAAGGAATTTAGGTAAGAGAATGACAGATGTCTAGAGATGTTTCTGGACATAATTTGGTCGATAAAGTCTCTTACTTCGCATTTTAGAAGAGCAAAAAGAAAAGAAAATCCAAGAAGAAATCTCCAAAAAGCCCAAGAAAAAGAAATCGAAAGCAAAAGCTCACAAAAAGCTCACAGTTCTGAGCTTCGGCGACGAAGCAGCTGAAGCTGAAGAACTAGCAGAACAGGTGAATAAGGAGATCAAAGCTAAATCGGCCCACGATGTCGTTAAAGAAGACACATCGATGGTGAAGGAAGAGTTTAAACCTGAAGAAAAAACGGAAGAGGATGAAAAATGGATTTCGAAAAGAGTCGATGGAGAAGTCGACTTGGAAGATGTCGATGATCTTGCTAGTTGGATGAGGACGAAGATGCAAGAAAGGTAGGAATAGTTTAAAAGATGCTGAAGTAAAATGGCTTTTTTAGAAACGAGCAGATAGAAAGAGAAGACAAAGAAAAAATCGAGGCTGATATGAATGAGAGAAAAAGAAAAGTCATGTCCTATCAAGGAATGTTGAAAAACCTGTTTGAGAAAATTTTTATAGTTTCATTTTTTTCGGGAAATTTGCTTTTGATCATCAATCAGAGACTTTCAGATACTTCACAAAAGATATTTTCAACATGAAAAGATCAGCAAAAGATTCTGATGAAGGAACTTAACGAGCTAAGAAAAAAAGAAATAACGCGGACAGAAGAAGTCGCCGCGAAAAAGTCGAAAAAAGAAAAACGACTCGACGAGAATTCGCTTTTCGGCGAGTTCAAGGCTGAGCAAGAACTGTACAAGGAGAAAACGGCTGGGAATAAGTTTACAAAGGCGGATTATAACTCTGGAAAAGTCGTTAGGAAGAATAGAGAGGCGGATACGATGGCGATGCTGAAGGGATTTAGGAGCACTCTGTTCGAAGCAAAAGGCATTGAAGGTGAGAATGAATAGCATTTGACACTTTCTAGAACATTTTTTCAGTTCCAAAAGCACGCGATTGGTTAACACACACCCTCCAACGAGAAACAACAATGAGGGACGACAAGCTAAACATCCAAGATCTCGAGGCAAAAGACATGAACCGCCCTATCGATGAGAACCGCTACGACATTTCAGATCCGCGAAATCCACTCAACATGAGAAGAAGAGGAGCAAAATAGCTAATTTCCTCCATCATCTTTTGTAATTTCTAGTTCAAATTAAATTTTCAACTGCCAATTTAATCAACGTCTTCATTTTGCTGGTTTATAGATTTTGATTGGCCCCCTCCAACCCGGAATGGCTACTCGAGAGAACGAAAGACCCGCGAAAAAGAAAGATTCGATGAAATATCCGGTGATGCAGAAGATTGACAACCTCATTCCGAATCCGACCAAACCGGAGAACAGTTACAACATTCGTATATCCAACAAAATCAACGGTGGCTCTTTTGGTAGTATTCATAAAGTTAAGGTTAGTTCGAATTGATCAGATTCTTATATTATAGAGAAAATTCATACTTTTCCATTTTTAAAAACTATTATGGCCTCTTGCTCATTATTTTTTTCAGGCCATTGTCGAAGGAAAAAAGGTCGATGTAATGGTGAAAATCGAGGCTTCTGATCACCCCAATCCGCAGCTCCAGCAAGAGCACATTGTCTATTCTGTTCTGAGAGGGACGCTCGGATTCGGCTCGATTGTTGAAGGTCTTGGAACTCACCTTTCGAGGGATATTTGTTTGGAAACAGCCGATGGAGAGAAAGCCGAATTCAACATGTTGTTTCTAACGCGTCTCGGGATCGACCTGGCGACGATTCACAAGAGGATGAAGCTCATTAAGAATCCACCTGACGGGCTGCACAGAATGAACAAACATACTGTTCTCAACGCTGCATCTCAAATGTTCGATGTCATTCAATGTAAGTCAGAGATCGTCTCCGATCGATGTTCATTCAGTCAATTCTAGTGCTGCACAACGCCCATTTCATCCACAGAGACATAAAGCTTTCTAACTTCATGATGGGCATCGGAATCGACAGGCACAACGTCCATCTAATTGACTTCGGCTTGTCAAAGCAATACAAGGACCTTTCTGGGAACCATATGGAAACGGGCAAGAGAAACTTGCACATTGGTACAACGGTTAGTACGACGGTTATTCATGATTTGCAATTAAATACAACGATCATTTTAGGCATTCCAGTCTGCGTTTGTCCTCGCTCGCCATATCCCAACCCGTCGGGACGATTTGATCTCGACCATGTATTGCATTCTCCAACTGATCCTGGGCGCTCTTCCATGGGACATCGAATGGAAAGCGAAAAAGGAGAGCCTTCTCAAAAACAGCTCCTCTCCCCGTGATAAGATCTACGATGACTTCTGCTTCAAGATGAAGCGATTGCCGGGCAAAGATCTGTTCACGCGCTTTGGGATCTACGATGACTACAAGGAGTTTTCCGAGATCTACGAGTACTTCCAGTCGCTTGCGCCAGCGGAGGATCCGAACTGGGATTTCATCGACGTATGTTTTATTCAAAAAGTTTATCAGCTCTAAACGATGGCCCTTTAGGGAAAAGTCAGCGATTGCGGAAGGCGCCACTGGGGCTGGTTCGACTGGTTTGAGTGGCTAGAAGAAGGCAATCGAACTCCCGAGAATCCAAAGCACAATTACTACGAGGATCTCATCGACGAGTTCAACAAAAACTACGGCAGAGCGTCTTAAATTTCCGAATTTTCTTTCACCGCCTTATTCAATTTTCACTCATAGATTCCACACGCCCATTAAGCTCTCATATCTCTGCCTCACTATCATTTTTAATAATAAAAAAAGACATATTTAAATTATTCGGAAGCTCTTGATCAAAAAAAAGAGAAGCCTTGTCTTGTTTTTTCTGGTTTTTTCTGGCTTGCTGATATTTCGCTTTTTGTATATTTTTCATCTTCATTTGGCTCGATTCAAAATTAGATTCCCGTGCGTATATCTAATGTTAATCGTTCGAAGATGCGGTATAAATTGCCTGGTATATTGGGCAAAATGCAATTAAGCTAAGTCAGTATCTTTAGTCGCAAAAAAAGAGTAACGGAGGCACTTTAATTTATTACTCGCAAGTTAGAGAAAAAAAATGAGCAACGACTCCATTGAAAAAGTGGGCACAGTAGGTCCAAGATTCAAGGGCTGCAATATGGGACAGCTTGATAAAGAACTGGAAGGGCAGTATGCATCTTTGTTGGAGTCGTTTGATCAGATTTGCGATGATGGTTTTCAAATTGGTGGAAAATTGAAGACAGTAGTGTAAGTAAAGAGCAATAGCGTATTGCCAATAGGTTAATTCTTGAATGCACTCTAGAATGGTTGGTAAGAAGGTTAAAAATCGATGAAATTTGATGCATAAACCAGGCATCGAAATTTTTTCTCCGATCTTATTTATCCTGCTTTCTTCCTAATCAAAGGACTTTGACAGAAGGTCAGATTGAAGTTCAGAACCTGTTTCTCCGATGGAGCATTTCATCCTCCTCCGAGCATGTGTGAAATCAACGAGCGAAGTGGGGTTGACCTTGGTTATTTGAAAATAACTGCTCATGTGCGTGTTTTGATTACTGGGTTCATGCTCTCAGTCGGTGAGTATTTGAAAATAACTTGACCCTGTCTACCCTGTTTTTAATCTAGGGATAGTACTGATCATCGTTGGGATCATTTTTCGAATAATGATAATGAAGAAGCGATCGCATCGAAATCGCAGACCTTCCATTCCTCCAACAAGAAGACGAAACTTCCAACAGGAGCCAGTGGTCATTTCAAGAGGAAAGCTCAAAAGATCGCAGAGCTTTCAATATCCGGAAGTTACCAGGAAAGGATCGCAAGCATCTTATAGTTAGGGAGGGATTCCTCCACCCATCTTGCATCCCAAAGTAGCTCTTCTATCATTTCAAGTCTTCCGAAGGAAATTTAATCATTTGTCTTTTATTTAACAGCTCGTAGTTTTGAAAACAGCCTGAAAGAAAATATGTGTTTGTTTGACAAGTTCGAATAAATTAATGAACAGCTCAGTGGTTTTACCCCCAGGCGCGCCAATTCAATTATTTACAGGTGATTCGACAGTTTATACAGCTACTATCAGGGGTTTTCAATTATTAATAATTCGAAGAATCTGCTAAATAGTTGGAAGCATTTGATTTTGTGTAAGATCCGCTGAGCTGCGCTCGTGAGGCAAGTGATTCGAAACTGAGGCGCTTTGGAAGAAGTGCTCGACTGAGTTGGAGTTTCCGACGAATTGGAGATCTGCGTAGCCCATATGACTCTGAAGAAAAGCTGTTAGTTCGGAAAATCCTTATTCTATAAAGAAGATGAAACGAGACCGCGAATTGTCGGAAATAATCGAACAAAATGCGCCACACTTTGAAAACTCCATTGAGCATAAACAGTTATCGCGAATCGTAAATATATATCGCTATGTTGTGGTTAACTGCGCAACCGCGGGTTATAAATATTGATTTTTTCGAAAAATCGGGCGATGGCGAGTTTCAAACCGGAAGTTGAAATTTAGCGGAATAGACGCCGGAAAGAAACGGTAATGAATTGTTTACCTGATTGGAGTAGTAAGATGTTGGAATTGAAGAATAGTCGTGCAGATGATTTTGTTGAGCTGAACGAAGAACTAGTTTTTGAATGAAAAATATTTACTTACAGGTAGAAGGTTCTACGTGGGACGGATGGTGGATGAACATTTCTGAGTTGTCGGCTGAAATCGTCGAGTCTGGAGACTCATTGAAGGAAAGCGAGGTTTCGTAGTTTTGAGGAGATCTTTTTGAAAGCTGAAAAACATATAAGAATTCATACTTATTCTTTTCATTCGAGGCTCGAATTTCGAGCTTATGATTAATCGTTCTTACCTCTTCTTCCTGAGGAGTCATTTCAAGCGTTGAATTTAATGTCGGGTTTCCACCACCATTCATCGGGGAAAGCGTGTTTTCCACTATGACTGTCTGGAAGATCCCGGAAGAAGGAGTTGGCGTGGCAGACGGGTAGACAGTTTCATCGTATGTTAGCGTTGGTTGTTGTTGGGAAACTTGGTGTTGTGCCTGATGCTGGTGTTGTTGAGATACTTGGTGTTGATCTTGAATGTCACTGTAGCTTTGGGAGGTTCGCAGTGCTTCTTCGGACTCCTAGGAAGAAGGATTAACGATAAAATTCAAGATGTTCAAGAATTTCGATTCGAACAGTCAATGACGATCAAGCAGCTAGGACCTAGCTGCTAGGTCAATAAAATAGGACCATCAGGCCTGAAGAAACTGTATAAAACTACCACCGTTTCCATCTATTTCGGGAGAGAAATAACTCCCCAGATGAGATCCCGGATGTTCTATCCTCGCTTTTCTCTTACCGGATCGATGAGTCCATGAATGGCGGGTGTGTAAGGATGGTAAGGCACACTCATAGGAGCCTTAATACAGAGTCTAGACTGGCGATGTCGATTCAGCGACGTATTCGATCGAAGCCGTTTTCCACAATCGGGGCACTGGTATCGGCCTGAACGCGGAAAGATGATGAAATATGTATTTTAGAGGAACAAGCTTACCAAAGGCGGAGTGCACATTTAATTTATGACGGATAAGGTCGGACTTGCAAACGAAACCCTTTCCGCATTCGGGGCATTTTTCGTCTTTTTGGCCAAGATGTCGTTTGATGTGAATTTCTAAGTAGTCCGCTCTGCAGAATGTCTAAAAAGACGCTTGATAAAGGGTTGAAGTTGGATTTCCCACCTTTTCGCAATGTGGACATTTGAGATTTCCTTCCCTATGATCCCTGTGGACCTTCAGATGTCGTCTGAGCAAGTGTTCTGTTTTGTATTCCTTTGAACATTCTGGCTCTGGGCACTTGAAAAGCTGACCTTCGTGAGTTTTCTGATGATGATACAGTCCTGAAAACAAGGTTGAATGCCTGTAAATTGGTTTTGATGGAAAAAAAAGGTCACCGATTTTGAAATAAAAAGAGGGAAAAGAATGAGCACCAAAAGTACCTGAGAACGAGCGAAACGATAGCCCGCACTCATTGCAACGGGCGACTGGAGTGTTTCCCCGGTTATAATCAGCTAAATTGGCAATTATTTATCAATTAGCGAAAATATTATTATTAAAAAATTTTTAGCTCGAAAACTGTCAATTTTGATTCTCTATTCTGGAGTCTTTCCCGTTCCTAGAAAATCTTTCAGTTCTTTGAAAATTTAGTCGATCTCGACGCTCAATTTAACGCCGTGGTCGGAAAATACGCGTGCACACAATTCTTTCCGGCTCTTACTCTTTGAGTTGCTGACTCTGACTTTGATCGTCTTTTTGACAATGACTGGTTTTCCGTCCTCATTGGAAATTGGAACTAGATAAATGTTGTTCTGTTCGACAAGTCTCTCACTCATATCTATCTTTGGTTAAAAAATAATGCTGGAAATGCCGAAGAGATGGATCTATCGATCTTTATTTTTCTAAAAATGAGCCGGAAGATGGTGCTAGTGGGCGCCGGAAAATTCCATAATTTTTTAGAAACAGAAGTTGTCTTCTAGACACTCTCTCCTGTTATTAGAATAATGCTTACCTAGTCCGTCAATGTCGTTATCCGAGTCGTGTTCTCTTTGATTGTGATTTTCGTTTATCATGCCAAAGTCTTGGTTGTTTCCGAGCTGGAGCTCGAACTCCGAGTATGGTGGATTTTCGATCGGAACCGAGTACTGATCGACCTGGATGTAATCCGAAGGGTGGGTGAAATGGTCCTGTGGAGCATCTGTGTAGTAAGCATCCTTTCAAAGCGTATCAAAAAAGGGTAGCTCAAAGTAAAAAATAGAGTTAAAATTTCAAGCGTTATATCAACTAGTCATTGACAAAGAAGAAACCGTAAAATTTTAATAAATAAGTTAAGTATAAAGGTTTTTTTTGACGAATAGACGAAAATTTAATATCTTCTCTCATAGAGATCGTAGATTCAACAATCTTCTCTAGATGCGTAAGTTTCTTTTGAAATGTCGAAGAAAAATCAATCCATTTTAGAATTTTGAAACACTTTCCTGGTTCTCGAAGGCGACTCCAAGTTTAATTTCTTGACCTCTGTGTGAGTAAATAATCTGATCTTGTTCCGTGCTCTGAGCGGTTGTATTTTGTCTTCTGGTCTCGATCATGGTTGATCACTGGCTTGGGCGCTGGTTGAGACCAGTGTACCAGATGGTAGTTTATATTATCTAACGTTTATCTGATCAAGGCGTCGAAAAAAGCCCCTTTCCTTTCTGACCTGGCTTTTTTCAGCGCTGAACCTGCGATTAGAAACGGAAAAGAAAAACGAACGCGCCCCCGCGCGGCAGCGAAAATAGCGCCGCGCGCGGATCGAAAAGGGTTGAAGGTATTGTCGTATTGATAGACTCCTGCTGCGAAGTGTGGGGGTTATCAAAGCGAATATGGGATTAAGAAAGGTGGAGTTAAGTGTTTTGTGGCTTTTAAATTGATATTATTTCATTAATTTTAAATGATTTTACTCAATCCTTTTCTTATTTGAAGACCTGGGCTAATTTTCAGATGAAAATTTCGTTCTGAAATCTGTAAGTTACAGTTTTTTCATAAGCTTATTTTTGAAAGACGAAGAAAAAATATTTTAGTGAAGAAAAAAATTTCAAAAACCTTAAGGGAGTCAGCCCGAAATCAAATTTTGAAATTTTCATTTCCACTTGACGGGGGGATCCTTAATAATCGCCAACAATTCAGGTTCAAGAAAAACTTATCGATGGAAGACTCTTTAACAACCTGAATTATCCTGTTGATTTTGTAAAAAAAATCAACCTAATTTGGTGGCCTCGCGAATCAAATGACACCTGACGCGTGTACAGACAAATTGAAATGAAAACATTCTAGCGTAAACAATTCACACGATTCCATTCTCGCATCGAACTATTGCACCTGCGCAAATATACAGAATGAGAAAAAAACGCGTTGATTTTCTGTATTGTTAACGATTCTAAATAAATTAATTCAAAAGTCGATCGAGATTTCGAGCGTTGATTTATTCTGTATCCACTTTTTTTCGCTTTTTGTTGGCCGGGTGAATTTTATTCTTTCATAAGTACTAAAGTAACTAACGAGTTTGATTAGCAATTCAAATTCGAGGCTCATCGTTTCCTAGTCGAAGTTGGGAATTATCCGGGCTCCCTGGGGAGCAAAGATGCTGACAAATTACCATTATTATCCGACTTAGAGCGAATTTGATCGTATATGAAACTTTCGAAAAAAAATTTTGAAAAAATAAATTTAATAACTTCTTTTTATCCTTGTTTTAGCCAATCTTTTATGCAGTAAGAAATTAAGCTTATATTTCTCTAGAATAAAAGGTAAAAATTCAGAAGCCGAAAAATAATAAAAATTATGAGCTTTTCGCGGCTTTACTTTTCATTTACTCGAAGCCGCGAGCGGCTTCTCGACTTCTGACTTTAACTCATGAAAAAATCTGAATATAAGTTTTTGTCCTTGATGAGGTCTAATCAATTCGATCGTTAATTAACATGTTTACTAAAAGGCGATTTCCGCCGCGCGCAAGCTCCATTGATTTCAAATTCAAATCCGCTAAAAATCGACAAGTTAGGTGAGGCTCAAGCTCAAACTCCCCTGTTTGATTTTGCTGATCAAAGTGCTCCATGAAAATTCGAAGGTCCAAAAAGGTGACGGCGCTTGAATCGGATTCCGCCTTTGTTTGAGCCACTAATTTGCATGGCGATAATAATAATAAAGTGAAGAAAGAGGGAGACTAGAAACGAAGAAGTCTGGTGGAGTCGACTTTGTGTGTTTGGCTAGGGCCAGGGCTTCAATAAACAAAGATGCGGTTGAAGAAAGGGATCGTTGTTGGAGGGCGGATGATGATGAGGTTTCATGATCTGGGGCGAGAGAAAAATTCTTTCTTTTGAATTATGAAAGAAATTTTTTTTTGTTAAATATCTCAACAAAATATTGAAAATGCAGAAATACGAAATGAAAAGAGGATAATTATGGTAATTTGTCATCCTTTTCGAGCAGCGGGGTGCCCGAATTTTGACACGATTTACCACAAAGGATCATCCTGTATTTTGAACGATTTTGAACGATTATTTTTTTCTTAATAATTCACAAATGGAAATTAACAATTTCTTTATTGATAATATGATTCACTGTGTTATTTATTCTGCCTCAAATTTAATCAAATGGCACAGAATGTAGAACATGAATTGATCATTTATCGTCAAGTTGAGCAAGCTCGAAGCAAGAAATACTTTGGATAAAAATCTCTCGCGTTCCTGTGGCACCTGTCAAACATTGGCGACCCTGGCCCGTGCGGACGCGCGCTCGGGCTGCTTCTGTTTGTAAATTCGCGAAACCAAAGTTTTGATAAAGGCGATTGTTTACATCGCGATATCGAACGTCCATCGCCATTTTTGTAGAATCTCGGTGCTAAATTCTAGCGCTTTCGGGAGAAGAGAGGTCAAAGTTTTGTTTGACTTCCGGTCGAATCAACTTTTGGGCATCAGTTACAGTTTGAAACATGGTACAGTTTTGACAGAGTTTTCTTTGAAAAATATTTATCGATGTTGATTTTATTCCTGCTGTCTTAAGCATTCTCAAACCTGTCGCACAGAAAGGGTGGTATCTGACACTATCAGTGCGATTGTTAAGTATAATACAAACGGTATTGGTGAAAATATCTCACTCTCCAGAAAAATGAGTTCCGAAGTTGAGCAAAATTTTGTTCCTGTGAAATGGAACAAAAAGAGAGTTATTGGACTGTCTCTTTCTGGATTCGGTGAGATTAAGTTCTTCAATATTTCTAGTAAACCTAGAAGTGATCGTTTGCTGCCTTGTCGTTTCTGTGACGGTGCCTGTGGTAACAAATAATTCCAAAACTACTTCGTCTTCTACCACGTCACCTTCCTCGTCACAAACTTCCTTCACATCTTTAACATCTGTGCTACCATCCTCAACACAAACTTCAATGACTAATGGTCAAATCACAACCAAATCAGGAGTAACAACACTTACGTCTACTTCGCTGACAACAACAACGACAAAACAACCATCAGGAGAAATGACCACGTCAACAGGAAAAGAAACTTCAACAACAACAACAGCACCAACGACGAAATCATTATTAACAACAATAAGCGCACCTGCGACAACAAAAACTGACATAACAACTGAACCAATTTTTTATCCACGCCAAAAAGTTGGCACAATTTGTAGAGATGACAGTGGAACTTGTAATAATGTAAGTTTTGATTTTTCAATTTGTACACGTGAAAAAATTTTAAGCGATTTATGATGATCGTTAATGTGATTGACTCAGTTTTGTACCTGAAAGTATGGGTTTATCATTTCAGGAAATTATAGCCTGTTATTTTTCGTAAACTCGGGAAAAGTTGGCGATGTCGATAGTGAACAAGAAATACAGGACTTCGTCATGATTGAGATCGAAAAGGGGATCTTTCATCTGGCCTCGGATAGCTTTGGCGAGCGTTTATTTGCGACAAGATTAGATAGTGATTTGGTCGGAATGAAACAAGAACCTCATGAGGATGACTATTTTTTTGATGACTACAAATGGAAGATTTCAATGAATGAAGGTGCATTTATAATTGTGCATTCTGCCAATGATGTTGGACTTTATGATGATAATCAGGACTTCATTGATTATATTCTTCTTGCTGAACACCCCAGTCAATGGATATTCAAAAGCAAAACTGAATGGATCCCTTTATAATAAAACGTTTTGAACGTCTGTTTAAATATAACAAGGAAGTTTTTCTTATATATAAGTCGTGTTAGATTTATTATTATTGAAATAAGATAAATAGATTTATAATTTTGAGATCATTTTATTGTCAGTCAAAAATCATCTTTTTGATCGGGCAAGTGTTCAGCTATGTACAAGTATAAACAGTTCTTCGTATGAATAATTCTAAAGTTGCTGACTTTGAAGGCGACCCTTGAGAATTCCCAGTAGTTTCTCCATTCTAGCGACGAGTATTTCTGTACTGATGTTTTCATTTGTCAAGCTTCTTGTCTAAAAAACCATTAATTATAAATCTCCTCCATGATTTCATAACGATCCCTTATTTCTAATAAGTTATTAGGTATTATGAGAAAACAAGAAAGTTTCTTTTTGCTAAAAGCCCTGAGAAAATCAAAAGCTGCTCGAGAAAACACTATCTCGGTCAAAGCTACGAGTACTTTTCTCTCGTCCGGAGCGGCTGGGTTCCCTTAATTACCCCCCTGAAAGTGCCGAACATGTCCGTGACGTAATACTTAGACATTCAATATCCCCCTTATTGATAACCCAAAACAGCTTTCTCGCAATCAAAAAGTTCAAAAAACAAACTGAAAGAAACCAACCTCCTTGACTGAACCACTAGGGACGGCTCTGAGGCGAATTCTGAAGCCCCGTTTGACAGCGACAGTGCCAGATTTGAAGTCGATACTCATTCTTTGATTCGAAGATGTGTAGCTGTGATATTGAAGGGCATTCTCAGCGATTCTTCCGCAGATTTTTGCGAGTTCTTTTTCATCCGAATCTTCAAAGATTATGAGGATGCACTTTTCAACCGATTTTTTACCGTTGATGATAAGGTGAGATTTTGTGCACTCGTTCATGCTACTTCCTCCAATCCAGAAATCAACAACTTCGGCGAGAACCACATGACCCAGCGGAGCTTCGATGACCCAATCACACGCAGCGTTAGAATTGTACTTTGCTGGCCAGTTCATTGATCTGAAATAAGATTGGAAACTCGAGTCTCGGACAAATTAGGGGAGTCAAACGTGATGTGATGAACTTGATCGGGAAGAAGTTCCACAAATTTTTTGTCCCCACAGCGGCTTGGAATGTAGGGGATCGATTCGAAGCGCAGTTTGAAGCCTTGTTTTGAGTTTGACGATGATTTCGAAGAGTGCATGATGACAGAAGCTGATTTTCTCGCATAAACCTAAAATGATTACTTTTAAAATTTTGGAAACTGCTGATATGAAAACAGACTGAATCGACCTCTAGAAAACCTCGAAAAGGATCAACTAAAAGAATGGACCGGAAACAAACCTTGACAGGGGCTTTTCCGGAGGCTTTGCAAATGTTTGCCCTTATGACACGTTCATTTTCATCAAGCACAACCACGTAGTCGCTAGAAACAATATTCATTTTCAAAACTTGCCAAAACTCTTTCCCAACCTCGGGAGGGACACGCCATTGCCGAATCCTTTATCCTTGCAGTTTCCCATGCTGGCTCGTTTGAAGGTGATTTCGACGAATTGATTTTCAGAAGCGGGCTCGATGTTCCATCGACAAGTGACTCCGTTTGGATATTCAGCGCCAATTTTCGCGATTGAGAGTTGACCTTCAAAATTTCAAATTAATGAAATAAAGTCGAATTTTCTCGATGAAAAAAGGCCCGACCGAGATTTGAACTCGGGATCTCCTGATTACTAGTCAGGCGCTTTAACCAACTAAGCCATCGGGCCTGCCCCCCACAGTTTCTAGTGTTTGCTTCATCGTAAGCTTTTTCCTTACCCAAGAGTTTGTCGCTTCTTCCGCCGCAAGATTCAAAATCCTGAAGATCAAGTTCAACCTGTTTCTGGACATTCAAGGAGGTGATGAATTCTGTCGGTTTAGCAGCAACAGGCGCCGACATTGTCGTTGAAGTCTTTGCCAGCTGGGTTTGAGAAATTTTCGTGGGCGAAGGTTCAATTGGTTTTTCCTGATTATTGCTGGATTGGGAACAAGTAAGGCCCCAATCAGAGCCGAAAATGGAAGCTTCGACTCTAGAAACTTTTGTTATCCAATCAATGAGAGCTTTTCGCGGCTTATTTTCACTGTAAGTTTTCCTGTGAAAATCGACGCCAGCTGCCAAGTACAAGGCCGACAAGATCAAAAGATCATCAAAAGCAAGCCGATCCTGTAACTCGAGCATAAACACCCGGATGAAGTGGATCGCCACACCCGATTCCCCAAGAAGTGATTCCATACAGCATCCAAGGCCCATTCTCCTCAACTTGGCAAGCCAAAGGCCCCCCAGAATCGCCCAAACAAGCATCGCGGCCTCCTTCCTTGTAGCCCGCACAAACCATTTGCGCAGAGAGCTGATCGTGGTAATCCGAGTGCATGTTCCAGCACGTGTTGTTCTCGATGAGCAAAAAACATGGATACAGACAATTTCTGACATTCAAACTTGTGCAACCAAAAAACTTTTGAACCAAAATTTGGTGCTGTAAAAATTTCTGATAAGACTGAAAATTAAAGTGCTTCATACACGTTCTTAATTTTGAGTGCTAAAAAAGCAAATTTTCTCAACGTCAAATCCTTTTTTAGTCGGATAAGCTCAAGATCAAAATTTTAACGAAAAAACGAGACTTCCGAAAACACCAAAATTAAATAAAATGAGACTCTTTTTCAAAAATTTTTTTGAGCCAACTTTTGAAAATGAAGTTAAAAATGTTATCTGTATCCATTCCTTGAGTCCAACCTCATTAAGCGCGTTTGGTGGGGGCGAGATTCCTGTTTTATCAGTAACTCCCCAGCCGGTGGCGGCGCATTTCGTCCCCTCTGGTAGACAAGCTTGTGCATCTGGCAGGCAGATTGGTTGTATTCTATCAGAAAACCTCAGCGGCTCACTCAGCTCAATTAAAGCGATGTCGTTGTTGTCCATGATTGGCACGCCGTAATCTTCGTGCGCTAGAATTACATCGTGAATGAGAGTTGATAAATGTCATGTAAAACGAGCTTATATGGCTAGAAGACACGCTCAGGCGCAAACATTGAATGTATTAGATAAGTTTGACAAAAGAACTTGGAACACAGTCAAATCATTACATTATGTTAATTTGAGATCAAGAAATGTCAATATTCAAAATTAAGAAAACTCGAAATCTCAGATCGAGAAGCCGCTTGCGGCTTCGAGCATGTTATAAAAAAGCCGCGCTTTGCGCGGCTTAAATATATATGTCGGCTCAAAGCCGCATGCGGCTTCTCGATCTGATATATTTAGTCTTCTTGGCTAAAAAAAGATCAATTATTTTAGGGAGATGTCTGGAACAGACAAAAAAAATTTCGACAAAATTTGCGTGGAAATTTTCAACCAATCAGAAACCTTGATTCGGTAGCCCGGCCAATCAGTAGCCGAGTAGCCGCCCACGCAAGATTTGTCGAAATTTTTTTGTCGGTTCCAGACACCATCCCATTATTTTGGTCCTTTTTGGATGCTCATGAGTCCAATTCGTTTTTTTTTTCTTTTTTTCTTTCCGAAATTAACCTTGAGCTCTTGAGCCCTCGAATAAAAATTCCGCCAAGTTGATTCTGTCCCAAGTGTTGGCTCTTGGGCGCAAAATCAGCTTAGAAAAACACTTTCGTCAGAATGAAAATCACCCCCTTCTGGCTTCTTCTCTAAAAAGGCGAAATCCGGCGGATTATCCTTGAGATTGAGAAAAAATTTGACAGCGCGGAAAATTGCTGTTTTGCTCCCAAGTAGTGAGCTCACTCAAAATAATCGGATAATCGGGCCAGCTTATAGACCTTTTAGCGAGGCACATGTCACAATCATTTGGTAATAACCCAGAAACAAAATCGTTCAAAGAAATAAAGTTCAATCTTTATCGCTTTTTTACTTACTGATAACACGCTTGACTCTGTAGCGCCTGCTTCCAGTTGATGTTCTAACTTCATGAACTCCAGGGAGGACGTAGGAACGTGACGGAATGACTCTAGAATAGACGAGTTAGAGCTCCGTTCAAGTCGGCAATAAGTGGGATTTACCGATAAGGAACACAATGAGCGGCTGTGATGATCCACTTTGAGTCTTCACGCGGGCTGATGGATTAACGATGGCAAAGTTCAAAATTATTAACAAAAATATTTCGCGGAAAAATTAAATATTCCTAGAAAATTATTGTTAAAAAAGAAAGCCCGTTCCTATTATTGAACCGCCACAATCATAGGACTGAGTTTTGCCACTCAATTTTATGAAGACCTTTAAAGAGGTTACCAATTTAAGGGACCCTTTTAACGGCTTAGGGTTAAGTTAAGGGTTAAGTTAGGGCTTATTTTTTCTTACAATTATTATTAAAATAATTAATTATTATATTTTTTTCAATTTATTTTTTGTCATAATTTTCCGAGAAAAACTCTTTCTTATTTTTATCATTCTTCAATAAAAATAAGCTTTGATAACCTTAACCTGCCAGGGCCACGATCCAGGCACGGCTTCATGACCGCCAACCAACCGCTGCGAGTCCTTACTTGTAAGTGATTCTTCCGCTTTCTTGGCCTTGTTGAACCATTTTCGATCAAGTGACCCGTAAGATCGCTGACCGCTTGTTTCTGCTGAGGATTCTTCATTTGTAATTGGTGAGAACGATCGTCGTTTTCTAAAATATGAAAAATTCTAAGGCCTTTTTATCTTCTAAATTTTATTTTATCCACTTCAAAGAAGAAAATTCCAAGGTCATTTTTTCAAGAATTTAATAAGAAGGCTTTTAGGTGGTTTTAGTTCAAGAGCTCAAGCGTGGTTAATTTCAGGTTTCATTAATTCGTTTGAGCTTGACTTGAGCGCTAGAATTTCCGTTTTTTCAATATTTTTAAAATTAGCCACGTTTCCTTCCGTAAATTCCAGCCGCTAAAAATTCAGCGAAAATTCCGAAATGTCAATATCCACCTTTTTCTGTGTTTTCCGCCTGTCAGATAAATTGCGACTTGAAAGATAAAAATTGCAACATTTGAAATTCAAGATTGATAAAACTTCAAATTTGTAAACTAGGAATTGAAAGTCGACTCGTCATGTCCGCCTGATTTATGATTGCGAATGTCAAATTATGCGCAACTTCGTAACAAACTATCTAATGGTCCATTAGTAATGGATGTAAAAAAGATCAGATACAATAGTTCAGCCTTTAGTATCATAACCGTATAATTGGCCATACTTTTGTAATTGTTTTGTTTTCATCAAAATTGTTCTTTTGTTCTTAAAACGAACTGTTTAAAAACAAAGGGAATACATCCATTGTCAATTGTGCATGTTTTCTTCATTTGATCAAGGTCAATGTATTTACTTTTTGTAAATAATTTCTTTTTCACTTCCTTTTTCATTCTGTCTTTTCATTTTCCTAGGCAAATAATTCTAGTATATAAGAAAAGAAGCAGGCTTTGTTCAAGTTAGTTAATTGAAAAATAATGCTTTGCTACTATTGCAATTTTTCGTCCACCTCAAGGCATGAGTCGAGATGCTTGAACTGTACATCTGCGTTTCTTAATGCTCCTTTTGAGATACTTCAAAGCTTGTTGGACAACAATGTTGATGCGATCGATATTGATTCGATCCACAACGTGTCCAACATCATTGAAGACGATCACGATTCGGTGCAGGAAGGAATAACTACTTCTAACGGAGAAGTTGATGAACACTTTTCCGGTGGAGAGAATTCTTCCCAATCACGGAATGTCTCCCGGAAAATCTTCGGATTAAACGATCTCGTCTGGACCCACCGCTCAACTGTCGAAAACACTGTCTTTCGACGTGGACAGGCTCTCATGTCCGCCGAGGTCGAGGGACTCGTCATCGAGATCCGCTGTGCGACCGATGCACATCTTTCCTACATCCGACCAGTTCCCGGGACGCAGAAATTCGCGATCGCCATCAAGAAAAACTCACCCTGAGAACTCACAATTGATTGAATCTCCACATTCAAATTCGTTGAATAAGTTCTTGAGCCAAAAATACTTTTTAAAAATTTATTTCTTTATGTTTTGATTGTCTTCTTGTAAGAAACTTTGAAAATATGAAAGGTGAAGGGCATGCCGCATGCCTGATTCGGAAGTGAATGGGAATTACCTGCTTGGCAGCTCGAAGAAAAGGTTCCATTGGTGGTGAACTCGGGGTCGACCGCATCTGGGACTCGCCGATTGGAATTCCTTAATTATTCAAATTTAAATCTTCCCCAATTATTTGCATTTTTTCGAGCGTCTTTTAGCCTTGAATTTGACTATTCATCGATTTCAAAATTCATTTACCGCCTTAGTACAAACGTCTAGATAAATTCATATTTTTGGCTCGAAATTTTTGATAAAAATTTTTCATTTTGTTTATTTTGATTATTATAAAATTATTTTTTGAATAAAATACCTCGTTTTTCTGACTAGACTTTTATAACAGCCAAAAATTTACCTGGCTTGTTGGGCCACTTCTTATTGAAGCCATCCAATCTTGCCCAAAAACCGCATTTTCGGCAAAATATGACAGGAAAAGGCTTATTTTCATCGTCTTCTTAAAATTCTTTCCGGATTCTTTTCTCTTAGATTTATTTCGAAAACGATCAACCAAAAGAGATACTTTTAATTTCAAAGTGTATCTGTAAAATTCCGCGGCACCGCGAATCGTTCATGCGCGAGCGCTCGCGCGCGCCCTCGGAGAAGTCGCGAAAATAGACGATTTTTTTTCTTTTTTGAAGCTTTTATCTGGGGTTTTCTTGGCGAAAGTTTTACTTTGTTTATTATTTTTTCTGGCTAAAAATCATGAAAATAAATTTTAGACCGAAAAATCTTGAGTCTAAAAAAAGAACAATCACAAGTGTCAAAACGTGTTTCAAATAGCGAAATCATTGGGAAACACGGAAATGAGCGTAAACATGCTTGTTTTTCTCTCGCTTGCGATTTGGAGATTTCACATTTTACGAAATTTAAGGCTACCACGTTGCCTGGTACTTTGAGCTCCTTATCTAGGAAGAATGTAGGCCAAGATTAGCCAGTATCTAACCCTGAGCATGCCCTGTTCTATCATCATCATACCAGGCCGTTTAAACACGAATACTTCTTGATGAATAAATCGTCATTGAGCAAAGTGTCTGACTCAAAATTTCGAGAATCTGTAAGCTCCGATTAATCTGACTCCAAGGCTGTTGCAAATTCTTGAATCTGTTCCGCGGGAAATCGGCAGGAAGGATTATCCCGTTCATTGGTTAGCAATTCCTCTCCTTATCTCCTCTCTTATGCAACATGAGAGCACAATTTTCTAGCTTGGGCAAGATTCGGGCTATTCTTCTTGAAGAGCAAACTTCTTTGGTCCTCCGAAAATGGAGCGTTTCTAAATTTAGAATCGAAACTCGACTTTTTCGTGACGCAAATTTTTTCGAGATAGTCGGAGCTTTGCGAAAGCCATAAATCTATAAATGCTAAATTTTTATTTCAAGTTTTTAAGCGTTTTTGATTACGCTTATTAACATAAAAACACTTCAATTTTTGCCGCCTCGACTTCATACAAGGCAAATTTCAAAAGAAAAAAAAATAAAGGCCAGATCAATAGAACGATAGAGAGAAGGAATTTAGGTTTCAATGCCGAAGTAAGAAAAAAAATGCTGAGATCAACGTGTCCGTTAGCAGTTTGATTTGGTCAGATGGAATTTCGATTTGTTAAAAGAAGAAGAAGAAGCTGGTCTGCGAAGTGGTCCTGAGAGCCGAACAGCTCGAGGTATTCAGCTGCGGTTGATGCATGGCGACCCTTGTGCCGTCTCTGAGCTGATTGCTTGTGGTCGCCAAGAACCGTTTCTTTCCAGAAATAAGACTGCCATCTTGTTTTATTGAGGATAATTTACAGATTAAAAGAAAGTGCCAACTCTTTCTTCGACAAACTTTGCGCATTCGTCGCGGAATTCCAAGACAATAGAATTTCCACAAAGAGCAGCTGTTGAAGGACAGTTGACAACTCCAATGTTCGTATGCATCGGCCCTCTAGGAGAAATAAATTACAGAGAAAAAAAGAGATAAAACGAACAAAAACTCAAAAAATATCGACAAAACTTGATTCAATCTGCAAAGAATCGTATCCGTTTTCAGATCACTTCCAAGGATGTAATTGTTCAGCGAATCTTCGAATTGATGAAATACTTTGGTTTCTGAGATCAGAGTTGCAAATTTTGATTAATTTTTTTGAGCTGAGCTGAGCTGACCTGAGTAAAGATTTCTCTGTGCTGAGCTGAGCTGAGCTGTTTTTTACTGTTTTTTTGGTAGTAAAATTGTATTCAAATCATTGAGCCGAGCTGAGCTAAGTGATAATTTTCTGAGCTGAGCTAAGTGATAATTGTCTGAGCAGAGCTGAGCAGAACAGATCATGTTCGAAAATTATTGAGCTGAACTGAGCTGAACTGAGTGAAAATTGTCTGAGGTGAGCAGATCAGATCATTTTCCAAAATCACTGAGCTTAGCTGAGCTGAGCAGCTCAGCTCACTCAGCTCAGCAAATTTGCAACTCTGTCTGAGATCATGAATGTCAGATTCGCGAGGGGGTATTGATCCGAATCATAGGTAATAACTGATTTCGTCTCAGCTGGAACTCCCACAATTCCTTGGTTGACGAGCGGGACTTCTCCATTTTGATATGTCTGGCCCCAGTTCGAATTCAAGCTTAAAATTTAGCAAAAGATCATTGTTAAATAAAGAGCTTACCATTCTTTTCCTGGTACAGTTGTTATCTCTGCACTTGAAAATTTGGCTTCGAAAAAGCTCGCTATTTCGGGATCATATTTTTCGAATCCATATTGAACGCCGTATCCCAAAAAGTAGAAGGTATCGTAAAATAACATCTGGGCATCTTACTCTTAAAACTATCCGAATCATTAATGCTGACCTTGTTGATGGACTCGTAGAAATATTTCTCAGTACAGTCAGGGTAGCAGACATTCTCGATATTCGCCGTAAAATTGACTCGCTCAAATGTTCCATTTTGAAAAAAGCATCCCGTGTCTTTGGTTTGGAACATCTGAACGGGTTTTTCTGAAAAGTGGTCGTTGTTGGTCTCGTTTCTTTGCTGATTGCGGGGGTAATTGATGATGACGACGATGGGCGCTCTGTGAAAAAAAGTTCAAAATTTTGAAAGAAAAGCTCGGAATTCCGAAGCTACTTTTATTTGAGAACTTTTGATAACAACGGCGTAAAAAGTCAAACACCAAAAAATCAGAATCTTCTCTTCTTTTCGCATTTTATTTTAAATAACTAAAAAAATAATACGAATTTTGCCGATTTTTATGATCTTTTCTCTATTTTAGGAGCGAGATAGAACATAAATTTTTATTTCTGGCGCTGAAAAGAAATTATTTTAGATATGATCATGCTTTTATTTCTATTTTGAGATAATCAAAAATAGCCAACAACTCTTTTTGAATAGTAAATCGTCAGACAATTAGTTTACAAATACAAAGACAATTTTAAAATATAAACCGTTTTGATCATGACGTCTTTTTTCTTTTTTAGGAAAGAGATCATATGCATTGTTGTAACCGTTACAATGTAACGTTTCTTTTCAGAAATAAGTTTATTTAGTAGTATCAAGAGAAAGTGCCAAAGTTTTCATCAACGAATTTCAAGCATTCTTCGCGAAACTTGAAGACGATTGAGCTTCCGCAAAGAGCACTTCGTGATGGGCAGTAAATAACGCCGATGTCTGAACGTCCAGGTCCTCTGAAACATACTTTAAAAACAGTCCAACGGGCATTAAACGAACAAATATTCGAAAAAAGTCGTCATAATTTCATTCAATCGACATAGAATCGTGTCCACTTTCATTTCACTTCCAAGGCTATAATTTTTCAGAGACGCTTCAAATTGATGAAAGGCCTGGCTTTCTGAGACGGTAAGAGTCAAATTAGCGAGGGGAAATTCATCCGAAGAGTAGCTTATCACGTGGTTTGTCACCTCTGGAATTCCTTCTTCTCCTTCTTTTATGTGTGGGACTTTTCCGTTCAGGAAAGTTTGCCCCCAATTCGAATTCAAACTAAAGAAAGAGGACTTTTAGATGATCTAATATCAAAAAACTACCATTTTTTCCCAGGCACGTTTGTTTTCTCCGCGGTTTGAAATTGGACATCGAAGAAGGTTGCAATTTCTTTGTCATATTTCATAAATCCGTTTTGAATTCCGTGTCCGAAAAATTGAAATGTATCGTAAAACAACATCTAAAGAAAGCTTTCTTCGTACAAATAAGATTTGAAAATGGACCTGGTTGATAGACTCGTAGAAATAAGACTCAGTACAGTCAGGGTAACAGACATTTTCGAGATCCGCTGTAAAACTGACTCGCTCAAATGTTCCATTTTGAAAGAAGCATCCCGTGTCTTTGGTGATGAACATTCTGACCAGATTTGCAAATTTTGATTAATTTTTCTGAGCTGAGCTGGACATTTTCAGAGGTCATTGAGCGGAGCTGAGCTGAGCTAAGTGATAATTGTCTGAGCTAAGCTGAGCAGATCAGATCATTTTCCAAAATCACTGAGCTGAGCTGAGCTGAGCGACTGCTCAGCTCACTCAGCCAGCTCAGCTCAGCAAATTTGCAATTCTGATTCTGACTGGCTCTTCTGGAGATCCATCGTCCGCTATTTCGCTCGTTGGGGTCGAGAGCAAATGCGAAGGAACCTGGTTACAATTTATGATGATAACTATTGGCGTTCTTTCACAAAGTTCTGGCAAATTGGAAAAGCTAATAATTATTTTTTCCCTTTTTAAAAATAAGTTTTTAAATTAATTAATTTTAGAACTTTTCATGATAACCCCGTAAAAAATCAGGCACAAAATCGCCAACCTCTTCTCTTCATTCTTAATTTTCATTTTTGACAAAGAATGTAGAAAAATAAGGACGATCGAGCGGATGTGATGAAGATCAGTCAACGCTCGAATAGACGGAGTAATTGTGAAGGAGGACGTTATAGAGAGAAAATCTTGATAATTTTTTCTCTCAAGAAAAGTGTTCTCAGAATATTTCATCTCTTGTACTCTTCGTTAAAACGGTGAGTTGCTAATTTATCTTTGCTGAATTGAGAATTATCCACCTGGTACGATTATTTCTATTTTATAATGTTTTCCAGCTTAAAAAACAAAGCTTGATTGACGATTTCGAAAATATAACAAATTCAGAAAGAAACCATAACTTATGACGGTATTTATTTTATTCAATTTTTGAAGAATAACTAATTTTGCAGCATCATCATTAGCCCAGCAAAAAAAAGAGTCCGCAAGGCTGCGACTCCATTGCCAATGGCAGAACTTGGAGCAGAAAAGAGCTCTGCAAGTCGAGCTTTGACAGCATCCAGACCTCCTCGAACGTCGATTTCGTGTTGGAGAATTTCGTTATCAGTTGTTTCCAAAGTCTCGAGAAACTCATCTGCTCCTCCAACGACGTCTAAAGCTTGCTTGATCAAGGGTTTATTTAGATCCGCTTTTGAATAAAACATTACTTTCGCTAACCCTCTCCTGAGCCGTATCTGGGTGCGCTCCTTTCTCCATCACCCTTTGAAGGACTCCTACAATCACAGAATTGTCCTCTGCTTCAGCCAAGTTTGCTGAACCAAGAGCAAAAACGGCCAAAAACTTAAAAAGCTTCATTTTCTCTCAATCGTGCAGATCTGACGCTCTGATTCCTAGCTCCTGATTATCATCAAATACGATACATTTTATAGCAAGCCGTCCAAGGGAATAATAATAAAAATACTCGGATTTTGCAAAATCGGCGAAAATATTTATTTATCACGCCGATAAAATGATTGATGTTAGGTTTCAAACCAGAGTCACATTTAACCTTTGACGCTCGGTTTAATGAAGGGTACTCTTTGCCATTTCTTCTTATTAGGAAATTGGATAGGGTTTCTCAGGAAAATCAGAAAGAAATTCATGATAAGCAGTTTTTATAAATAATTTATTGGCTTATTTTTAGGGTGGGCAAAAAACGGAGGCCAAAAATTGGCCTGCTTTTTGAGTAAGAAATCAGAAATGGTACTTTTTTGCCAACCCTATATTATATAGGCTATATATCTATGTACAGATGACGTGAAAGGTCGAAGCTCTAGAATTCTGCAAAGGACTCATCTTTCTTCATTGACCCACTTGAGCTCAGGGAGCTATCATCACCATCACCTTCATATGCTTTGTTAACCATTTCGTTTTCATTTGATGGAAGTCCGCAGTGCTAGAATTATTAACAATAAACTCTTTGTTGTAATATTTGCTTACCTCCAGCATTTTGAGCTGTTTCTCCTTGATATTCTCCAACTCGAATCTGAAATCCGGATGCAGCGTTTTCGAAAAGCTTAGAGCCTCGCAAATTGACTCAGCAGCGGTTGAATCAATTGCTGGAACTCGCGCGAAATCGAGGATGACAGTTTTCTCTCCATTCGAGAATTTTGCGGCGATGGCGTTTATTGTCGTGAAAAGAGTGTCGGAAGATGGGAAAAGGAGTTTTCCCTCGAATTCGATGATGTTTTCGTTTTCTTGTTTTTGTTCAAAATGATTTTTTTGATACGAAAAAATGCGATTTTTAATTAAGAGTATTTATGAACAATTTCCTTCTTCATCGCTCTCTTCAATCTCAACCTTTCCTCCGAGCATGGGGGTCACGTGCCCCGAGAGCACCATGCAAAGATGAACGATCGTTCCCAAAATGATTCCAACAGAACTTGAGTGGAGGCAGACGATGAAAGTGACGACGAATGGAGCCATGTCCGTCCTTTTTGTTCCCCACAAATGCTAAAAAACGATGCTCAGCGGCATTAAAAAAGGAAGAAAATACCTTGATATCAGCCCACGAGAACAGATTCGCTGCAGAAACGATGATAACAGCTCCTAAAGCCGCGGAAGGGACATAAACAAACAAGTCGGACAAAAATGCAGTTGCTACGACCACAATGATCGCCGCTTGAATTAAGACATTTGATGAAAGAAAAAGAAGAAGGTTTACCGAACCAGCCGGAAATCTGAGTAGCGACGTTTGCAGAATAATTGACCGAAGATCGAGACATTCCAGCAGAAACGGGGAATGATTGGAAGAATGAATTGCCGATGTTGCTGATTCCCAGGGCGATGAACTCTTGAGTCGGGTCGATTGTGTACCTGAAAGCATCTATTTCTGATCTATTTATATCTTTTGTTACTTTTCTTTCTTAGCAAATGCTTTTCCGAGTGAAATCACTTCTAGATAATTGACGATTGGGACGACTATGAAACCGGTTCCGATCGCGGAGAAAATTGCCGATGTTGTCACTTCGTACTCGAAAGTCGATCCGTTGATTTCCGTGTAGTTATAGAAAAAGCCACCGAAAGAGGGAACCGCAGGGAAAGGGAGGGAAACGTCTTGGATCATCGTCATTGTGAACATGGTGCAAGTGTCGTTCGGATCTGAATCGAATAAGGGTCTGGAGAATTTTAGAGTCGATAAAATATCCGCTTTTTGAGCCAGTTAAAGACCCTAAAAAGCGAGAAAACTTACTTTTAGGGAATTGAGGGATGCATTCTTTCTCCAAAAATCTATCCACTTCTTCCGGCGTCGTCCAGATCGCCGTCACCCCCATCATCAAAATCGTAATAATCGCAGCTTTTGCCGTAGCTGTGAACCACAAGACCTTGTCCGTTATTCTTCCACAAAGGCTACTCATCAGTTTCGGATGCCCACCATATCTTGCTTTGAGTTCTTTCAACAAAACGAGAACGAAGATGGAAGAGGAGCCGATCGCAAAGTCGTACCAATTTGTATGGCCGGTAAAAACCAGCTCGCAAAGTCGGTAAATCTTCATCACGAAAAAGTCTTCCTTGACTTTTACCCCGAAAATCTTCGGCAGCTGATTGAGGGGAATCGTAAAAGCGGCGGAATTGATGAAGCCGGCCAAGACAGGACCACTGATGAAATTGACGATCGAGCCAAGATCGAGAAGACCAACGACGAAGAGAATGGAGCCAGACATGAAGGCAAGCACGTGAGCAAGCTCTGGAACACCGTCGGTAGCGTCTGGTCCAGGAACAGGCCAGTCATCGGGTCGTTTGAGAAACTGGGCGATTAGGGCAGCGGAAATGGCAGTGGGGCCTTTTTACGAATGAAAAATGATCTTTCCCCTGTTTTTTAACGAAGGATCTCTAGAAAATTCTGTTTGTATAATTATGAGCATTAATAATTGTTTGCACCCGTGCCGATAGCAGTGTGGAATGAAGTTCCCAGCAAAGTGTAAACAGAAACGGCGAAGAATGAAGAGTACAAACCAAAGTAAGCCGGCAATCCAGCCAGTTCAGAATACGCAAGAGCTAAAAATGATAACTTTTCTTCTCTAGAATTTTTTTTCAAAACAATAATTGATGTAAAAAAGGGCTTTTTATAGATTTTTATTGTCTAATTAACTTTTGAATTCTACTTTGAATCTCTGATTAAATCGGTGAAAGAGTCCTTAATTGATTACCTTGTGGAATAAGCATCAACCCAATCGTAAATCCCGCAATAACATCTCTTATAAAAAACTCTGGAAACTTGTAATCGAGCAACCATTTCGTGATCGGAAAAATTCTGTTGTAGTGAAATTTCCTCGCCAATTTCTTTTTCACTGACTCTTTCGCCATTCTTTTTCTCTGTTTTTCTCAGTTCAAATCACGGGCAAAAATCGATCTGTTTTTTTTTTCTTGTGAAATTGCGGTCAAGAAATCGCGTTTTGGATTGATCTTCTATTTGGAGATTTTGGCAAAGAGGGATTCTTATATAAGGTCAGTGTTGAATTTACGACGTTCCAGATCGAAATTCTGTATCTGTCAGAAAGCACTCCCCCGCGCCCTCTGCTACGCTCTCACAAGCTCTGTATGTTCTTCTGAGATACTTAAGTTTCAGAATGATAAAAAAAGAAAACAAGTGCGAACTGAAAAAATGAACAAACGCAAAACTGATCCGCGCAAATAAACTGTTTGTTTTGGCGCAATTAACTTGTCTAAAATCTTTCTTTTTCTTGTAAAATCATCATTCCTTCGGTAGACATACGAGTCTCCACCAGGGCTGGCAAATTAGGGTCCTAACAGCCGCACTACCGAAAAATTGTTAGGGTTCTAACTCAAAATTAGTGCGAATTAGTGCGGCATCCCCGTCCTACCCGTCCTATTTTTTTTCCTTGATATTTTTTCGTCTATTAGGACTGAATCGTCGCCCTAACCGTACTAATTTGGAGGCTCTTTTTCATCATCCAATCGGCGCGCGCTTCCCACGAGGCGCGGAGGACAAATTGGTGGAAGATTGAAAAAAGAATGGAGCTGAATGGATGAGAAAAACGAATGACCCGCCATGATTGGCGGACCAATAAGCGCGCGCCTCTTTTAGGACGATTTTAGTGCGGCTTTTTCCAACTCGTACTACTCGCACTAAAAAGTTATAAAATGAGAGTTAGGGTTCTAACAATAGGGTTCTAACTCAAATTAGTGCGGCTGGCGGGACCCTAATTTGCCAGCCCTGGTCTCCACCCTTAAATTTATCAAAAAGGCTCTATTCGGCAGAAAATGCGAGAAAAATTACAAATTTCTGGACATTTTTCAAGCCTGACGAACGCAAAATTTCGAATTTGACCAAAATTTTGGTCGTTATTTTATCAATTTTAAAAAATTGACGATTCTCAAAAGTTTGAACCTTAGTTTTATTTAAAGAACTTCGCCGAAAAACATTCAAATTTGAAGATACTTAAATTTTTTATAACACAAAACGGCCTTTTTATAGGAATTTAAAGAAATTACAGAGAGCGCTAGATCATTACTGTAACATCCAGCAGGTAAAAGCTTATGTAATTACTGACTCTTATTTTTAACTTTTCAAAATATTTGATTTTCTTGGCAAAATAAACCATGAGCAAAATATGGGAATCCAAAAACAATGATTGTTTTCTAGAAGAATCGAAATTCTCCTCGTTGATATCACCACCCGGAATATTTCTGCCATTTACACCTCGCTAGCCGGAAAGTGTTTTACGATAGAATCTGTTAGCCAGATTGCTAGAACGCCTCGTAAAACTGGCGGCGCTGTATTTGTTTATGCTGACCTCATTCAAGAGCCCTATCGGCCTCGTATATTTACTTACGTTGTGAAAATGTTCCAATTCAAGTTGCTGCACTTTCATCTTTGCTGCGATAGATTTGCTGCACCGGTGAAAAGGGAACAGAGGAAATTTGCTTGCTCTACATTTTCAAGTGATCCGAATTGCAAAAAATTTGGTGCAAAAGCAAATCTTTATTGAAATAAAAAGAAAAGAAGAAAGAAAAAAATCCGAAAAATCTCGGAGACATGAAAAATATGATCATTTTCAGGGCTGCAACCCTTCGTATTTCTGACATCGTTGTATTCGCGTTTCGTGTTTTTTTGGATGCTCGCGCGCAGCGATTGGTATTTTGAGCAGGATCCGTTGTCGTCATTTTTTGATTGGTCGTTTTGTTTGACCGTCGTTTTTGATTGGTTCTGGCTCTTTCTGGCTTTATTCGCCAGGCGTTTTTTTTTTGATTGGACCAAGCGGGTCGCGTCGGTTTTTGATTCGTCAAGGCGAATGTGATAAAATGTCGACCACTTTTATCACATTCTTGCGTTTAACATAATTTTATACAAGTAAATACGGTTTTTTGGCGTTTGTATGAATTTCGAATTGAAGGTTAAGTTTCACTGAATAATTCTAAAAAGAAAAGTTTTAACCATTTTCCGTTCTAGAGCAATTTTATGCCAAAAATATAGTTTGAGTACTATACCGGCTCAGGAAAGTCCTGAAAAGAGAAAAGTTGTTGTCCAAAAATCATCATCTTATCCAAAGCAGGGGTCCGTTATCCGTGTCGGTTCATCATTTTCCAACATGTCATTAGCAGCCGGGATAGCTCGAGTAGTAGCTGCAGAATAGAGTGAGGCGGATGGCGCGCTCGTGGACGGATCGGCGGTGCCGGACAAGCAAGTCCTCTCCCGACAGAAACTGAAAGAAATGAAATGAAAAGAATAGGTTGTTGACTTACCCGTTTTGAGCGCCGCAGCACTTGGGTATCTTCGTCAATGCTAGAATTTTGGATTTTCGAATCTTGTTTTTTGAGATTTATATATTATATAGCTTTTTATATATAATTTCAATTATATTCATATATTTCAACCTTGGTACATAAAAAGCGGCAGCTAAGACTGGCAAAAGAAGTGAACCCATCATGACCATCCTGAAATAAGAATTTTAGGGCAAGAAAAAATCTGTAAAAACCTGTATGAACGGAGAACCGGACGAATTCCAGCCTGCGAAATGGATAAAATCAAGGTTGAGAAGTGAAACAACGCGTTTTATAGTCAAATTATCGCGCGGGAGGTGACGTTGAGGAATATTAGACGGGAAGGAGGAGGAATTGAACGATTGATCAGATGAGTTCTGAAGAATCGGGCAGATATTTTGGGAAGCAAAACAACGACAGTTCCAAAAGAAAACTTTCTGGGGTAAACTTTACTTGGCACGCTTATCGGCTTACTTTATCCGTGTCTGAGAAATTGAGTACAAATCAGTCAAAACAATTGGCAGGTGCTTTTGAGAAATTTTTACGCGCGAGCGCCTTGCCAAGTCGATTGCTGATTTTGATAAAGAATCCGCGAAATCGGTGACTTATATAAATACGGGCAACTCCCACTATTTTTCATAAAGGAAAATTAGTGAAATCATAAATATGGAGAAGGATTCTTTTGGAGGAAACATGAAAGATTTACTGGATTTTGAAACGATTCAGAGATATTTGGCAGCGAAAGAAGAGGAAGAGAAAGATTGGAAAGAATATATTTATAATGTGAGTATTTAGACTATCCTTGCAAAATCAAATGTCCCTCTTTAGGTCTTTATTATTATCAACGGCTGCACAGTCCTCTTCATGCAGTGTGGTTTTGCCCTTCTCGAAGCCGGAGCAGTCAGATCAAAAAACGTCACCAATATTCTCCTGAAAAACTTCCTCGATCTTCTCATTGGAATCGTGATTTACTGGGCGTTCGGATTTGCATTTGCTTATGGAAAAGTGAAGGTCAAGGACGACTTTGGGAACTACACCGGATATTCGAAAGCGAATCGATTTCTTGGGCACAAGCACTTCTTTTTGATGGATGAAGAAGATTTTGGGACGGAGTTGCTAGAAGGATACCCGGAGAGGGTGATTCATATGGGCTCTTTTTACGGAGAGTTTTTTTATAATTTCGTTTTTGCGGCGACAGCTACTACAATTACCTCAGGTAAAGGAATCAATCTAATAACAATGCTAGAAACAATATGTATCTCATTTCTTCATTCAACTTTTTGATAGGCGCTTTGGCTGAGCGATGCAAAATGTCAGCATACTTCATCTACGGCATCATCCTGACCGGTTTCCTCCAGCCCGTAACTGTCCACTGGACCTGGTCCAACGGATTTCTTCTTTACCCGCAACAGTATCTCGATCTCCCTCCAGAAGTCTACTTCCGCGATTATGCAGGTGGAGTCAATGTTCATGCTGTCGGCGGCCTTGCTGGTCTTGTCGGTTGTATCTTCATGGGGCCAAGACTTGGAAGATTCGACACAACGAGAAAGTATCATATTCCAGGACATTCAACGCCGCTGACTGGCCTTGGCGCTTTTATCCTGATGACTGGTTTTCTCGGAATGGTGCTTGGTCATGGACAGAATATTGAACTTTCAGCTACGAATATTGTCCTTGGTGGTGCTACATCAGGTTCGGGTTTTTCCTCAATGGGCTTTTTATCAATAATTCAGGGCTAACTGCAATGATGATAAAGTGGATCAAACCTCGCCTCGCCGGCCACTCCCGACACAAACAATATTGGTCGTTCCTCATCCTCGTTGATTCCACCCTTTGCGGCATGGTCGCCTTATGTGGCGGGTGCAATATCGTACCCCCGTACGGTGCGGCTGTGATTGGCGTTCTTGCTTCCCTAGCGTTTCTTGGAATCGAACATCTGATGATCAAATTTCACATAGACGATCCTCTCGGTTCGTTTGCCACGCATTTTGGCGGGGGAGTCGTTGGTTGCCTCATGACGCCGTTTTTTATGGTCAAAGAACATGCCGGACTTGATGGCATTTTCTTCTGGGAAGGGTGCGATAAGGACTTTGCGAAGGTAAGAATTATTGATTCGAAAAGAAAGGGCAATTTTTTCTAGGGTCTTCCAGGTTGGGAAGACGGAGCTTGTCTTTACTCTCCATTCTACCAGCTTGCATGGCACATTGTCGGCCTACTCTGCATTTTCGTCTGGACGATTGTTCTATCTGTCATCGTATTCGGTCTTCTTTGGCGGTTCGGCCAGCTGCGCGTCAACTCAGACTTGGAAATTCGAGGCATCGATATTAAACTTCACGGAGAACCGGCTTATCCAAATGCTGCATATGGCCATGGATGGGATAATGAAGGCGATTTTGCTTTAGAAGGTAAGAGCTCTTCTTGAAACAATAAAACCAAATTTTTCTAGTTCTTGAAGTTCGAAATGGTCTTGATGGGCAAGCAGCTCCAACGGCTCCTACTGGCATTCATTCAAGAAGAACAGTCAAGGCCCTTATCAACCCGAATTTGCGAGAAAACTGGGTGAACGAAATCCGACCAGGAGGACTTATCGAAATGACGATCGCAGAGCAACAGAAAACGATGAAAGTCCTGAAGCATCTTTTAGAAGAAGACGTCGAAGGCGATGTTTCTCTTGGAATGCCCATGGATACATTCACTCCATTGTCTGTCATCGGCACAGGGCAGCTGCAGGAGCGACTGAAGCAGCGAGAAATGGTTGCATCGACTTTTTCAAAAGATGGAATTCCGAATCCTGCGTGCGACATGCGAGATGATTGAAGTCAATTTACTGTAAATAGCGCTTTTCACTGTACTGACTGAATAATTTCTGATTGAAACTAAAATATACTAATTGATAAATTTTCAATGTCGGGGCTCGAATTCGATACCGGGCACGCGAACGATTTCGGAGTTCGAAGTATTAGTTTTGACGTTAGTATTGAATTCGATTCGTTGAGCACTAGTAGATTAGAAATGAGAAAATTTTGGGAAGTTCAGAAACATCACTGACAGAAATGAAAATCTGCTTGAAAAAGAACAGGAATCCAATTTTGACCGTCATTTGAGCCAATAACTTCTGATCCCAAAAACTCGTCGTTTTCAATATGAACTCGCTCGACAGGATAAGTTCCATCAGCAGATTTAACATAGCCAGAGACAACAAAAACGTAATTCCCAATTTTTATAGCAGAAGCAGCATCATAATTCTTAATTTTTATGATTAACTCGTAATTAATTATAATTACTTACACTCAGAACTTGTCCAAGGATATTCCAGACATCGTCCTTTAGAATCCAAACATTCTTCGACACCTCTTCATCATCCTCTCCACCAATCAATAACAAAGACCCGGAATCAAGGCCAGTCAAAGTATGCCCATTTATTTTCCTGAAATCATCGATCTCTTTTTAAAATCCGTGAAAAATCTTGCCTTGGATGGTCGGGAAGAGAAGCCCATCCAGTTGAGTTGTAGGTCTCAACCTTTTGCGCACCACTTTTGTAGTAGCTTCCGACTGTAGTTGGCTGACCCTTGTAAAGCCCTAACTTGCCCCAGTCATGATTGTTCTGGGCCGAATGAGTGGAAGAGACACTTTCTCCGTCAAATATTTCACAGGCTTCATAAGGTCCGGGAAATCCGGAAAGCAAATAAGCGCTGAAAAGATTGATAAACAGCTAATCTTATTCTAACCTTTTGTTCCATATTCAATCGCAAGTGCTGCGGACCCATCATAAAATCGGTAGCTTAACCTCGCTGAAATCAAGCTAAAACTGCATCCGACGAGTTTTCCTATCTTCTGATTGTCCGCGTTTCCTCCAAAAATAAACAACTCATCCTGCAAAATAGCAAAAGGTGAACCAGCGACAAAGTCATTTGAAGGAGCGTCTAATTGGGGAGCAACAATGCTGATGCCATCACCAGAATTGATGTAAGAGGAGGTCAAATCATTCAGCAAGACGGCGAAATGCATGTTTGACTAAACTACTGTCCGAAAAGAAGAGCGGTAAAAAACTTACAAGATCGTCGGGGCAGATCGGGTTTTCACAGTCTTTGCATCCTTGAGGACAATTCTCTCCACAGGGACACGAATCCAGGCAGACTTTATAAAAAGAAAAAAATATAATTTCAAATTTCAAAGGACTGACTTTCGTATGATCTTTCGCAAGTTGTGAGGCAGAACTCATCCTCACAGGACAGCCGACATTGAGTGTAAACGATTCGACAGTTGCCATTGCATTCTTCTTGAAGTTCTTGATCTCTTGAATCATTTTAGTAATCAATTTAGGGCTCAATCTTACGGGCATTTGAGAAGACCTGCTCTAGAATCGATTATAGAGGCGTGAAAAGCCTGAAAAAGATTGAAAATAATCATTTTCTCTTGAAAATAGTGGAAAAAAATCGAGCTAAAGATACGAATTTTTCGCTAATAATTGATCAGATCATAAACGAGAAAAAACATTTGAAATTTTTACGGAAACACATTTTGTTTGAATAACCATAAAATTTTGAGTTCGAGAAAGTTCAGAGCCAAAACTGTAAAACCGGACTTACATGATCTCCGATTCTGTCTAAATTTCGCGAAAACATGCATCTGGCGCGAAATCAGCAAAGCCATTTTCGCATTTTTCTTGGCGACCCTCTCATTCCGTTTTATTTTAAGTTTTCTGAGTTTCAATTTATTTAAGTTTCAATTTTACGTTTTCAAAATGCCACCGCGAGGGAACGATACTGACGTTGAAGAGACGACTAGTTGTGATATCTACGAGATTATTTCGGAAATAAAAGGACTTCAGCTTGAAATAAGTACGAAAATTTTCATCTCAAAATTGAATTCTATGACCCTTAAATTCATCCCTTTTTTAGAAAAATGCGACGCGAAAATCGACTTGTTGCCAAATCTAGATCTGCCCAATTCGGACTACTTTGGCCCGCCGCTCCCACCTGATTATGAGAAAAATAATTTGGTCCAATACATCGAAGGTATGCCAAAAGAGACGGTTAAAGGCTGAAGTCAATTTTTCAGAGCCAAGCTCCAACACTTGCGAGCAGCGTGGATATGGTCGCTTCAAATGCGAGTGCGGCCGCTCCTGGGGCAGCAGTTTCAGTTACCTCGGCTACGCGCAAACCTGCTTCACCTGCGGAGAAGACGTTCAGCCCAGGGAGATAACGCAGATTTCATACGATAAGAAGCAAACCAAACGACGATTCAAGGAAATTGTAAAAAATAACCCCGTCATTTTAAATAACTCGTCATTTGAATTGAAATTTTCATCATTTTTTTACAATTTTCGAGCCGGAGTGGCGACGATTTTCGCACTCCTACCAGTTCTGCGAAGCATGCAAGCTCAACCAATGCGCCTGGCGGCCCGAAGAATTCAGGTTTGCTTTGAATAGAGATTCCTTTTCATTATCTTTCTGTAGGACCAACATTCGAACCTTCACTAACGTAACACCCGTCGGCGGCAAAAAACTAGAACCGAAGAGTTCTCGCCGAAAGGGCTAGCAAACCATCTTACTGCCAATCTATTAAATCCTAATTCTGTTTTTCGAATAAACCAATTTCTTTCAAACTTCGGATTTTTATTCATGATCTGGCAGACGATCTTGTGTCTGAATAGAGTGACTATTATCGCTTTCTGTCAGGCGCAATAATTTGCAGGAACTTCGTAAAGAATAGGGATGTAAGTATAATATGTAGGAGTTTGAATTACAAATGTATTGATCAATTGATTGTCTTCGAAATCAAGTCGTTCGATTCTGTGTGGATATGATTGGCCAGAAGCGATGAAAATCGAGTTTTTGATCATTATTGCGGACCCAAAAGAGAGTTCCTTAATCAGGGGTCTAAATATCAGCCAAAATTCTAGGGCGAAAGCGAGCATTTTTTTCCAATTTTGTGCGAAGCGAAAGCGAAGCGAAATATCATTGAAGATTGCGAAAAAAACGAAAATTTTTACGCTTGAATTGATATGCATTCTCTGGCAAGAATCTTTAGCGATTTCTAATTGCTAATTAGCCACTCAAAAGCGAAGATGATGTCAAAAACCTATTTTTGGGGCAGAAAATTGCAAAAAATCTGTTACTGTATTTTTTTTGGCCCGTCAATGTAAGCCGGTTGGTTGGTCTAACTGTTGATAATTCCAAGGTAGTAATAAACTCGACAGCAGGGGTGACCATTCGGGCATCGGGCAAAACGGACAATTTTCGGGCAAAATGTGTTCGGCCGGGCATTCGGACGGCTCAGCCCCTTAACTTTTACTGGGCAAAAGCGGGCATTTCGGGCATTCGGGCAAGTTGGGCACTACCGGAAAATTCCTAAATTACGCATTCTTTACAATTTTTTTTGCTCTCTTACTTCTCTAACTGAATCAAAAGCCCTCAAAACTTATTTTTCTAGCCCTGGCGGTCATCTTCGATTCTAGATAAGCCCTGTTCATAAAGATCATTCTGATCATTCAAAAATTATTCTAGCAAACTTACAATAAAAATGGCTGGTGACAACGAGTTTTCCGAAAACTAGCTTGCTAACCGGCCAATCCTTTGATTTATCAAGAGTAAGACCTACCATTAGACTCGTCTTGACAAGACGGAGAAAAATTGAAATTCAAAGCGGCATCAATAACGTCCCTCTCCAATTCTTTGATAAAGAATCTTCCGAATAACAAAGCCGCTTGCTGTGCGAAAATTAAAGCGAAAATTTTGGAATTTTTGCGAAGCGAAAGCGAAGCGAATTCTGCTCTCCAGTCGTGCTCACGCGAGCTCATGCTCATGGATCTCTGGAAGGGCAAATTCTGTGCTCATGAGCTCGTGAGCACGTGCTCTAAGCTCGAATTAAGACCTGCTCACAGTCGTTAACAATTCAAATTGGAAGGTTCTCAGCCCCGTTCCTTGATTTCTTAATTTAAGGGGCTTGACAGCCCTTCGGGCCGTATCAGCCCCGTTCCTTGATTTCTTAATTTAAGGGGCTTGACGGCCCTTCGGGCCGTCTCAGCCCCGTTTCTTGATTTCTTAATTTAAGGGGCTTGACGGCCCTTCTGCGCCCAGATGGGTGGGGTTGCGCCAGTGGAAAAATGGACTTATTTTGCACTTGACCTGGAGGGATGAAATTTTGTGGACATATTTCTGAGGTCCTAATCAAGAAAAAAATCAAAAAAAATTTCGAAAAATTAAGGGTATAGCGGTCGAAAAATCGATTTTTTCATTTTTGCAAAATTAAGCCTGAGAAAATCTAGACTATCATTTTAAAAGCTCAAAAATGAGTTTTTCGAGTCGAAAAAAGTCGAAGCGAGATAAAGAATCCGCAAATAAAAAAAATCAAATTTTAAACATTCAAATAAAAACCATAATAAAAAGAAAAACTTGAATAATTTGTATTTCCACCTCGAATGGGTGTGGGTGGGGTTGGGGACATAACTGAGATTGATCACCTCAGAGTCCAACGCCGATCTCAAGCCCCTTAAATTTAAAAATCAAGGAACGGGGCTGGGACGGCCCGAAGGGCCGTCAAGCCCTTAAATTTAAAAATCAAGGAACGGGGCTGGGACGGCCCGAAGGGCCGTCAAGCCCCTTAAATTTAAAAATCAAGGAACGGGGCTGGGACGGCCCGAAGGGCCGTCAAGCCCTTAAATTTAAAAATCAAGGAACGGGGCTGGGACGGCCCGAAGGGCCGTCAAGCCCCTTAAATTTAAAAATCAAGGAACGGGGCTGGGACGGCCCGAAGGGCCGTCAAGCCCCTTAAATTTAAAATCAAGGAACGGGGCTGGGACGGCCCGAAGGGCCGTCAAGCCCTTAAATTTAAAAATCAAGGAACGGGGCTGGGACGGCCCGAAGGGCCGTCAAGCCCTTAAATTTAAAATCAAGGAACGGGGCTGGGACGGCCCGAAGGGCCGTCAAGCCCCTTAAATTTAAAAATCAAGGAACGGGGCTGGGACGGCCCGAAGGGCCGTCAAGCCCCTTAAATTTAAAAATAAAGGAACGGGGCTGAGACGGCCCCTTCTTTACATTTTTGAGTATTATTTATTAAATTTTTCCAAAGAAAGGCGATTTTCGGCCAAAACGGAAATTTTCAAATCGGCCGCATTTTCGTTGCCGGGCGTTACCGGACGAGATAAGAATGCATCTATAGAGAGCATCGTCTGAGCTTTCTTGTGGTGGTTTCCGTTTGGTTGTGGGTCGTTGTGGTTTCGAGTTATTCGACGAAATGTCCAAAATTCGTGGTATTTTTCCGAAAAATCGCGATTTCACCACCAAAATTCAAAAATTTCTAATTTTAACTATTTTTTATGAAATCTCCGCCAATTTTTACACATGGTCACGTGGTTTCAGAATTTTTTGAAAACAAACCATTTTTTGCCAAAATCCCACCAGCGCAACCCCATCTGAGATGGGTCTATTTTACGCGTTTCACAACACCCGGGACTTGATTTGCTGTTTCTAAATAAATTTAGAACGCTACGAATAAATAGAAGAGGGGTTATTTTGGGACAGATTTTAAGAATTTCATCAAAAGATCTTAAAAATCTCTTCATCGGAAAACCATAAATATTAAAAACAGAACACCATGCCAAAAAAGGGCACGGATTACTATAGACTTTCATGCCCAAAAAGGGCAGGAATAATTATAGACTTTCATGCCAGAAAAAAGGACACGAATAACTTAAGACATCCATGCCCGAAAAAGGGCACGAAATACTATAGTCTATAGACCAGTCTCTCACACTCGCAATCATATAATGAGTCATTATTAATGAATTTTAGAAATCCTATTAAATTTTATTTCTCTCTTGCGCAAAAGAAAACTCGAATAATTTAAATCTAAAATTGACCAACAGGAAGAATCAATGGAAAATTTGTTGAAATTAAAAAAAGTTAGCTCAGCTTACAAAATTTGCAACTATGGTCATGATCTGTTTGCCTTTCCAAAATGAATCTTCATACGGGAGAAATAAAAATTGGATTTATCAACATTAAAACGTTCCCAGTTGTTGAAGCAAATTTATTTCTGACATTGCATCCTGCTTTTCCGTTCTCCCAGAAGGCCAATTCCCTTGAGAATCTTCAGTTGTTTCCTGGAAACAAAGATTTATAGTCGCAGGGCGCTCTCACTCAACGGTGGATATAGCGTTACGGTTGAGATAAGGAATAGATAAAATAGTCGGATATGAAATAAAAGGGTTGAAACTTAAAATAGAAGTTTGGAGCTAGAAAGGGCAAAGCTGGTTACGAAAAAGGAAGTTCAAAGCCAGTAAGTGCATATATGTTTAGCTATTACTAATAGGCTGGGCTCGGCAACGGGGAGCTGACCTCGGTTCCTCGCCCCGCCCCGCCCCGTTACATTTTCACGGGGTTTGTCCCCGCCCCGCCCCGTTTTTCCCCGTTTTCCCCGTTATTTTTGAGTGTCTCATTTTTAGATTCTAGAGCGAAAATTGTTTATTTTTGAAGCATTTTTAAGATAATGGTAACAAAAAATGTTCTAGAAATCTGTATCATGTGCTCTGGCGACTACATGTGCACTAAATCAGTAATGATAATGCACATTTTTTATAAACATTTCATACTGTAGAAATATTTTTTTGATTTCGAGAGGTCGAAAAGTCGACTTTGCTTGATAAAAATGCGAAAAAATAGAAACGGGGAAAAAAGTTTAAAAGCGGGGAAAAAAATTCAGTTCCCCGCCCCGCCCCGCCCCGTAGACGGGGTAAAACGGGGAACGGGGCGGGGAAGTTTCCCCGTTACTTCCTTTTCCGTACTTCCTAGTAAAGCATACCTATCTTTGTACTTACTGGCTTTGCATTTCCTAACTTCAAAGTTCTTCTTTTTAGTTCCCCTAAGGTTTCTTGAGGAATGAAACGTTTTTTCAAAAATTCGAAGATTTTTGACTGTTTTTAGCAAAATTAAAACTTCTATTTTTGGCGATACTAAAAAAGGAAGTTTGGAGCCAGGAAGTGCAAAGCCAGTAAGTACGTAGCTAGGTTGTGCAAAGCCAGTAAGTGATTTTTCTGGCTACCAATAAGATTGCTTAAAATGGCCTACCGGCCAATCAAAACCAACTCCAGAAACGGAACTTACTGGCTTTGCACTTCATAGCTTTGTACTTCTTGGGTATCACTTTCTATTTTTCAAAGTTCCTTATTTTAGTATGACCCCCCTTTAATTGTAAATCGTAATGCTAACAGCGCCTTCAATAGATTGTTTGAAAGATCAGAGGTAGATATCATTTTTGTCAAAGACTTTTGATGGTTGATCAAGTTTTTTTTAAGGAAATCAAGTCCGTCAAAGTTTGAAACTCGCTAGAAATGGTCCAACAAAACGGCGAAATTCCGAGGGTGTAATGAGGCTTTCGGTCGGGCCCCCGAACATGACTGCTTGTTGGGTTAGGGCGGCCCAACTGATAACCCCCTACTACCATTTCGAGAGATCTGCCCAAACAGCGGACGAAACTAAAAAAAGGAAGTTTGAAGCTAGGAAGTGCAAACCTAGGAAGTGTCATTTCTGCGAAGGGGT